CTTTAATCATATCACATCTGCTCTACGTGCTGTGGTGCAGTTTATTGTATGTGTGGTTGCTTGTGTGCACCAGACAGGGGTTGTAAACGCCTGAGCTGTAGCACCGCTGGGATGTATCAAAGTCCCCCAGTAGCTTTAGCAATGGCTGGGTTCACCATGCGTCACTGTCCGCTACGTAGTCTGTAATTGCAGCTCACGCAGTAAGATTGCTTTTGATAAAAGTCGTCTGTTGCACGGCACATGTGTGCGCTTTGACATGTTATCCGTCCACTGTGCGGTAACAAACACCTCCTCCTCATCCTCTTCCTCCTCCTCTTGTAGGTACAGCACTTGGGAGCCGGAGGAAAACATTCTGGATGCACGTCTCTTCGCTGCCTTCGAGGAGAGGTGAGGGTTTGACAGCGCAGCAGTAGGCCGCTCTGCACAGTCGATTCTGTGCTACACTCACACGCCCATAAAAATACAACATCAGGTGTAGATTTGAATCTTTAAATCTTGTTTTTCGTAAAGGAAGTGGTAACAAGTGTCAGTGGAGAGAGATGATTCCGTTTCCAGTTTGAATAGATGCAAGGTGTGATGCTGTTTTTCCATCACAAACATGGCATCAGCTTCATTGTGACATATTTTTCATTTGAATAAACCTCATTTTCAATAAAAAAAAACTATCCTAAAAAGTGGGTTAATGTTCCATTTGGCAGAGTTTGGCCCTTACCTTCAAAACTTTTAGATTTTCCGATTAAATTATAAACTAAAATTTAAAAAGGATTTGTTAATGTATTTTGATGAATCTTTAAATGATTTTCATTCCCCCAGGGAGCGCGAAAGGGAGATGTTCGGACCGAAAAAGAGGGGACCCAAACCCGAGACATTTCTCTTGAAGGTTGGTGAATGTGAAGCGCATTTTATCTTACCGCCTCTCTCAGGCGGCACAGATCAAGATTATTTTCCCTGATATATATAACTATATGCGGTATAATTAATTTCGAAACTGCTGGGCTGTTATTCAGACTTTCACACAAACTAAAATGACAACTGCAACCCAGATTAAATCAGTCATTTACATTGAGATTTCCATGAGGGTAAATTGGGTTAAGCATCCTTAGTTTATTTCATGTTTTATGTAGCCTGTCAGACATGCATTCCTTAAAAAAATCAAAGCAGCTTTAGGACGAGGCCTTCCATGTAGCCAAACAGATCTCCAGCTGCTTCTCTTAAACCTTTACATTTCTTCAGAGATGGTCTTCAAATGTCCAAAAAAACCCTCCTCTCATAAACATTATTTGCTCTGTCCTCAGGCCAAAGCCAAAGAAAAGATGTATGAATATAGAGGAGAGGCTCCCAGGGGGATCCAGGTTTCCTATCCCATCCCGGAGCCTGTCATAACACCGAGGGCCCGGGAGGGTTTACGCACCGTAGTTCCCACAATCTTCCCACCGAGTGCGGTCAACAGAGGTGAAAGTGTCCACGTCGTCCGACCACCGGAGCCAGAGAGGAGGCCAAGACCGACTCCACCAGCTCCTCTGACAGTCCAAGAATCCGCCCGGCTCCCCAAAAAGAGGGGCCGCAAGCCTAAGCATTTCCATTATGATAAAGCTGATGGAGGCAGCTCAGCAGAGCCGGACCCCAAACGGAGCAGGTTACCGGAGGAGCCGGTGCCACACGGTTTGTCCAAAACGCCCCGACGCTCGCATCATCACGGGGAGACGTCAGATCACAGCCTCATCCAGCTGACCAAGAGGTTTCAGGAGAAGACCACGATAACACCCAGATCCTGCAGCGACCAGAGACACGTGGGGGGCGCAGGGTTGTCCTACAGCTGCGCATTCAATCCGGATGTGCGCAAAAGTGATCAGGGGCTGCACAGGACTAGTTGTGTGATGTCTGTCCCTCAGCCCAGGAAGGCGAAGCCCTCCGCAGAACACCGGAGACACCAGGTGAATGAGTGCTGTCTGCCCCGGGAACAACCGGCTGTCAGCCCCACACAGGCCGAGTCCATCCAGGATTCGTCCACGCCACCAGCCTCGTCCTGGACCCCCTGTTTCACCAACGTGGACTCTGTGACAGTGACTGATGTCACCATGAACTTCTTGACAGTCACCATCAGAGAGAGCAGCACGGACAAAGGCTTTTTCACAGAGAAAAGATGAATGTGTGCTGTGGACGCAGGTCAGAGGAGGCTAATATATGCTTGAATAATTGTTTAACAAGCTACTAACTAACATGCCTACTGTAATACTATATTTTTTCTATGTAACTTTCAAAACGTGTACATACAAATATTTAATACGCTGCTGAGAAAATTAAAAAACATGAACGTGACATTGTGAGTTTAAGGGGTGTTTTTGTTGCGGTTTTTCTCTTCAGTATCACTGCTTCTCTTGTTAAGATTATCCATTGAATCATTTAGTTAGAAACTGTTCGACCGTGTCATCATAAACACGCCTTTGTGGAATAATCCCACAATATGAACTTTCTAAAATGAATCCAGCTGTTGGTTGTGACACATTATAAATGTACAAATTTCCAGTCATGTCTTTCACCCTTTTTGCCAAAAAGTGAGTCTAATAAAGTCCTGAATTGAAGTTTATAATATAAAGAGATATATATCTTTTTTTTTTTTTTTTTCATTTTCCAAACTAATTAACTTAATTATTAAGAATGCTTGTGGGCGGCAGGTTCATGTCAAATAATCGAAATAATCAATCACAGATATTTGACTACAGGAAAATTAAACACCAACTTCAAAGGAGATTTAAATAAATTATCCCTGTGTTTCACAATGCATTGAAGTATTTAAACAAAAACAAAATACCAGTAGACAGTTAAATTTTTCTAAAGGCTGTTGATTTTCGAGGGGTCGCGGTCAGAAATTGGTTGATAATTCCTGCTGGGAAAGTTAAAGATTGTATGAATCCTTCTAACAACGATGTGAGGAGCAGATTCTAACACATTTAAATAAATACAATAGATTAAAATGTTCTCATTTGGATTAATATAAAAATAAGGAAATGTTTTTGCTGTAGTTTCGTATAAGGAGCTTTATTCTCACATGAGATTATTAAACTATACATCCGCACATCTTGACTTGGTTTCTGTGACCCCGGCGCCTGATCTCACGTTGGAAGTCCTGCAATTATTTTTTATTATTTGAATATCAATCTTTTTGTAAGTAGCAGTTAAAAGAACCACATCTACTGAGAATTAACTAAAACTTACACGCATAATCTTCCTCTTGCTTTATTATAAGACTTATTAGGACTTCAGAGGGCGAGTTAGGCCTTAAATCCGACTGCGAGCCTGTAGGAGTGAGCTTGCTTTGACAGTTTTAATTTAAAGACACTGTAAATTATTATTTAAGTGAGACATTTGGCTGCTATGGACAGAAGACAGTAGGATGAACCAGGCTGTGACCCCAAGTTGACTGAACTGAATTTCTAAAAGCCTTAAATGCTCATATTTACAGGTCGACTGTTGTTTAAGCTCATATAAAAGCTGTAATCATGTACATTTTCCCTACCAACGACGGTGTTTTCTGACGGCACACAATTTGCATCACCTCTGTCCATTATAGGCCTACAGTGTATGAAAGATCCTGGCTGCACTGCGCCAATAAGAGGCCACTTCTTTCAGGCACAAAGCCTCCATTCATTTTGACTTTGCTTTGTCTCTCTGGGACACATGACCCAATCTGACCATCCGGTACTCCCGTGAGGAAACTCCGTCTGGTTTTCCTGGCTCATCATTTAACGACTCAGATTAATGTCAAAGCTGTGTACAGGATAATATCTGAATTTGGTGTTGTGCTTTAATGGAAAATGAACGTGAGGGAATGCTTTTTGAGGGATAATCACACTGCACCACTACCTCTTTGCCATTTCTAAAATGCATCATGTCATATTCTGCACTCACTCCTTAATGTTTGGTGAATGTGCGCGCATTTTCAAAGTTGTGGTGAAGGATTGATAAGGTTCCAAATTTCCAAGAGGTAGCAGCTTTTTCGTGCAGCTGAGACAACATCTGGCCACATTCTCCACATGAGTGTAATTTACTCCACGACATACCCATCAAAAACCCTTTGATCCGATGCTGCCAGAGGGGCCTTTACATACGCTCAACCTCGAGAGAAGCTGCAGCTCGGCCTGCCTGGTTACGGTCCACAGAGTCTCACCTCCACAAGATGTCGCCACCAGCAAGACCTTGAAACGGTGCCAAATTACTTTTGCACAAAAGACCCCTGCAGGTTAAAAATGAAGTGAAGCTACCCGCCCTTTAGTGGATTAATCATTGGTGAAAGCTGCTTCCAGTTTGGACTCGTCTACAATATTAGCGGCTGTTGAGTTACAGCCTCCTCCTTGCTGTCGGTGTCTTTGGGCCGTGAAAAGCCTGCAGCAGACTATTTTGTCCTCCAGATGTGAAGAGGGGGATTGTGCGTTGCATCGTCCCGCCACTAGATGAAGCTCGAGCACAGAAGCAGAAACGTTTCTATAGTCCCCCCCTTTCTTTTTTCTTTTTTCTCTTTTTTTTCCGTTGGCCTACTTTTGAAATGATCTGGTCATAAAGATTAACTGTTCTTATAACAAGGTCAGTGACATAAAGTTTTTGTTTTTTTTGCACTTTTGGAGGAGAGTTGGTCAGATTATACCTCAACTGTTGTATTTCAGTTTTGTTATTTTCCCGTAGAGGATAATACAATGATTGTGTATGCTCTATAAACTCATGCGTTTTTGTGTAAGTGTATCTTAACTGAGAAGTAAAATAATAAAGTCTCTCAGAAGTGAATGAATTATTGCGCAGAAAGGCGCACTGGTGTTAACAGATGGCTGAAGGCGTTCAAACTGATTGTCTCTTTAGAGAGCAAAGACAAAGACCAGCAGTGGCCAAGCAGTCCCCCGAACAACTGGATCGGCCCTAATTGGAGAGTGAGTGAGTGAGGATAGAGAGAGAGAGAGAGAGAGAGAGAGAGAGAGAGAGAGAGAGAGAGAGCATTTAGTGAAGCTGAATCCAGGCGGGGCAGAGCGCTTGAGGTCTCGATAACTCTCTCTCTCACACACACACAGACTTTCTAGCCATGCACCGCCGTCCACTTCTTTCTGGATTTGTATCTTTGTGTGGTTGAGATGTTGCCAAATGTGGTCGTTTTGTGGTACATGCTTGGTTTTCTGTTGCGGCACTGCGCTGCTGATCTGTGCAACTGGACTGGAAGGTGAGGAACTTCTCTCATTTCTGCAAGATTACTGCATTTTAAAGAGTTTAATTTAAATAGAATTGTGAGTGGCAAACTGGCCATTTAAATTCTGATGGCTTTAATAATGTTAATACTTGTTCTAATGTTTTACAGCCCGTTAAAAGCCATTAATAAGATCAACCTTTAGCTGTGTGTTGTGAGAAGCTGATTTTCTGCAGACCAGCTGTAAAAAAAATAATTAACATTTACATCTGCAGACTTGATGATACATTATTAATGAGTTAATAACATTTATAAAGCTGATTTAATGCATATTAGATAGTGAGAAACAAATGAGCATTTATTAACGAATTACTTGCATTTGATTATTACCAAATAGAAAGGTTCAATTCCAGCCAATGGGATCTTCTACAACCTGGCAACCTAAAATCTGTTTTTATTAGTGGTTTTGGGCTGATATATAAAGCAGATCACAACCTACTTTAGATCTAAGCTAAATGATTTAAAATGATAAAAACCATTAGTAACAATTCTGTATATAGCAGTAATTTAATATTAATTCCTCGGTTTTTCCTGCTGGATCCAGCGGTTTTGCAGCTGGTGTGGACTCCAGGATCGTACTCCAGGTGCGGCTGCGCTGCACAGAGGGCTCGGTGAGGTGGATATACCCGGGCCAGGCTCTCCGGGTGGTCCTGGAGCCCAACCTGTCCTCCACCCTGCGTACCACCGTCTGCATCAAACCGTCTCCCTCCTTCCGCGGAGCCAGCGTGTTCATTGAACGGGCCGGGAAGCTGGAGCTGCTGGTGACGGATGGCGGACGGGACGAGCGGCAGGTGTTCTGTTTCCGGGCAGATGGTCCGCACAGGCCCGCCATCTACCTTCAATCCAGCCCGCAGACCGATGGAGCCTGGAGCAGACGCACGATGGGCTTCAGATATGAGCTGCTGGCCAACAGGAGTGCTGCACCCAACCTGGGCCACAGCGGGCTTCAGCGTGAGTAGACCCTCTATGTCCTAAATAAAGGTGCATTTATACATCTGGTACCACCAAGGCAAATATGGGTTGTATTAATAAATTATACCTTATTAACTAAAGCTTTATCAATCGGTTATGAGCGATTAACAAGGTCCGTTTTTGGGTTGCCAGGTTGCTTCCTTCTGGAGAGGCAGAGGATCGTGACCAAAATCCATATTAAATAATATTAAATCCATAAACATTTTACGAATTTGTTAGAAAGTGGGCCTCTAATTTTGGTTCATGAAGATCAGTCATAAATAGATTAATTTATACATTTATAATTCATACATACGCATCAGAATCAGAAATACTTTGTTGTCTTAGGAAGTCTTGGTTAATTAATGGTTTATAAATAATTAATAGATCAGTTATAAACTATTAATGAAACCCACTTTTGGGCAGGTTAATCCCTTATGACCACCTTAAGAAGGAGTCCAGAGTATCATGACCAAAATCCATTGATTAACAATTTATTAAGAATATATTAATCATTAATGACCTGCCCAACCAACAGGTATAAATGCTTTATTACCAAATACAAAGTATACAGATCAAAAGACAGGATATTTCTCTTATTAATGGTTTATAACTGCTAAAACATGAGTGTGTGCTTCTAAACCATCAGTTAACTTATGAACACTTATAAAGGGGGCCTTATTAGAAAATGGCACCAAATATTCTGATATAATTCTAAAGCCATTTCCTGGAGTCTGAGGGACTGACCAGTCCTAATTCATAGAAGAAAATAGTGGTTGTTTAATTACAGACCCCAATCATGCTGACTGGAGCATGCAGCTGCTGGTCAGTCTCGTGTTTTGTGTGGCTGTCTGGTTTCCATTGGGGGACAAAGCAGTGAGCACAGAGCAGACTGCAGGACTGCTGAAGGGCACCGGGCCAAGGGGCCCGAATTGAGACTGCAAATACTTTGCAGATTCCGCAAATGCCTTTTCATTGTCCAAGTCTGTTTATTAGCATTTATCCATGTGTGCGGGCCTTTCCCAGTGTGGTGATGTCATTCTGTGTCCATAATAGACAGCTGCTGGTTTATCTATTCTGCATTGCCAGATTGGCAGAAGTGTTTGACTCCTGCAGTCTCCTGCGTTGGCATAGGGTCATTCAATAAGGTAGATACAATAGGAGTCAAACACAAGGTCAAGACCAGTGAGGGTTTTTTGATCTGGAGGCGGTTTAGAAGCAGCATTCCTTCATCTAACCCCGGTTTCTCAACTCTTTGATGTGAGGAGTGAGATGAATGGAGTCGGTATGTGTGTCAGATTTTAGGTCAGTGAAGTAGCAGGGAGGAGTGATACCCATCCATCAATCAATGTCTAGTCAAAGAGCTTTGGGTAATGGGAGAGGGTGATTATAACTGAGAGAGAAATGTCACCATGCTGTGTGGCAAAAAACGACTACAATTTTCTGTACTGATTTTCTCACCCCACAGCTTCATGCAGACCCTGCAATGACACAGAACTCCTCATGGCCATCTGCAACAGTGACTTCGGTGAGTTAATATAATCTTGCAAACCCAAATCTGTTACTTACTGTACAATAAACACGGTGACAGAGCACAATTCAATTAGGAAAAAATAACAAGCTGTAAAGCCATGTAATCTAAGGTAGTCGTTTTTGGTCTGAGGAACCTCTGAGACAAATGGTGAATGTGACCGGACATAAAAGGTCCTGACATATATGTTTTCAAACAGCAATTCTGTACATCAAATTACTTGTTTTACATAGTATAAGAACTAATATACCACTTACATTTTTTCCCTAGTTTATCCATTTGATGTAACTTCATACTCCTCTGCATTTACTTAAAGCAGCAACAAAGATCTTTCCTTTTTTTATATTCTGGCAGCTCTTGTGGGCAGTGTTTCCACCAACTTGTTTAATTGATTTCAAGGGGAATCCAACCAAATCTGACCATGTGGCAGCCATTAAGAATAATTATATAGAAACAGCCAATCTTCTTGCTGATGGTCTCGTGTGTTTATGTAGGTCATATAGACGCATCAGTATTAAATTGAGACTGTTTCACAACCAGTTAAAACTCCTTGTAGCAGATTTAAGTAGTAATAATATTGTAGTTTTTATAACATTTTGTTCACAGATACATCTGATAGTTAACTTATACCATTTACTTTACACAATATGTATAAAGTAAATAAAATTAGCTTCACCTGAACAAACATTTACAACACAAAAATGTTCTTTACACAATGTTGCATCACATCATTCTGAGTACTTTTACATTAGATTCTTTAAGTGGTTTGCTGATAATACTTTTGTACTATTACTTATGAGATTAGATTTTGAATACAATACAGAACTTCCTCCACCACTAGTAAATCTTGCTGATACAAATGTTGAAAGCTGCTCTCATGGTCTAGTGTATGCCCAGTAAGCAGCAGCTCCGCTGGCAGTGCAGAGGAGGTCATGTCGGACGGAGCTGCAGAATGAGAGGGACCATTAGAGCAGATGCAATGGGTCCACTGGGCTAAATGGGCCAAAGGAGAAAGAAAATATAATTTCCAGAAAACCACTAAGATTTGGAGGGAATATTTATATGCAACTATAGTCCAAAGCTGTGTTTTTGCAGATATTTCATTAGATTTTCTTAATGGATGCAGTTTATGGATATCTGCTCTTTGTTCTTAGTGGTCCGAGGCTCCATCAAGAATGTCTCCCACAACTCTGCAAGCCAGACATCGTTGGTGGAAGTGTCAGCAGCGCGAGTGTACTGGCAGCGCAGTGGAGTGTTTGAGCAACAAGCGGCTGCCTCTGGATCATCTCGACCAAACAAGTCTTGGCGTGGACACATCCACACACTCTTGCAGTGCCATGTGAAGCCTGGGGACGGAGAGTTTCTCTTCACAGGGTCAGAACACTTTGGGGAAGCTTGGTTGGGATGTGCCCCACGATACAAAGACTTCCTGTCTGTCTACCAGACCGCCTGGGCGGCACGTCGGAATTCCTGTGACTTCCCTTTAGACTGAGGAAGTGTGTTGTTTTAGCACCACTGAGCACTACCCGTCTCTATCCACAGGCATCCTCACCCTTCTACTGGCACTGTGGGATCCCTGTATATGGTTGTCATGTGCCAGCAAGGTGGCATCTAGCATCACCAGCAGGGACGAAGCTGTTGAATTGCTGGTAAAAAGACACATTTGGAAGAGCAGAGCAGGGGCACACAGCAGGCCCTCCTGCACTGAGGCTCACAGAGGGTCGGCCTTTGTCTCTCTCCCATCACTGTTCTCAGTCCTGGGAGACTAAAGGGGTTGGGTTGCTGCTTGCTTTCTCTTTGTGCTTCTCTCAGCATCAACCGTCGTTCACTTTGCTGGCTCTGTGGGACAACTGCCCTCTGAACTGAGGTGGGAGGGACGGCTAAAGCACAGCCATTTGTAACCCACAGTTTGTCTTAGTGAATAGGCCTGTACATGTTATTTTTATTCTGATTTATCTGTGCTAAAGTTTCAAATCTTCTTTGCTTTTTCTATTTATATGTGCTGTACAGTACACATGACCTTTGAATTAAATGATATTGCAGCAGGATTATTGTATTTGTAAAGCAAAATAAATCCTCTGAAGACTCTTGCATATTTATTTGTTTTTAAAATGGGCAAAATTGTTTTTATTTACTCCATGAAATCTTTTAGTAATGGAGACTGTTGGTGAGAAGCTTAGCCTGGCTTAGCTTTGACCCGACAAAATGAACAAATAATAAATAAATAAAAAGTTAATGCACATCCCCTTTTTGAATTACCCATTTATCTTGACTGCAGGCTGTTTTAACAAACTAAACAAACATGAACATTTGAATGTGGATGTGTGGCTTACTACATCAATACAACGATTATTATCGGATAGAAAAAATCCACAATTCATATTGTTGTTGTTGTAGAAACATAATAAATAAAAAGTTAAATTGTAATTTTGCAGATTTCTTTTTTTATTCTAACAGAAAATCTGGTCAGTTCATGTATCTGTGGGCCTGATGAAGTATTTAGAAGTGAACAGAGCTCATTTCATGAGGTCCTCCAGTTAATAAGAACGCTCTGGCCCCTTAAGACTCTCTCTCTGCTCTTTTTGATAGCTGGCTTCGTAAAGGCTTAAATGAACTTAGACCCCCATTTCCCATCATATGCTGCATAATCTCTGGTTTTTCAGGAGAATGGGATTTAGAACTGAAGTGTCCTACAAGCTTATTTTGGCCCTTTTCCTTCTGTGTCCAATCTTTTCCCCTGGTAATCAGATTCTTATGATAATAGGATAGCCCTACTATAAAATGAAATACAAAATCTTCTTAGATGGCCAGAGCTCTGAGCAGACTGAATTAGACATTTCTTTTGAGTTGTGTGGCCCTTGCATCATGGCCTAAGAAGACAAATGGACAGATGTGAGGCCCCAAAGCCTGGGGATCCTCCCCTTCGGCCCCTCCCAGAAGAGGGGAACAATTAATTGACTTTTAAAGCAACTGCTTTCTTAGCCTATTCCACACTTCTCCTTGGCTGAGCAGGGCTCACAAATTGGTGTGTTGAACTTTTTATGAGGACTAAATAGCTGCCAATGAAAGTGTAAATGACTGCGTGGTGAATGGGCCCCACACAATAGCCCTGCAGTGACAAGGCCTCAGGCAGACATAATGACCATTGTCACGGCTGCTGTCATCTAGAAACCATCAGGGCTCATGAATCCATGAAGCTAAAGGAGGGGTGATCCCTCTTTTACTCTCACTCAGTCCACACTTTTGTGTTCTTGTGTATTTCTGCTCTATATTCTTGTTATTTTTCATATTTCTTTCTTTAATTCTCTTTGTGTGTATGTCTTATCTTTCAGTTTCAGTTAAACTTGATTTTAGATAAGTACGATTCACATAGATATCACAAAGATATCCGAGCAAAAAAGAAAAACATACTTCTGGACTATTTATGTTGTTCCTGTGCATTTTATTATAGATAAACAATAAATTAGACAAATTATGCTACAGGCACAAAAAGCTTTAGATCAATTTTAAACATCACTAGTAAACCAAAAAAATCTGTGTATACCCGGAGGTGTCTATGTATGTAAGACATGGTTAAGGTTGCAAAAAGTGCTTATTTTGATAAATGGTGCCAAAAAAGCTTTCCACAAATTTTTTTCATCTTACAGAAGCCCAGTTTGAAGTCTCCTCCCTCTGTTTTGTCCCAGGGGGCCACCATGTCAAATTTCCAAGCAAAATATAGCCTCTGCAGGCTTTTGAGACCACACAATTCTCATCTCTGGGAATTCCAGCAGGCTCTCATGGGGAACGAGCCCAGGAGGGCTCGGCCGGGAGCTGCTGTGCAGTGCACCGGCAGGAGTCCACCCAGACTGGGGGGTAATTGGTTTATCCCACTGCCTGGCCCGCTTTCCCATGTGGGCCACTGCTGCGGGGAGGCCCAGGGGTACAATATGGAAACAGCATGATACCCTCCAGTGCCGAACAGGCATTCACTATTCCGGCTATAGAGAGCAGGCACAGGGTACCAGGAACACAAAGCTGAAGCAGAGATGTCTCTCGGCTTTGAAAAGGTTGCCATTTGGTCTCCTTCAGCATTTGTGGTTGAAAATCTGAAGTAATTGAATTTTGGCTGAAGGTTTTTTTAAAATAAATGTTCTTCTCAATTCAAAAGGTAATGAGTTAGAGAGTGTTTCTAAAGTTCCACACATAATTGTCATCACTCATGCACCTGTCATGCACCTGGTAGAAGACTAGATTTTCCTAATTGTCCTTGTTGTCTTAAATAAAACACAGAGTAGGCATCACAGTGACAAAACCAGAATGTATTTCTCTGAATGAGACAGAGAAGTATACTCAGTTTACTCATTGTCTACAACTCTGTTTAACTTTAACTTTAACCAATAGTAGTGTGACAAGACCAGTATCATATTAACCCTTTATCGGGCGAGGAACCATATATGGTCACTTCACTATGACGGTTTTAATAACACTTCTATGGCATATTTTGGTGTTTTTTTTTATGGGTGAAATACTAATATACACTTCAATGTTACGGCTTTCTTTCACAAATAATTTAAAGTTGTCTTGATCTTGATTTGCTTATGGCTTATTTATTACATATTTTCATAGTATATTGATGTGGCATATTTCTTTTGCAGCAGCTGTCTGCTCAGTCTTTCTATGGGAAGAGGAGGCCTGCTGTGCCACAGATTGTTGTTGTGCCAGCCCACGTAGACATCATTGACTTTGAGTTTCAGCCTAAAACTGACTTTTTCGAAAAAATCAAAATAGAAAAAATGTCTTCTTATATCCATCAATAACACTCCAGGGTTGAAATTTTAAATTTCCAAGTATTTCAATGAGTGCCCTATAAAGGGGTTAATACCGCGAGCTAATATTACACCATCTACAAGCTTATAAGCTATGTTTCACAATGATTAAACTGCAACACTTGTGTTTAGAGAATCAAGAGCTGAGTTAAGTTCATGTACACAGGACCTCAGTTCAGAATGAGTCGAATCTTCCTGTCTCCAAGCAGGAGTCTGCATAAACAGGAAACAAGGTTACATAATTATCGATGCAATCAATGAAAATATGGTTTACTGGATCCTTTAAAGTGTACACTGTACGTTGTGTTGCACTTACCGAACCAGTGCAGCTGCTAGTAGGCCTCCTGTGATGGGTCCCACCCAGTAGACCCAGTGATAAGTCCAGTAGTTGCTGACAATGGCTGGACCAAAAGCTCTGGCTGGGTTCAGACAAGTGCCAGATACATCTCCACTGATAAAACAGACAGGTAGGATATAGTCACATGAGTTTCCCATTATATGTGTTAAAAATTATGATATTTATTGTATATTTTGAAAATGATTGTGTTTATCGTACATTTTTGTCTTATTTGCATCACAGCTACAGACACAGTCCTACGTCAGATACAGCTATAAAAATGGAAATTTGATGTGATATCTTAAAATCTTTCACTCGGACACTTACAGTATCAGTATATGATATTACATCATACACATAAAGAAATGCTCCTCATACTCTTCCAAAATAAATGCAATTTACTTCTCATCTGTATTCTCACTCATTTTTCTCACCCGGCCAAGATGTTGATGATAACTGTGCAGCCCACCATAAAAGGCACCAGGGGGCTTCTGGTCTTGGTATTGACAGCCCCCAGCAGCACCACGATGGTGACCAGGCAGGTCATGGCGACCTCTCCAAACAGAGCTCCTCCTATTTCACTGCCCGGTTGCAGCAGATCAAAAGCAGCCCCATGGGCTTTGGTGAAGTTCTCTCTCGATGTCATCGCCTGTTGGCATCAATTTAGCCATAATTCAGCTTCAGCTTCAGATGTAGAGAGTCTAAGATGGATATTTTAATGACATAAAAATGAGACAGGTTCACCTTTGCCATAGCAGCTCCAAGCACTCCTCCGACCAACTGACATGCAAGGTATGGGGCCACCATATTCATCTCCATCCCTCCACATAGATAGATGGCCAGAGTGAATGGGGGGTTGAAATGGGACCCACTGGTGAGGCAAAAAAGTCAGAAAACTTTTGAGTTTTAGGCCATGTTATGAACGTGTAGAAGTATACAGAGTTCATAGGAATGAAAAAAGGCAATATGGATTATCAGATTTTGGGATCCTCTTCTAAATATAACTTTCTAGCCTTTCTAACCTAAATGATGTTATGTGATGTACGAAAGTATGTGAAAGAATAATACATTTTAAGGTGCACAGATGAGTAAATTTACCTAGAAAAACAAGACATACAGTGCTCCATTTTGTAATATTTTATATAATATATGTGTTTCTGAAGAAAAAAGTTTTATATATTCATTATTGTCTGCCCAACACACGCACAATAAACTCTGCATAATGTGTATAATCTATTTGTGTTTGAAAGAACATTGAAGATGATCCTCACCTGATCCCATCCATGCATGCCACCATGATGGCCACAGCCAGACCGTGCACCAGAGCTGGCTGAAGCCTCCCTGCGGACTCCACATTCTCTATGACTGACACACACCCAATAAACACAAAGAATGTCGTTCCCACCAGCTCGCCCAGACACGGCTGTATTAACCTCTCAAATTTGTTAGGAGGTCTGGCCGGAGGCATCTTAGCCTCTGTAGACAGAAGAGTTGTCCCAACTTCCCCAATCTCCATCTTCTCATCGGCCATGAGTCTTCAGTGAGGTCTGGTTGTGAGAGCTGAAGATGTAATACTGAGTGCTCTGAACTCAAGTGTGCATACAATTATCTTTATGCCTGCTAATCACAAGGACTTTGGTGTGTAAAGATAGAGTCAGGCAGAGTTGCCCCACTGACCCTTTTTCTTATTAATCCAATACAGTTCGGTCATCACATGCACTCTCATTACAAGAGGGCAGTTGCAGAGGTAAATATTTCAAGCATTTGCTGACAAGTCGGTGAACTGTGCCATGTACTGTTTAAAAATCAACTAGTTTTTGTCAATGATTATTCCCTAATAACAAACATGTTTGCAGATGTTACATTTCCCTGGCAGGGTCAAAGCAGGACAAAGCAAAGTCTACGGCAAAGACTTCTCGCTAGTTAGGCAGTGAACTGAGTAAAATATGAAGTAGGTTCACTCTTATTTTGATGCAGATACAGTGGGACTTCAAGATTGTTAAAGTCAAGTTTCTGAAATCCTAATAATCATAAAACATTAAGGGTGCAAACCAGAACACTTGCAAAATGTTTGCCCGAGAGCAAAGTCTGTACCTTGTTTATAATCTGGAAAAAGATGGCTTATTATAGATATACTAAAATTGTATAATTTCATGATACAGCAGATTTCACTTGGTTACTAATTAATAATTTCCCACAAGACAATCACACATTAAATAAAAAAAACACATTACAAAACACATACAGTACTGGGCTTTATTTGGTATACCTATTAGGAAAAAAATCTAATTTTGCTGTTATTATAGGATGGTTTGTTTATATCGGTAAAATGTATGATAATAAAAATAATTGAAGAAATCCTTATGGCTGCACAAGGATAATTTTGCACAGCGGTTCTGTGTTGAGAAGTTGAGATCCACCAGTAGGTGGAGATATCAAACAAAAATCTGAATCAGGATCACTGAGAATCCTGTGGGCTCATATTTTCCAGTTTGGAGTGAAAATGTGATTTGAGGGCTTCACAGGTCTCCAGTGGCATAAACTGGACATCCAAACGTTACAGAGACAAGCAGCAAATCAGTAACATTGAATTATAAGACCTTTTGATATCACCAGACACACAAACTATACCTACTAAAATATACAGAAACTATAGTGTACAGACTTTCCTGCACTCTGACAGAAAGAGTAGAAGAGGCTCTTAAGATGCAAAAAAAATAATGACACGATGAGAAAACGTGACAAAAAGTGAGTGTTTTGGTGAATGTACCATTGTCAGCATGTCCGATATGAATTGAAAGGGAAAAAAATTAACTGGGGCTGTTAACACACACTTGGTACTGTTTTTTTTTATAACAGCCTGGATTCAAAAGTGCAAACTCTTGAACACTTTGGAGTTGCTTATAGTGACAACACTTTGAAACTTTGTACTAAGTACAGTGTGACAGAAAAGTTTGATAGTCAGATAACAGGGACAAATTAAGTCTAATTTTATCACTACAGAAGAGAGTTTAATTCTCTCTCAAAGCTGTTTTGTGTGTCTCACTTGACTTTATTTGCTGCTTGCAAATCACAGATGTGAATTCATGCCACTAGTTGTTCTTTAACGTCCACAGAACAGGGTTAAACGACCTTGAACAAAGTGTCAGGAGTTCTCCACTTTACGCACATGAACAGACACTGCATGTTTCCTTCATTTATTGGGCTTATATATTCCCGTTAGTGACAAACAGGGTTCATGTAGGTCTCATAACATTGCAGTCACTCAGATAGGCTGCCCTTTGCAATCTATACATTATTGACCCTCATAATAGGCTACATCAGGCAGATAAGGCAGAGGTGTGTCTTTTGTCTGAAAAGGAATGGTGGATTATCTTTAGCTACTATTAGGCTTAATGTCATGAAACAAAGTCCACTGAGGAAATTCCCTTTTACTTTAATGCAGGAAGACTGCAATAAAAATTCAACTCTCTTTATTGGATTTGTATGGCAGCACAAAATCTGTATCTGTGAATATGGCAAGAGCTCAGTAGATAAAACTAAAACTATCTGATCTTCATATACTTAAAATATGTTTCTGTTGTGCATTTTATTCTAATAATAAAATTGATTGCATATTTTTGAATAGGTATTTTCAGAGGGTACCCGTGTCGTGACAGAGCAGCAGCCACAAGGTGGCAGCAGATTACTGTGAGAACCAGAGTGCTCCAGTGTTTAATGACAGACTGATTGGAGATCAGGACACAAGGACACATTACCTGGACTGTAACCATCTCTGAAGTGACCAAGACTGGCCCCGAATCAGTGGAGGAAATGAAATGAAATGGCTTTCTGTCATGATGTGGAGGTGTTGATTGACGCTTGTTGGTTCTGATCAGCATTATAACCACTTGTTTTCTCTTTTTTTGGAACATTTGCTATATAGGCCTCATTAGTTCACCCATTAGTGACTTTTGCAGAACTTGTTTTTCCAATCCCCTTACTATGTTTATTGTTAGGTACCAAAATGCTAGCCTGCTTGGCAATAAACCTGTTTGTAAGTTAACCCAGTGGTGTGATTTTCTACAATCTATTATCTATAATCAAATAAAACGTAAAAATGTAAATGTGACTTTGTCATGACCATGACAGACCAATAGCTGAGTCAATGCTTTTTCTTTTCTTTTTTTTTTTTTTTTTTTGCTAAGGTATCACATGTCACCATTGGGCCGTGCAGCACACAGTAGGGAAGTAAAGGCACTTCCTTCTTCCTACCACACTGGTTGCACTCTAACCAGTCACTTCAATAGGAAGTCTAATATTCGTGGCTATGGGGATCCAGAAGCTCGTCAGCGGCTGTTTCAACTGACTTCTCTGCTTTCTCCTTCTCTCTCTCTCTCTCTCTATCTCTCTCTGGCGTTCAAACAGCGGACGGCCAATGTCACCGAGTTTAATGTGGAAAACCACTGAGTTGTAGTGCGTTCAAGTGCTCGGAGCCCTTTTTGCCACAATGGCTGCGACGTAGCGCAACTTTTTGGGTCCACTGTGGATGAACGACCGCGCTCCGAAGGCGCCACAAACTTTTACCGACTTGCTGGAGACCCCGAGGAGGAGAAACCATGAAGAAACAGTTCAACCGCATGAAGCAGCTCGCCAACCAGACTGTCGGAAGGTGGGTGTTTATTTTAACAACATGCATTGTTGCAAAAGTGGATGACATATATTTACATTGTGGCAGGGAACAACAGTGTTGCTGTTGTTGCTTTTCGTGATTTGCCAATATTCAGTGTTGTCCTCGTTGTTATCTGTCGGAAGGGCTGGGCTGCGGTTTTTGCGTAATAAATACCTGGATGAAGGTTTAGTAAAGTTTGCAGTTGAGTAATGTATCTACATGTCACATAGGCTTTGATTCTTTAATGGTTTTTAGACAATACAAGAAGTTTTGAAAAGGTGTCTCAGATGTTGTTTAATGAAGTATGAAGCTTTTCTTCCCTTTAACATTCTCCTGCTGTGTCTGTGGTAGTAATAAGTCAGTGCCTTCATTAGATTTATGGCTGCAGCTAACAAATATATTCATCATCGATTAATCTGTGCGATAATTTTGGATTCATCGAATAATCGAAACATTAATGCAAAGAAATCTTCATTTGAAAATCAATAAAATGTCAAATGAAAGTTGAAAAATGTCCATTACAATGTCAAATGTTTAGGTTAGTCTGGCTAACGGACTATAAAACTCAAATACATTCATTTTAAAATCATGTAAAAGTGATAAAATAAGCAAATTCTCACAGTTTAGATGCTAGAACCTGCTAATATTTGGTATTTTTTGTTGTAAGATTAAGAATTGGTTATCAAAATAGTAACAGGTTAATTTCTTAGTTGGGTAGTTGATTAATGAACTCATTCTTCTAATTAAATTAATTAATCTCTATACCTCTCAGTGTACCTGAATGGAGAAATTCTGGGCTTGCAGAACCTGTTTCCAGTTTAGTAGTGGCTTTTGTGCCTCAAGGACTGTCTAAGATCACATTTGGAGATACTGGTACTCACACACACATTTCCTGATGTGTGGTGATACTACAGTTAGTTTACACACACACACACACACACACACACACACACACACACACACACACACACACACACACACACACAATATCTATACCATCTCTTTCCCCTCTCTCTCTCTCTCTCCCTTCATCTCCGTCCCCATGGGGGTTTCCAGCCCTGTTCTCCATCAGCAGGCCCTCCTGAGATGATGTCTGCAGTTATTACTGCATTAATGATGTCTGCAGATGAAGCCCCTCGTAATGTCTCTCCAACCAAAAGCCTGTAGCAACTGGATTCTTCCCATACATTCCTCCATATGTTGTGTAAGAGCAGTAAAACTCCACTGTGCCCATTGACAGCTCCATTACTGAGAGGCTGAAGTGTTTGCAAGCACACACCCACTGTGGATTTCTGCTGGATAGAGTCAGGAACACGTCAGGAAATATTTCGGTACAATTTGTAGCACTACATGAAGTTGTAGTCATGATGTTATATAAATAAATGGTTGAAATTTATTTATATAACAAATAAATTTATTTTGTTAAATAAAGTGAAACTACGCAGTCGGTAATAACTGAAAGGTCAAATCAGTGTTTAAAATGTCATTGTTAATTTCTTTTACCCAATCTTCATTCAATCTAAACATCAGTTTAGGGCTGCAACTAATGATTATTTTATTTGTTTTCAATAAAAAAAATGGCAATTGAAACTTCTCAGAGCCCCAGATAACATCTTCAAACATCTTGTTTTGTCTGACTAATCGTTTAAGCTCTGCATCAGTTTGATGACCCAGACTGAGAGAAGTATAAAGTTACACCATCATTAGGTGTAGGTCCATTTTTTGTGATATTATTTTTCCTTAACTGGGTTCAGAGGGGTGACAAAAAAGTCATATACCATCCTTCCACATGGATAAGCCAAATTAAATGTTCATTACCATGGATTTTACACTGATTGCCACCAGAGCACTAGCATGTCCAGTGGATTTGACGGTTGGTTTGTGATGATGTGGTTCTCTGTTTGGCACAGGAAGGGCCAGGCAGAGAGGGTTTTTTGTGGAGTAAGCATTTCCACGGTTGTTGTCGGGGACACAGTGGAGGGCCGGGGACGTCACGCAGCCACAGATGGGTGTTTTTATAAAAGAGGAAGCCAGTTTGATTTACATGTGTTTAATAAGGAGGAAGCTGTTTGATTTACGTAGAGTTGCAGTGTGGCTTGCAGGGCAGCAGTGTTTATGAGTCCTTGCATACCTCTGGAGAGATAAGCTTACACCAAACCCTTTAAACAAAACTTTGATTTGGGATGAAAAACGAAGGCAGTTTAACATTATTTTTCTCACTGGCTTAGTAATCAAAAGTCCGTTTACGTAACACACAGTTACTGGTCTGCTCTTTCTGTGTTTCTGTGTTGTTCTGCTTCAAGTTTTCTGTCAGGGTCTGGGCTCTGGCATTGAGTCTATTCTTAGAACAATAGCTGCTGACCAGAGCCGAGCTGTACTCCAGTCAAATCAATGCTAATTCAATATTGATAAGAATCTAAAGATTGCTCGTGTAGCTTTCTCCTTCAGAGGCGAGCCAATGAAGCCCTAATGTGTAATGCGATCATGTGGATCAGTGTGAAGGTATTCTGGCTGCACATCGTATCTCATGCCAACAAATGTATGTATTACATTATATGTATTAAATTTCGACCTTTATTGAACTGATAACGTAATATGGTGTGACTGTGTAATTTGTGACTAGCAGTGAAGTTGCAGATTGCAACCATTTGAATACAGCTCAGGCTGTGTAGGAGAAACTATGTTGGCTGTGAAAAAGGCCTTATCCAGAGAGCATTCTGTGCTACTGTAGAAACATGGCGGTTCAACATGGTGGCCTCTCTGTGGAAGACGACCCGCTCCCTCTATAGATAAAAACAGCTCATTCTAGGGTAACAAAAACACAACTATTCTTATTTCAGGTTATTATACACTAATGAAAACATACCTATGAATATTATATTCCATTTCCGCCAATAGATCCTCCTTAATGTTACACACCGGACCCTTAAAAACATGGCTTAATTGTCCTATCCCTGTCTGCATTTGTACTAAATCTTATGCGTTTCAAACATCAGTTAGGGGTCTGCTCTTTGCTTGGAAATATCCTCTGTTGCTTAGGACATGATGCTGTGTATGTTAAAGAAATCAGCAAGAAAAGCAGTATATCAAGACAGAAACTTCAAGAAGCCACAGTAGATACTGAGGGGTATCGTTTGAACATTTTGCCGTCAACAAGAGTTCTGAAACAAGGCAAGCTTGATTTGTGATATCACAAATACTGAAGTCAATCCTGGTCTAATATGCAGCTTATTCAAGTGTGATTTAAAAAACCTGAAGCCCCAGTGCACACACACTGAGAATGGACTTTACAGTGATGTAGGAGACATCTTGTGTCCGGCACGAAAACGTATTGCATATTCATAGTTTCTGGAATTTTTAATGAGGGAGTAGAATACATTTTAAGGATTTTCTACTTTTTTGCATAACAAACACATCAGAAACAAGTAGATTATTTGTATATCTTAATACATAACAGGAGTGGATCTTTGAATTTAGAACTATCTGATCAAAGAATAAGTGGAGAAGTCTGATAGATGCCAACTAGGGCTGTAATTAACGATTGTTTTTACTGTTGATTAATCTATCCATTGTTTTCTCGTTTGGTCCGTAGTATGTCAGCAAAGAGTGAAATATACCGTAAAACTTCCAATAAAAGCAGGGTCCCTAATAGAGGCAGGTCTCTTTTAAAAGGCTGGTGTGGCCACACGCTTTGACAAATAAACGCGGGTCTCCAATAGAGGCCTGGTCTGGATTTTATAGAAATTATCTCGATGTATAAAACCTCTTAAAACCCACCAGGTCGCCTGCTTGAGCGAGTTTTAAGTCGTTTTGATCTCCTACACAAATATAAATGTATAAACTTCTGTCAATATGTACATTATGCACATTGTGCAGATCAGTTAGATTCTCGACAATTCAGTCTTTCACTATATTTTATGAAAACTATCAACACCGAAGTATAACGTTAATTCATTCTGAATAACCGGTAACATGGTAAACAAGAGAGATGGAAAAAACCTCTGAAGCGATCATAATAATCATGTTACTTGTCAAATTTGCTGAACAAAACTCAACAGAAGCAGCAGTTAGTTTAGTTTAGTTTAATTTAGTTTTGTGCTAAAGGAATTAAAGGCCTGTCCCAAATAGAGGCCTGTCCCCAATAAAGGCAGGGGGAGTTCAGTGATTTAAGCAAATAAACGCCCGGGCTATTAGTAGAAGTTAGTTTTTCGGTACCCATCAAAAGATCCCTAAACTGAAGGTGACATTTTAAAAATGTCTTGTTTTCACTGACCAGCAGTCCAAAAAAGATATTCTATCACAGAAGACAAGAAGAAAAACCGACAATATTCACATTTGAGGAACTTAAACATGTACATTTTTGCAATTTGGGCCTGCTACTAATAGTACGAGCCAGAGGAGTGCAGCCAAAGGCATTTTCGATTAACAGTGAGGATATTTTAGTGAGATAAAGCTGTATCCGTAGGGTATAACTTACAGCATTAGGTAATAACTCTTGCTTGGCAGAGGGTTAATTGATCCCTGCGAGATTTGAATCTATAGTGTGGGCCTGCTCTAGTAGGGGTAGGGTCTTCAGGGATTTGTGTGTAGATGTAATGTGTGTCAGTGTTGGTGTATTTGTTAGATATCGACAAGGTGAGTGATGAGCTCATTTGCTAGGTCTCTCTAGCTCAGCAATATTCATCCCAAGAAGCAGAGACAGATTATTAGTCTCTGGCTCTGAAATGGGTGTAACTCTGCTATGAGAGCTTTGAGGTCACATATTTAGAAGCGTATCTTTTTTCAGATGTACGGGAGGTGATCTTGGAATATTATCAACATTTCCTAGAAGTTTTGCAGTGAGGTGACTATCCTGTTTTCCGAAGACTCGGCTATAATGTGCAGTGTGTTCAGGGTGTTTAAGACATCAACAACCCTCCTCTACACACACACATACATACACATCGCCCCTGTTGCCATAACAAACAAGGTGGAGATGACACGACAGGAAGTGTGTGTTCGGACAGAGTGGAGGAATCCGACAGGTCCATCATGGAAAACAGCCACAGGCATGAGTGGTGCGTTTGTGCATACATGTTGAGCATGTGAACACAAATGGCACCCAGCAATTCACATAAGACAAATGTCGCATTCTTAGGAGGTCTATTGTGTGACAGCATTTTATTGTGCATTTGTGGACGTTAGCTTATGCTGCACGGTGTGACTTTGCTGCAGGCACAAACTGCAGACAGGTCAGGCTGGATTGGCTCCTCTGCTTTAGTTTGATGGTCTCGTTTGCAGTGTGCTCATCAATTCAGCTGAATTTTAACAGCAAGTTTGGTCTTGTTTAGTTGAAATACAACACTGCAATAGCTGTATGTCAATGTGCTGCATCTTTCTGCCAATGCAGAATAGTGAGACATGTCCAAATGCTCCATTATTTTGGCATTTCATTCAAATTATGTGCTGTGTCTTCCTTAACTCATATCCGTTTTACATTATATTGTGTTTCTCTGTTTGTTGTCAGTGTTTGACTTTTGGCTTCATGTTTGTGTTTCCCTCAACAGGGCTGAGAAAACCGAGGTGCTGAGTGATGACCTCCTACAGGTGAATATGACCTTCCCCACTATTCCGATACATCAACTGTGAGATGGCTTTAGATTCAAACTGTATCTCGTGTCACAGTGTTGACAGTATTAAATTGTCATCCACTACCTAAAGTGTAAACATTCATAATTAAACAGTATTTCACACTATAAAAACATGATGTACATAGTTGAGGGACAAATCTTTGTATTTTTATGATAAGACATTCTCATGTGGACATTTATTTATCAACCAACAGAATATTAATCAACAACTAGTTTTAATTGGTGATAAATCCTTTCAGTAACTTCAAGTAAAATGGCAAACTTTTGCTAATTCTACCTTCTCCGATATGAAGATGGAGTCCTTGCCGAAAATAATCCTACATAAACCTTCATTTTGCCTTCAGCAAGTTTTTCTTCCAATAAGCACCTACTTGGAAAATAAGCAGATTAATTTATTTTGTGTAAATGATTCCATCAAAATGTTTTACCAAAATGTATAAGAACAATTATTATACAAATACCAAGAAAAGTATAACCTTATAGTCACACTATAATCATTTTTCTGTCAAACTTTGTTAACCTTATCGTCAGTGCATCGAACCATCTAAACCTCTGTCTGTGAATCAAATCCTTAAAATCAGGATCGTGTATCATAACAAACCATGAGCGGGCTATATTGTTGCACGCCTTGCATCCACAGTTGTGTCAAAAAGTGGCACAGAATGTTTACAGATTATTGTAACTGTGATTCAGTATCTGATCTATAAATCTATATATATCTATCTTTAAACCCTCTTTATTTTAAACTACTGTATTTGAGTGTCTTACAAGTTCTTCTCGAAGGCTCTGTTAAAGCCATCATGCCTTAGCAGCTTGTTGATGCCAAGTCTCTCTGCAGTCTTGGAGTACAACTACTGGCATTAAAACATTACTGCGGGAGTCTTTCATTCAGTAATGCCTCGCCAGCTCAGGGGTTTGGCACTGTAGGAAAAGTGCCTCATGGTTTTCCACTCAAGACGAACCCTGGCAATGTTCTGTTATCTTGAAATCATACTGGATGTCCGCTGTGCACCGTGTGTGTTGGGGGATGGGGAGCACTGTGGCTAGTGAAAATGTGAGATCACTGCTAGAAAAAGAGTGTGAAGAAATACAGGAGAGACTGAAAAAGACTGTTTACAGACAAAAGGAGCTCTTGTGGAAGGAAAAGTAAAGGTTAAGTCTAAAGCCTCTCATTCAATCATGGAATTCAAAGTTTTATGACATGTTGCAGTGAACTATGAACCCCATGTGGTTCGCACACACAGTATTACAAACACTTAGTGGTGAAGAAAATGATTATTTCTTGTTGAATAGGCGGAAATAAATGCAGACAATTGTTTTGCTGTAATCAAGACAATGAGTCGAGGGTTGTTTTTTTGCTTCAACGGTGGTAATAGTTAAATTTAGTTGTATATTGTCTCAAAAGTACAGAGCGCAGACCGACCCAACCCTTCCAGAGAATGCGTTCTCTCGTCTTTGGTCCTCGTTCCTGAACGACAGGAGCTTTGTGCTGCGTTAGACATTCCTTTAGCTCCAGCTCTCAGTGAGGAATGTGATTGTCAGGCGGTCAGCGTAGTGGAGGTGGTTGGGTGTCTTTAGGCTTCACAGCAACTTGAGCTCTAAGTTGCCTGTCAGAATCTGTGGTTTAATGGTTAATCAGGACGCATGCTGCTCACAGTCAGTTGTCAGATATACAACCTGATTACAGTCATCTCTATAAAATGTGTAGCTCACAGTTTACTGATTCATAGACCAGTGAATCAGTTTCGGCATTTTAATTTAATCACACTAGCTGGGGAAGTTTTTCCCCTCTTTCCAAACATGAGCAGAGAAAGAATATTTTTTTCCTTTCCCCCTCCCCACACGCTCCCACACCCCCTTCTCTAGACTGTCCAACTTGAAATTTGACTCTACGATTTCCATGGTGTTGTAGTAGTCTTTTCATTTCCATTTTTCCACAGTCCTTTGCCTTGGCTGAGGCATTTATCTTGTTTGGACACGTCCTGCCTCAGTGGGAAAGTTGAGGAGGCTCTCAGACCTGCCTGGCCTCATATTGGAGAGAGAGTCAGGCTAGAACTGATCCCATATCTTGGTATTTGAATACAACTTTGGATACACAATGGACCGTTATTGTTGTGGCAGCTGGAGTATACTCATATCTGATACTGTATGTTTAGCAGGTATCTGTCAGCTAGCCAAAGGGACAGTTCCAGCGTTTTCATTGTTGTTATAACACTGGACTGGTCTGTTAAAGGAAGAGTTATTTTTGGATAGACGCTTATTCGTTTCGTTGCTCAAAGTAAGATGAGAAGATTACGTCTGTGCGCCAAATATGTAGCAATAGCCAGCAACTGCTTAGCTTAGCACAAATACAGGAAACAGGGGGAAACAGCTAGCACTGTCTGAAGGTAACATCTGAATACCAGCGCCTCTAAAGCTCACTAACTAGGACGTTAGAGCTCGTTTGTTTAATCAATACAAAAACCGAAATGTAGAATTGACACATGGAGGGTAATGTGCAGGACTTGGCTAGTCGCAGTAAGTTACTGCAGCCTTGTTGTCACAGTGTGGTTGCCAGGCAACCAGAAGAGACTGCAGGAAGTTACTAGACCTGGGCAAGAAATAGTTTGGCCCCATTTAAGTGGCAAATTGTTTTTTTTACAGATTAAATAAATGCAATTTAATGTATTAATTAGTTTGCTTTTGCTTATGCAGATTTTGTTACCTTCAAAGAGAGTTAGCCGTTTCCCCCTCTTTCCAGTCTTTATGCTAAGCTAAGCTCACTGCCTGCTGGCTGTAGCTTCATATTTAACGGACAGACGTGACATCAGTATCGATCTTCTCATCTAACTCCACACTAAAAAGGGAATAAGCGTATTTCCCAAAGTGTCGAACATTTCCTCTGAGCAAACATGACCATTGTTGCGTTTGAATCGGCTGGCCAGACCGTCAGCCATCCTGCCAACAAGGTCAGCCAGTCAGCCGAAGCAGCTCCAAGCCAGAAAACAAAACTGTATCCACCCGCCCGGTTCCTCTCTGACTCACCGAACGTTCCACATTTTCTGCTGTGGCAGATCAGAGGTCGTCAGCTCACTCTCTTCACTGTTTTCATTGCTGCCCGGGAAAAAAAAAGATGGCAGCAACAGGCCTGTAAACCTTTGGACAGCTCCATAACTGGAGAGGCAGGCGGAAGGGATCATATATTTTGTGTGTGTGTGCGTGTGTGTGTGTGCGCTAGTCTGTCAGGGAGTTTTCCTGCTTTTTTTCCCTTCTTTCTTCAACTCTATGACTTCAGTTTGTCAGGGTGTTTCTGTGTGTGTGTGCAACAGTCTGTTTCCATAATTGAGTTTCTCCTCCTGAGGGCAGATCTTTTCTTGTGAGCACAGTAAAGCTTGCTGCTTCAGACGTTAGACTGGCTAATTAAAGTTTAAGATCATAAGACCTTTTCTTTTCTATGAGTTATTACGTTAAAAGAAGGTCATATAGATATTTTTCAATATTGACTGTATGTCTAATAACTTCATCTAGGTGGTATGTAGGTAAATGAAGACAAGATACATATATATTCATATATACACTTTTGACATACTTTAAATGTAAACTGTGTAAAACAGACTGTAATTCAATATCACAGACATTACATTTTGTATGTTTGCTGTGTGCCTCTCGAGGGTCTTATGGTGAACACTCGTGGAAAACACTTTTCCATCAGCGGAGACAATGCGATCACCCAGTCCGCAGTACCGCCCACACTACAGTCACTCAGGCCTCTTTCTTTCCTTCTTGGCGACGAGTTTTTGGAGGTCTGGATCCAATCGAGGCATCACAAGATAGAGCTAGACTTCGATGCATTAATCAGAGCTGGGGATCAGCTGAATGGTGAGCGAATCAATTGGATCCAGGCGAGGAAGCCAAGTCCAGCTGTGGTCTGGCATGGAACATACAGCTGCAGGAAAGAGAGGAGGAGAGAGTGAAGGGAGCGGGAGGAGGAAGAAAAGTGTCTGTGTGTGTGTGTGTGTGTGTGTGTCTCTCTGTAAGTGAGAGGGAGAGCTAGAGAGTGCCTGATATGGCTGTAAAGAGAACAGCAAATTAGTGGGGGATAAAAGTAAAGGAAGAAGAGAGAGAGCGAGATGGGGATCAGACAGCAAAAGAGGGCCAAATAGTGACACAGCGGGATGTTTACACTGAAACAGGAAGAGGAAGTGAATACTTAAATGACAGACGGACAGTTTGGTTTATCATAAATGTTTTCACCTCATACAAAATCTCACTTAAATACTATACTACGACAGTTTTCGTGGTAAAGGATACTGATAAAGTTTGGGTTTATAGACCATACTAGTGTTTTTAAGTTACATTTGGCAAAGACTTGAGACTTTATTGTTGCATGGTCATGAAGTTGTGAAAACTCTCAATGTTTGCTCTTGTCTTGGAAGTTCATGTAATTGGCCCAGTCGTTCCCAGTCACTTTAGAAGCTGCCACCTTAGTTTTCTTGGGGAGACTCTTTCACTTACTTACACCACTGACTTTACTGCCATCCACATCTCATCTCTCTTTGCAGTTGAATCTGTGTCTTTGCAAATAAACCAGTAAATTTAAGTTCTTTTTGGTGTCCCTACCATTATTTGCTGTGGCTGTGTGAACCGGTCAATGCCAAATGGCGACCTTTTCAATGCAAACCACAAAATTCTGTTTTTTATTTTTACGACATGAGTGGGTTTTTTTTAATTTTGGGACTGATTTTGAGGTTTTGGATACACCTTTAATATCACTTTTTATATTAAGCCATTGTGGGTAATGTTGCAAATAAATTAACAGTACTTGTTCATGGCAATATTAGATTTTCATATGGTAAACGGACAGCAGTGATATAATGCCTTTCTAGTCTTCCGACCACTAAAGCACTTTACACTACATGTCACCCATTCACACACTGATTGCAGAGCCTGCACTACAAAGAGCCAACTGCTCATCAAAAACTAACCAAGCCTTTCACAAACAAACAAACAAACACACACACACACACACACACACACACACACACACACACACACACACGCAGATATCAGTGCATCAGGGTTCAGTATCTTGCCCAAGGACATGCAGATGGAGCCACCGCCGTACATAAGAGCCACAGTATAAGTTTGATATTTGTATTGTTTTTATATCGCTATTGTTTTTTATTTTAGCCATAAACCATATTAAGTAAGGCAATCAATAGATAGTAACTGTGAAGGATTAATTATAACATCAGTGTTTCAATCCAAATTACCCTCGATACTGATCAGGTATCAGCCACATGTGACCAGTCCACATTGACAGTTTCAGGCTCAGTGACAATATAAAATCCACTGTTTCTGCTTTTAGTTACATTCATTTGGTCACAGCAATCCCTTGTGCGTTCTTTTGTCTTATTTATTATGAGTTCCTGCAGTGAGGAATGCGTTACACAGAGTTAAAATCTTGGGAAAAGAGAGCAAATGTATTGAACACTGGCAGATACACTGGGTTTAGGTATAATGATTGGTATCGTGAGAAAGAAAAGTTTGATCGATGCATCTCAAGGTAGAAGTCTGAAAATATATGTCACGCTCCGGAAAATGGGCTGTGGTAAAGTATACATGATGTGTTAAAACATGCAAAACCATGCAACCATGGGTTACTTAAAATACCTGCTTATGAAGTGTAACCAGTAGATCAGGACACCTCAGACCTGCGGTCAGAATGATATATTTGTTCTGCTTGATAATATCTCTGCATGGAGTCTTCAAATGTCGAGACAAAGAAGTATTCCCTGTTCTCAATAAAGCCCACAATTCATCAGCCTGTTACTTATCTGCTGGGAGTCCTTCCATCTGGCTGTCAGTGCTGCCTGTTGTAACATTGCACGCTGCAGGACAGAGCTCGACAGACATCCTCCATCATCTTTCAATAACAAGAGCAGGATGGAAAGTTTAGAGATGGATGTGCACTGGTGCAGCTTCAGCATTGTGATTTGTAGCTCTCACCTGTGTTATTTCTGTTGAACAGGAAACTCTGAGTGAACACTGCTCACAGTACAGCTGTTTTGTTTGTTCTAGGTTTATAACGTTTATAATGTGCATTCACAGATCGAGAGGCGGATGGAGTTGGTGCGTTTGGTGTCGCACAACGCGCACAAGAGGCTGGTGTCCTGCCTGCAGGGTCAACTGGGCACAGACACAGAGAAGAGACATGTAAGAATCACCCTCTGCCTTCACTTTTCTTTTATTCTCATAACGTCATCTTATTACCTCATCCTACCATGTTAGCAGCAACATGCTACAAAGCCATGATTTCTATTAAAAGCTTTCCCATTTTGAATCACTCGGAGACATGTTGGTGTACATAAAGGTGAATCACTGTGACACCATTGTCCGTATTGGCAGGGACCTGCTATCTTATGCTATGAACTCATAGCGTCTCCTCTTATGTAACACACTGATATGAGTGACTCAGGAGAAAAATATTCAGCACTGGCCTCCTGCCAGTTTAAACTATCACTGCATAACAGGCCCACCTCAGCCATATTGTCACAATACAACTCAGAGGGAATCTTGTTATATGTTACTTTATAATGCTTTTATATTTTTTTGACATGCCTGCAGCTAAGCATTGGGTAATCTTTTGTTCACTGTGCATTTTGGAACTTTAATATGTTGGTCTGTTTGCAGAAAAAGTTGCCCCTAACAACGCTGTCCCAGACCATGCAGGAGGGTGGCAGCCAGCTGGGAGACGAGAGTCTGATTGGGTGAGTTGCCAAAGTGAAGTACAAGATTTTATTTCATGCAAAACCAGTTTCAGCGATATTTAAGAGCATACAACGTCTGACTGTCTCAAAATGAACTCTCATTGATCTTAATGAACCAAAAGAGCATAATTAAAAGTGATGAACTGAGTGAACGGAGCATGAAGGGGCCTCTTTTGTGTCTGTGTTTTCTTTTACATTAAAATTTTTTTCTCACTGTGATAAAACTAGCAATAACAGTCATTTCATTTATTTCTGTGTGTGTGTGTGTGTGTGTGTGTGTGTGTGTGTGTGTGTGTGTGTGTGTGTGTGTGTGTGTGTGTGTGTGTGTGTGTGTGTGTGTGTGTGTGTGTGTGTGTGTGTGTGTGTGTGTGTGTGTGTGTGTGTGTGTGAGCAGCAAGATGATGGATGTATGTGGGGAGGCAGAGAGCAGGTTAGCAACTGAACTGATGCAGCATGAAGTCCAGATTGAGAGAGACATCCTGGATCCTCTCAACCAGCTGGCAGAGGTAAAAACACAGCAGCTTCCTTTATACTGTAGCGATCCCTTACGCCCTGCCTGCATGTGTCTGTATTTAAGTTGCAAATCTGCATAATTGTGGCCTAGAAAAATCCCTTTTTTTAACCAAATTACTTTTAACAGAAACATTCAGTGAGCCTGCACAGAATCCAAACATACTGTTGTGTGTGTGTGTGTGTGTGTGTGTGTGTGTGTGTGTGGTTGTGTGTGTGTGTGTGTGTGTGTGTAATCTCATGATTGTGCCAAATTCAACATGGCCTCTGGCATCTTTTTGTGTTGTATTACCATTCTGCATGATTCATATTGACACAATGTTCTCACAGGAAAGGTGTTATCCTCAGTGCTGACTATAAATTGCTTGTGTACTCATGGGTCCTCACTGTTTCTCTCACAGATAGAGATTCCCAATATACTAAAACAGAGAAAACAACTCGCCAAACTGGTTCTGGACTATGACTCGGCCAAGACGAGGTAGACCAGCATATATTCTGAATTCTACTGCTACTATTATTTTCAGATGTCAACTTTAATTTAAAATTTGTTTTTTCAAAATTAATGTTGATCTTAGTCATGAATATGAACAAAAGAAAGGAACTTGTTAAATCAAATACACTCATGCTTACTGTAAACAGTGTCCAAATAATTTCTCGGCCCGCAGGTACTACCAGGCGGCAAAGTCCAACAACCAGGCTATGGCAGCTAAAGCCGATTCGCTTAAAGACGAGATGGACGAGGCTCTCAACAAAGTAGAAATATGCAAGGTAGATTTTGTTTTAAATTTGTACATTGCAGCCAGGGCCTTTTCATCAGGTTAGAATAATATCTTATGAACTGACTGAACAAAGGAAGCCTTGTAACAGGAGTGCATCGGGAACCAAACATGCCACGCACATTGTTAGGATCACGTAATTGGAGGTCATTGCTTTGTCATCTGGAGTTCATCTACGTCTTAATGAAAAGTTTCTGTGTAAAGTAAAGCAGGAGGTTTAAGGTTGCCATAATGCTTTGCCATGTATGGAAACTTTTTTTTTCTCATCCTACAGGACCAGCTCTCTGCAGACTTGTACAACTTTGCTTCCAAAGAGGGAGATTACGCACGCTATTATGTCATGGTGAGTGCACCTCAGTTTAGTGTAAATTACCCAGAACAAAAATGGAAATGTGATGCAAATATGGTCCATTCCACTGTAACCATATGATTTGTTGATGCAGTATGAATGCCTGCTTCAGTATATGCCAAAAGGTTTGTATGTATGACCTATGTTTATGTTTTTGTAACAGTTATTAGAGGCCCAGGCCGACTACCACAGGAGGTCTCTGGCAGCTCTGGAGGCAGCTATACCGACTATCCAAATACAGCAAGGTGAACAGCAAATCTGCAAACAATGTAGAAAACATAACCATTGCATATCTCCTTTTAGTTGTAAATATATCCATCTGTTTGGTGGACTATTGCACAACACATAAGCCACTCTGCTTTGAGAAATGCAGACTGGCTTGTTATGTCTTGTTGGGCTCACAGAGTTAAAACAGCGATTTGACTAGCAAAAAAAATATATATTTCACACTGTTTGTATTTTTTAGATTAAGATCAGGCACAATCAATTCAGCATATTTTCCAAGTTTTGTACTTTTTTTTTACCACTGCCTCGAACTCTTAAATGTGTCTGTGATGAAAAACTTTTATTTTGTCTCAGACCTGCTTTTTGTCTGCTCCAAATAAATGACAGCTGACTAACAGCTCAGAAGGTAGACGTACAGCAGAGGGATGATAATGAAGTCAGTCAATGTTCCAGAAAACAAAATCACATTTCATTAAATCAGTTTCTCTCCTAAGTTGTCTTTCCATAGAGCGTTTACATGCAAGTAACTAGGTTACAATCAGCTTTCGGCTCTCTAATGAGAAATTCTGTAACTGGGGACTAAACAAACAGAATTTCCCTGGCTAGTTTTATCTTGGAGAAAGCCGATTTCTTGGCCGTGTGTACACGTAACTCTGGTTTGTAATCTGCTTTTTACATGTGTGCATGTGATCGCTGAAGACTTCAGCTCGGGAAAGCGTCACTGTAATGGCAAAGCAGTGGGATAAAAGGAGGGATCATTACACCTAGCAGTACATCTTTTTTTCAAACTAATCCATCCAAGTCCAGCTAAAACTAACAGGACGTAACCTCCGTAAATCTAAATGAGGTGGTCTCTAAGGCTTAACCGTTGACTGTTTTTAAAATTCAGACAGATTGATGGTGAACATTAAAAGGCTAGTTGACAGACACAGAACAGGAATGCTGTCAAACATGCGTATAAAGACACTGATGATGATCTTCTCTCCTAGACTCTTGGATGGAGAAGCCGGCGTTTGGCACAGCTCTGGAGGAGCACTTGAAGAGGAGTAACCGTGAGATCGCTCTGCCCATCGAGGCCTGCGTCATGATGCTGCTGGAGACCGGCATGAAGGAGGAGGTACGGATGGAGTGATGGCAGAAGAGAGGTCGAAAATTTGGTAAAAGTAGGCCAAAGTTGAAGGGTTAATAAACCAGAAATATTTGACATAAATTTGTAACCATAAAACTTTCCCGCTCCGCTCTGCCGGAGCTGGAAGGAGATGTGATTTCATGTGGACTGCTCTCTAGAAATTATGGTACATACAGTCTGGAAACATCTGCAGCCAACTTGTGGTCAGTTAGCCTTGAGGCTGTGGTGTGTATGTGTGTGTGCGCAGGCATCTGTTACCCATTAGCATGTTCACTATTACACCCTTTAAATTGAACCGTATCACTAGACTCCCCAAGGAGGACAATTTAAGACATTTTTATTAAAGGAAACAAAAATCTTTCTGTACTTCTGTCTGCTACTCATCCCGAAAGAGCCACATCTCCCTTGACTTTCTCGGTCACTCAGTGGATGGTACACTTCAAATGCTTTACTTCTCCTTTCCTGTACCAACCCAGACTCACTTCTTTAATTTCAGGTTTGAAACCAGTCACCTGTACCACTGTCTAGTCATTTTCCCCTATATTTTACCTTGCAGGGTCTCTTCAGAATAGCTGCCGGAGCATCAAAACTGAAGAAGCTAAAAGCGGCATTAGACTGCTCCACCTCGCAGCTCGAGGAGTTCTACTCTGATCCCCACGCCGTCGCTGGTACAACCTCTCCTACAAATCCACAAAAAGTGAAGCCATCTGGTGCAGATCCTTTTCTCATAGCTTTTCTCTTCATACATAGGAGCCCTGAAGTCCTACCTCAGGGAACTTCCTGAACCTTTAATGACTTTTGGCCTGTACGACGAGTGGCTACAGGCCTCCAAGTAAGAAGACACACACATTCAGACAGACATGACTCTTTTAAAACACACTCACTCTGCGCTAATAAGCATTAAACTCACACCTGAATCTGTGTGTGCTCTCTGTTACCTTAAGTAACCAGCAAATATTTATTTGTTTGTGTGTGTGTGTGTGGTTTCAGTGTTCCTGACTCTGACAAGAGGCTTCAGTCTTTGTGGATGACATGTGACCGTTTGCCAAAGACTCACAAGGCAAACCTCAGGTAAGAACATCTTCAACTCTGTTGTGGTCTGTTTAGATGATGCAATGTATGAATTGTCGCTGCAACAGAGGTGTGAGCTTTGTTTTTACAGCAGTACAGAGGTGAATGTGAGTTGAAAAATAGAAAGCTTAGAAATCTTACTAGTTTGCTTGAACAAATTTTGATGCCTTATTCTCAGAGCACTCACTTCTGCTTAGAACAAAGGTTACCAACCTGCGGTCATGACCCCACAAGAAGTCCCAAGATGAATGTTAGAGGTCAAAGATAATTAAAGAGAAAAGGGAACAAAAGAAGAAGAGACAAATTTCTGTTATATAAATTATCTTTTTTTCTACTTTCTGCTTTTTTATTGTGACATATTTGACATTTTTACCACTAATGACTCTAAAACATCATTCAGACATAATCTAAGAAGAAAAAGTAGTGTGGTTGAGCTGCTCAAAACTCATGCCTACAATAAACCATCACTTTGCTTGAAGCTTGGGAACCATTTAAACATCAGTTAGCTAACTTGCCTGTAATGAACAACAGTTGCAGTAGCTTAGATGTTTTTAAACCAACTGGAGTCTCTGTTTCAGGTATCTGGTGAAGTTTCTGGCTAAACTGGCCCAGGACAGTGAGGCTAATAAGATGACTCCCAGCAACATCGCCATAGTCCTGGGGCCCAACCTGCTCTGGGCAAAGACTGAGGGGTAATGACTCTGTGATCTGTTAGCTTATATTTATGTTACATGGACAAAGTGAGGCTGAAGTTCTTAAAGCTTCCTGTCTGTCTGTGGTTGTATTCAGGACGCTGGCAGAGATGGCAGCAGCTACATCTGTCCATGTGGTCGCCATCATTGAGCCTATTATCCAGCACGCTGATTGGTTCTTCCCAGATGGTAAAACATCAGTTTGTTGTATATGCAATAATACTTCTTGTAATGTACTCTATGTATTGTATAAAAACTTTATACTTTTTACTCCACTACATTTATATGGTAATTTATTATTTACAGTGTTACTTAGAGGTCCAGTATGTAGGATTTAGTGGCATATAGCAGTGCAATTGTAGATCGCAACTCGCTTCACCCTCTCCTTCTAAGCAAGAAGAAGAAACTTGGGTGGGTTGGGTTCATACGAATAGATCCTCCTAAATGTTACACACTGGACATTTTTAATAAAAGCTTACGGTTTTGGAGGTTTTTTCCAAACTTTCCTGTAGACATTTTTAAGTGAGAAATATTTTGTCTTGACTTAAAAAAAGAAAACTCTCTTCCTTTTGCATGCTCTCTCCAGCTAGTGCCAGCCCATGCTGGTCCTCTACCGGTGGTCAGAGGGCATTTTGGAAAATTTTAATACATTTTTGAATTTTAATTTTCACTAAATTAAGTGAAACTGAGACACATAGAGAGAAACTGAGCCCACCAAGCAATTAAATTAAAACATGATCCATGATCACCATCAAAGTTTAGCATGCTAACACACACATAGTAATTAGTAATTAACAAGTAATTACAGTTTAATAGCTAGCCTGGCTAAAAAATAACTTAACAATAGAACTGATCAGTCCTCTCTCATTATCATCATCTCAAGATCATCTTTACTCTCATTGTAATTTTCCTCATCTCTTCTCTTATTTGCTTCCCACCTTCTTACGTCCAGAGGTGGACTTCAATGTTTCGGGCATGTTCGCTATGCCCACCCACCCGGCCACCCCAGATCCTGAACCCGGCCTGGAGAGGAAACGCCCCGGCAGCCTGGTGGGGCAAGATGGGGACAGTCACACGCCCCGTAAAGACAGGTACCTGTCTCGCCCCAACCTCAGCCTCAGCCTGCCCCTCACCCTCCCGTCCCGTCCCAAGACACTGAGCAGGCAGGAGTCGCGGGGCCCAGTCGTGTCGGCCCTCTATGTAGTGGCCAACGAGTCCATCACAGTCACTGAAACACCCACTGAAGATCTGCCCAGTCCAGACTTCAAGGCCGTGCCGTAGTCCAATGTAGCTCCCATGAATTTAATTATTGATAAGTCAAAGAAGGGAATGATGTTTTGTGTGATTTTTGCACCACATTTCTGTTTAGGTGGTTCTAGCACAAGCTAATCAGTTATGTTTTCCTCAAGGTTCGCACTGAACATGATGACAAAGCAGTTCTGTGTCAGACATTTTAATGAAACCAATGGGATACAATTTTTGTCTTTAGCTATAATTCTCATGTGTTACTCTTGTGTACTCTTGTGTTATTTCTTTGTTTCTAATTAAAGCTTAGGTCACACTGTAGGTTGCTGGTTTTATGTTTTGTGTGGGCTTCCTCTGTTGCATTTTGTTTGTATGGTGTAGCATCTGTCTCTTCTGTCCCTGCAGAGATGTCGCAGTACAAAGTTGTTCTATTTAAGAGGTCACTGTCATGTGGTTTTATGTCTTTTTGGGTTCTTCTTTCTGAGCTGGTTTCGTTTAACTCAGGAAGTGGCATCTCTTTCTGTTTCTCGCACCATCTCTTTCTGTCTGTCACACTGTTTTTCTGTCTCTTGTCTCTCTCGGTCACTTGCTCTTTCATTCTGTCTGATGGCGTGTGGTTTGCCCTCCTGAACTCTCTCCCCTCTCCCCCCCTCCCTAGCACTGTTAACAAACAGCCGGAGCCCGCTCCACGTAGAGCCAGCACTGTTAATAGAAAGCAGCCACAGCTAACCTCACCCACCTTCCAACCCCCACTGCCCCCTCTGGAAGCCGGGGTTCCTGCCCAACCTGAGCTCCAGCCCCAGGTTCCATCCCCGGCTACAGAGGCGGAGCAGCCTGGCCTGAGTGGTGGTGGTGGTGGTGGTGGTGCTGGTGGTGGTGTTCTGGGTGGTGGGGTCCAAGTAGCCACAGTGAAACCTCAGGTTGTAACCCAGCTCAGCGCAGAAGAGAGCAGGTAAGGAAGAGCAAGCTGAGGTAGCAACAATACTCCACCGCCTGCTCGCAGCCAATCAGCCAATCCGGAGCTCACCCACCCTTTTATGTTTGTCATGTGTTTGATTCGTCTTCAGTTCCTGTACTGGAGATCATAAAATAGAAAATCACAATAATAACAATGTCTATTACGTCCACAGCTTTTAATTTGGATTCATTTTAACAAATTAAGAATGTAATGCAACAAAAATCAATGTGATGCTTTTGTTTACAGGCAACTTTTGTCCCCTGTCCTGCTTGTTGTGATGATTGACAAACTCGGTCTATTTTATATGTATACCCCCCCTTCCTTTTTGCCTGCCTGTCAGCCAGTCTGTCTGAGTGACTACTTTGTGGCAATGTCTGATTTTGCATGTAACGCATTAATGAACAAACTTCTGTTTTTTGTTTTTTTTTTGCATCCTCTTCTCTACACTGGTTTTTATGTTGTTGTTTTTCTAGTCATTGCTAATGTAATAACCTTCAATTGGAAATATGTGTTTTTTTTGCATGAGTTTTTCCACCGATGCAATACCTTCTTCTTAAATGTAAAGTATAGATGATATGTTGATGGATTAACATTTAGATTTGTTGTATTTCCACAGCCCAGCCCGTGAGCTCATGTCCACCCCTCCTCCCCAGAGGAATGGTTCGCTCCATCTTACAGTAGGAACCCCCCACTCTCAAGGTGGATCCAGGGGGCCTAGTCCACACATGGTTCGCAGAGGTGAGAGAATGTACATATTCTGATTATATAGTACCATTAATATTCTTAATATCATGTAATTATTATGTGTTTTCCTCTGAAGGCACCAAGAAGCAGGCCCCAGCTCCACCCAAACAGGCCAGCCCCTTTGCCTCCCAGCTTAGTAACACCCAGACACCCAGCTCCCCTCACCACCCACCCATCACTCCCCGACGCCACCCCAGCAAAGACAGCCTGATCCACGCCCCTAGCCACCCGCCCCCGCAGCCTCCTCAAGCCCACCAGCCCCAGGCGGAGTCGGAGCCCTCTCCCCCAAGCACTCCAACCCCCCCTGACACTCCGCCTCATGATGGATTGCAGTCCAACCCACTATCTTTCTACCACTCTGGATCTCTCCCTCGCCCCTCCAGGCCGGCTCCCAGGCCACGGCCCCGACCCAGCATGCCGCCGCCCCCACAACCCGCAGCAAATGACAACGGTAATGGCATCTGCAGCTCTGCCTCAAAGATCATAACAGGTAAACAGTCTGTTTCCTGTGCCTCACAAATTGTTGTTTTTCAATATTAATTAATATATTATATAAAAAATAATGTGCAGTATCATGATATTTAAATAGTTTCTGGAGATACTAATCATATTTAAAAAAATGAAGGCACACCAGACTGCTGAAATCAAGAGAGGGTAATAACATTTCAGTGTACTTATATTGAGGAAGAGGCATTACTCTGTGTGTGAGTGTGTTTGTGTATGTGTGCACAACATGTGTACTGTATGATGAAGTTTTTCCATTGGAAACTCTCATCCGGCTCCAAATACAGCAGGATCTTTGATCTGGCCACTTCTGTAGTTTTGTGGTGCACAGATCAGCGTCATGGGTGGAAGATGTATTCAGATTGTTTACTTAACTAAAAGTAGTAATACCAAATTTAAAAAAAATACTCCATTACAAGTAAAAGCATGCATTAAAAATTTTACTTACAGAATTATTATTATTATTATGTACTTTAAGTATCAAAAGTAAAAAGTACACATTATGTGAAAGGCTCCTTAAGTGTTATATTATTATACATTATTGGATTATTATTACAGATGTATTTATGTTTAAGTGCCATTTTAATGTTGTAGCTGGCCATGGTGTAGCTAATTAGTTGCTTTATATACTGTTGAGTTGTTTAACCTATAGCAGTTTGTCATATTTTATAAGCTAGTATGTTTAGAATGTAAAATCAATCTCATCCTCAAAGTAAGCTGTAAAAAATGGCTGTAAAATAAATATAGTGGAGAGGACATTTTACCTCAGACATTTCACTTACTTTCACTTTTGGATTATAATTGATGCATTTCATGTTTCCACTGGTAAAGGTGAAGCTAATTTACTTTACTTTACTATAACTTCCTATACTACTGTTACATGTGAATTTTCCCCTGGGGATCAAATCTGATCTTATCCTATAATAAATAATACATCATAATTTATTTGTTGATCATCTAAGATAAAGTAAGATAAAATGAAAAATGAAGTACAATACTTGAGTAAATGTACTTGTTCATATTCAACCAATGAAAACAAAGAAGAGTGCAGTGAGCAACTATTGTGGCGTCTTAATGAAAGTACATAAAACGCTTCTTTAGTGATGTTTAACATGCAACGGCTGAAATCACGTGCTGCTCGTCTGCTGATACTGAATTCAGTATTGAGTGATTTCAGCTTCCTCTCATGGTTTCACTGTATGTAGGTCTCTGGCTTTTGGTTTCACTGTGTCATAAAGCCTCACACACTATATGTAACTTTGGTGATCTGACGCATGACAGGAAATATGTAAATATTGCAGATGTCTGAGCTGCTGGCCTGCCTGTAAGATGAGCTTTGCAAGGCAGGTACTGGTAAGGATCTGATTGGCTGATGCTTCTGTGTCCACTGCATGTGTGTGTCTCTGTGTGGGGAAACAAAGAATGCAGGCGTTTGCTTCTTTTTTTTTAGTGTGTCATTGTTAGCTGTTTGCATTCTGTATACATATGTATTTATGTATATTAATATGCTTCTGTCCTGCACTTTAACCCTTCTGTACAACACAACTAACATGCTTCTGACTGCCACACCATCCCCCCCAATGCTGCTAACAGTTTTCTGTGATCACTAACATGCCCCTAAACATACTAAACAGAATTTAAACAGACAGGATGCTGTTATTCTGTATGTGCACTTTGAACAGCTATATGTAGGAAATGTTTCACATTTAAAGATTAACACACCAAGGATACTCTCCAGCAACTTCCTCCATCTCTAAAAGTGTTACTTAACTGGTTCAATATATGCAACATTGACTAGATTTAAAAGAAAGATAAATCCTTGGTGTCTTACTGAGTGTGTAAAGGTCTTGTGTGTGTGTGTGTGTGTGTGTCTGTGTGTGCTCCCCCAGTTTGAAACTGTGTGTTGCCGTCATAAGTTTGGTTTGTTGCTTGAGCTCAAGTTTAATACGTGTCTAAATTGATTTATTTGCTGATCCCTGACTGTCCTGCACAGACGGAGGCCTGCTCCTAAAGGGGGTTGGACGAGCCCTTATCCCTGAGGTGATTGTGGACCAAGAAGAGGAGAGCTCTGCTGGTCAAGAGCCTGCTGCCGCCACTACCCCAGCCCCGCCCCTAGACCCTCAAATCCAGACAGAGAGTACCGTTCTGTGAAGAAAAAAAAAAAAAAAAAAAGAGGGCTCATCAAAATCCTTTCTTCACACAGCTGGCCCATGTAATAGATTTGAATGCTTATAATCAAATATCAGACAGGTAACTCAAATGCATCGGTTCACTCCAGCTCTTCACGCTGCACTCGCATGATGTCAGACGGCTCTCTGGGAGAAAGAAAAAAAAAAACAGTTGCCTTTTCCTCTGTTTTGCTGAGACTCAAACCAGAAACCTCATCCTGTCAAACTATTAGACTTCATTTTAAACTCCCTTTGTTCTATATACTGCTGGGTATTTTAAGATTGGACTGCAGAGCCTTGCTAGACTCGAGGCTACGGGACTTAAATAGATAACCTGAACACATAGCAGCTGAACTTTAAAGTGCAAAGCTTTCACTTGTCTTCTGCTTCTTTTTAAAGTGTTGCTATCGATACTAAAGGTTCCAATGCTATGAATGTTTTTGGAGACAAAAATATGTGAATCTGGTTTAAGCACCAGGTCAGGACTTGATAACTGGTATTTTTTTTTTATTCAGCAGCACAGTTGTGTGGAGATATTTGGATGTTAACCAGCCACTGGTTAGCTTTTAATCATGATACACAATCACCTTCTGAACTTTTTAAAAAAAATAATTTTCCAATTTGTCAGTTTCAACTTGCTGAATGTGATGTTCATCTTTGGAGAGCTTTTCAATAACTTCAGTACCACATAGCAGCGTAAAGGACCAAAGAAATGGATATGGGCCAAAGGAAATTTAATTAAAATTTAGAGCTGCTCAGCTTTTATTATGGTTGCTAATGACCAAATATTTTGGCAAGAGTGCAATATGACATGCAGTTGTCCTCCAGCGGTGTCCTCTCCACAGCACATGTGCTGTAATTTTTGGTATTTCAGGTAATTTTTCTCCTAGTAATCCAAAGGGATAGGAATTTATTTTGTTTTCCATCTGAAATTTGTTTGATTTCAAGTGACCTGATTGAAGCTCAAAATGGCTTTGATAATCCAAGTTTAGCTTTTATCATTAAAAGGGATTTTTAATAATAAATTGACTGTGGTAATTGTGTTTTCAATACATAGCTTGTAACTGATCACTCCCACTCAAGTTCAAAGCTATGACCAAATATGCCAAAATTCTTCTTTGTTTATTGTTTTTATTGCAGCTGACAATCTTTACCTTGTTGGGGTGTTTTTCAGCTCTTTGATTATATTTTTTTTTATTTCTCCTCAGCATTTTTATGTTTGCTTTTCTGCACATAATGCATCATACAATGCATCATTACTCTTAATTAAAGATTGTTCAACATTTTACAGTGTTGTCAGCTTCTTCTCATCAGTTATTTGTCATTCTGTCAAAAAGTAATTGTTTTTAACAGTTCCTCACGCAAAAGTGGATACAAAGCCAGAAAAAAGTTATCAGTCAGTTTGTTTATCAGATGTAGTTAACTTTAAAGACAACATTAAATTCAGTAAAATGAGCTTTTATCAAAATATTTGACATAAGCATTATTTTCATGTATGTCGCCTTGATTATAAATGTTGTAAAATTGTGCGTATTCCATTTATAATCAATTCAAGGGAACAAAATTGCTCTTTCTTTATGTATAGGAGTGAAACAAAACTGGAAGGGAAAAAAAATACTGTACACAACTTTTTACACACACCATGTGTATATTGAGAGTGTCCTAACCTGCCTGTCAACCCCAGTAGCCAATAATAAAGGCAGTTACAGAGAGGCAAATGATGAGGTTGGTGTTAACAATGAGTCGTAGATGTGGTTTTTCTTCCAGAGAGCAGGCAGGCTTATCAGGTGCGGGAGGGGTCACAGGATTATCTCCTTCCTGCCTCCTCTCCATCCCACACAGCCAGTAGAGGGCAGATATCATTCTGGACTGGCTCTGGACGCTGGACACGGATGATGAAGAGGCTGGAAAAAGAGAGAGGGTGTGTGTTCACTGACGACTGACAAATGGTCAAATGGAAAAGTTTAATGGTACACAGGACAGAGACCCACCTTTCCTGTGATGACAGGCCTTTCCAATGCTGCTCTCCTGCTCTCCTATCTCATTTGTCTGACGAGTAGTCTCCTCTAAGGTCCTAGTGCTCCGCTCCACTGAAAAGACCTGTTCTTTGGGCTCCACAGGGTCAAACCTTGTGTACCAGGTGAGACGACTTAGCTGTAAAGCAAGTAAAAACTTAACTTCCAAAGCTCTAAGAAAATCTGATTTACTCTGCTGTCGTCATTTCAGAGAGTATCAGTTTATGTTTGGCTGAAACACAAAAATCGGCAAATGTACTTTTCTGAAAGACTCCAATGATGATAAATCTGGTCAGTTTTAAATCGGTGTACTGCAAATTAATATCACTGCCTTAAAGGTACCCTGAGGTGTTATTGACACCTAGTGGTGCTGCAGAGTGACTATTTAAGCAGTAGTGGTATTGAGATCCTTTACTTAAGCTAAGTACTAACTACTACTAAGTAATACTATTAATAACATCCTCTATGACTATTATACTATTCTATACAGTATTATATCATTAGATTATTATTACTAATGCATAGTACAAAATTTAAAATCAATTTTAATAATTGAAATCATGAAATGTTTTTGCATAACAAATGAAAAATGATTATCAGAATAGTCAATTACTTTCAGATCAATCGACTTATTTATTATAACACCATATTTTATGAGCTAATAATAAAGTGGCATGAAAAAAAAAGATTGAAATACTTCAGATTTGTACTTAAGTACAGCACTAAATGTACTTAGTTACTTTTCAACCCCCGGTTTATATTTAGCAGATCTTAATTATTATTATTATTTATTATTATAGATCAGTATTCTTTGTATCTTGATTAGTGGCATTAATGGACAATTGCAATGTGCCAGTCAAAGAGAAGAATACTGCAAACTGATACAAGCAGCACTTGTTTTGAAACATTCTTCACACAATCCTACAACTAAATTTAGATCTGATGAAGTTGCTTCACCTGCTCCGGCTTGGGCTCTTCTGTAGCCAGGCTGATGACAACCACCACAACCAGGGTGATGAAGGACAGCAAGATGGAGAAGTATAGGTAATGGACGTATTTCAAAACCCCAGGCCTGTCATCCTCCTCATAGCACAGGGGTGCAGGGTAAATGAAGTCTAACAACATACGGATGCAGCCCACCAACAGGCCGATAGCCAGGCCCCAGAATGCACCCTGAGGGAGGAAGAGGAGAGTCAATAATGGGCACAATCACACAATTAGTTACAGTTGTTTCAGTGCTGTTTTCATCAATCACACACATTTTCTCTAGTTGGTTCACACATGACCTTGATTCTTTGCAGTGTTGTTGCTGTCACACCACAGTGCGCGCACACACAAAAAAATGCAGACACAAAGTCACATAAATACAACTACAGAAGACACAGGCTGAGTGTGCATATGAAGTCATTTGCTGTTTTTTTTTTCATAAATCACATTTAAGTGACAAGTGCATAGCCACATATACATAAATATATACTTATTATTTCTGATTATACATTTAATAACTAATATTCTGTTGTCGGGAGTGATCTACAGTCAATGCATGCAACTGTCTCTGTGTAGAATATGACACACTGTTAACACTGATACTCTGCAGGATCTCTTTCTTCAATGTCTCAATGAATAAATAATATTCATACGATTTGTACCACCATACCTTCTCATTAGTCCTCTTCCAGAAGCAGCCCATGAGGAAGATGATGGAGACAGGGGGCTGGAGGTAGGTGCTGATGGACTGGATGTAGATAAAAAGCTGCCCACCCTGACTGGCCTGGACGACAGGAATCCACAGCACAGACACCACCACCAGCACGAGCACAAACACCCTGCACGTGAAACACAACAGTCGTGATTTTAATGGCAAATAATTCAGATCTCCGAAGACATAAACTGTATATCTGAACAGTACTGTACATTTAGTTATGAGGGGGTGTGTGTGAAGGCTAGAAAAGAAAATCTGGTAAAGTCATTACTTAGAAATATTTGGAAAGAGGAGTTTTGGTTTGGGCTTAGCATTACAGAAAAATTTAAGAATTTAATATGCAATGGTTGATTTGATCCTAAGTGCATTATGATGCAATTCCAAGAGGGAATAAAATATTCAACATGTATAAGCCTTTAACCTTTAACTTAAGACCTCAGTGGAAGAAGCAGACAGCAGGGTGGCCCTCTTTTAAGTCTCCATTAAATACACTACATTACACTTTATTGACATGTTATATATTTTGGATTATGTCAGAGGTGGTCACATACCTGCCCACAATCATAAGCTCCCACTCGGATGCACGGGATCTGAAACTCTTCCACAGATCCATGGTGAAAATGGTGCTGGCACTATTAAAGATGGAGGTCAGAGAGGACATGAGGGCAGCAATCATTACCGCCATCATCAAACCTCGCAGCCCTGGCCGGGAGAACACACAGAGATAGGCATAAAAGAAATGTATACAGTCATGTGTACATAGAGCAGAAGGCAGGACAGGAGGTGTAACAAAGGAAAAAGTCTCTCACCAGCAGGCAGCAGCTCCATGACCAGTCTGGCATAGGCAGTGTCCGTACAACCCACTGGGTTTCCACAAATCTTTTCACATAACTCAGGGTCTGCACACGCCACATCATCTACACAGTATTATTAAAACACATAACACTCAATCTCAAATATCCACAATGTGTCATTCAGTTTAATCTATATAACAGCTTTTTTAATATTAAAACTCTCAGCACACCAACATGACCTGATTGCAACCAGTGTGTCCAGTATTGAAGACCTATTCATAGATTTGGTACTTATTGTACTTACTGTGTTTATTACTATATAACAGACCCCATATATTGTTTCACATGAAATGTTTATCAAGGACATTTCCACCAGCTGTTGCTGGATTCATGAATATCATACTGTACCTGTGTAAAGTATCCTGCTGATCATGCCAGGGAGCATGATGGCAAAGAAAGGGAGAATCTTCAGATAAGCAGCCAGTAGTGAGCCGCCTTTTGCATGGGTTAGGGTCTTAGCAGCCAAGGATCTCTGCACAATCACCTGTAGAGAATCACAGACCCTTGGTTAACTCCCAGGTACCATTGGTTAATGAGTAATGAAGATATGCAGCAGTATGTAAGTGTATTTTAATAGGGGGCTGTTTAATGTGGATCAGACTGGATAAGCAATCACATATCTCGCTGTTATGACTCAGGCATTTGGCAGGTATCAAGGGTAAAGGTTTTATGTATGCAAATGTGATAGAAGGGCTAAGCTGAGAAGACAGGAAATGCTCATTAAAACTACTCTCGCCTTCTGTTGTCTCAGGTTTGGCTGGTTGGCAAACTAGCACATTGATAGGGTATAAAAGGAATTTTTTAACCTCTCTGAAAAGCAAAACATGCCAAATTCTCAATATGGGTTTTTTTTTTATGCTGACTCTTTCATACTTAACTTCAGAGGAATTTGTTAGGACACCATAAACAAGATGTAAAAGCAAAAATACACTTTCGTCTCTTATTTTAGTTAAATGAATAACATAAAATAAAGTAAAATAAAGTAAATAATGTTGATGTTATATCCATGTTGGCAACTCAGGGTACCAATATTCCCTCCCTGTGGAGATCAGGTTAGCCACCACATACTCAAATTCACAGACTGAAGCATGATTAAATGGCTTTTTATACATGCTGATATGTGATATGTGAGTTTTTAAGTTTTTAAGAGAATTTTTAAACCTACAGTACTACTTCTCTATTCTTTTTATTTAGTTTTATTTGTTAGTAAAGGTGCTACACAAAAACGTTATTTTTTATAATGGTACCTGGTCTGAACACCAGTACCACATGGAGGGAATGGACATGCCGATGATGACCCCAGGCCACGGCAGGTCAGAGTTCACTGGGTCTCTGAATATGTGGAAGGAGTCGTGTCGAGGCATGCCACAGGTTGAGTTTGGCACGCGGACTGAAGGGATGGCGTTGCCGTATCCCTCCATCAGAGCATTCCAGCCTCCGACCTCCGCAAAGCCTTAACAGGGAGACAACAGGGTCAGACAAACTGGAATATAAAGAGCTGGTGAGGATTTCATGTGCAGTCAGATTTGACTTACTAAAGCCCATGAGGGTGAGAGATCCTGCCAGCATGATAGCAGTTTGAGCAGCATCTGTGTAGATAACTGCAGCCAGGCCACCTGGGACGCAACACACAACAGCCAGTGACATACAAAACAAGCAATAAGCAGTACTGTTATGTCTATTTCTAGCAAGAGGTGTTTAAAATGGTAAGGGAATGAGGAAGGCCACCTGCTACAGTGTAGACAGCAGTGACTGACAGCAGCAGTACCACCGCCAGGTAGATGTTCCACTGTAAGGCAAGCTGAATGAACACTGCACCTGCATACATGTCCACCTAGGCAAGAGACACACACAATTGGGTGTAGATATAAGATAGACTTGACACATGCAGATGGGATTTGTTATGTGAAAACTACATAAAAGTCAAGACAAACACATGCACAAATATACTTGTTTGTCTCAACGTCAATATCAATTCCTAAAGAATTACTGTGGATTTGTGTCATACCGATATCTTTGTGAAGATGTAAATAAATAAGGACAGGACAGCAATAAATAACTGTGTTCTTCTACCACCAAAGCGCTTCTGCAAGTATTCTGGCATCGTTGTCACCTGGAGATGGGAGAGTTCATAGATTATAAAGGAATAAATACACAAAACCATGCATGTGCACATGTGTGATGTCTCATTTGTAGATGCCTCACCCCAGAGGCGATATAAATGGGCAGGAACAGCCATCCCAGCAGCAGCACCATCAGCATGCCCTGTCGATGACCAAATATCAACTTCAGACACTTTAGACTTGAAAAACAGCAACTGTGTTCAACATATTAAAACTTGTTTTTACATTAAGAGAATATATACAATCTCTTACATTCCACTCATATGCAATAGCCCCAATTCCTGCTGCAGCTCCTGACCCTGCCAGGCCAATGAAATGTCCACTGCCAATGTTACTAGCAAACAGCGAGGCACCCACCTAAATATATATGAAAGACTCCAAATCAAGATCAACTCAGTACTTCACTTTGAACTGCAGAACATTCCATCTGACTTTTGAAGTGTTTACTGATTAGAAATAAGGGCTTCAGTCTGCTCATGCTATAGTTAGTCTACACTGATAAAAAAACATATTCAAATTTAAGCCAGTAGGACTTCTCAAAAAACCTCAGCACTGACTCACCGGCCACCAGGTCATGTTCTTCCCAGCCAGGAAGTAACCATCCACCGTGCTGCGCTTCGTCCTCCACATGGACTGGCAGAAAAATTAGAAACATCTTAAAGATTACAGAAGAAATGTTGATTCACAACACCTGAGAAGAAAGTTATTGGTATCACAAACAGGATCTCCAGCTTTATATGCAGATGACTTGTTAGTCTACTTAACTGACCCTGAATTTTGCAGTTATGCAGTACAACAGTTATTTCACTTCTTGAGGATTTCGGATCATTTTCTGGGTATAAAGTACATTTGAATAAGAGTGAATGCTTCCAAATGAATGTTTAATTTAGTTTTTCTAATTGGAAAGATGTAGTTTTACATTGTTTATGACATTCCCCTACTTTGCTGATCTGCAACAAAATTAATTTTTACCTCACTCGAACTTGTTTAGGTGTGTAAGTATGTAATTTTATACAAAAACAATTTTCTTAATTTCCACCTTCCACCTAAACGCATTTGGGAATATATGTAAAACTAAAAAAAACAGGGTTATTATCATTCCTATATGATAGCCTCTTAAGTTTAGAGAATCACCCAACCCAGAAAATTGAATCACAGTGGGAGAAGGAACTAGATATTGAGTTGACAGAGGACAATTGGGAGGAAGCATTAAAATGGGTCAACTCCTCCTCATCATGTGCTATATAGCACTCATTTGCTTTAAAGTCCTGCATAGAATTTATTTCAGCAAATCCAGGCTTGCAGAGATTTACCCAGGCTTAGATACACGGTACAGCTGCTGTCATTTGTCCACAGATCAGATCCATATGTTTTGGTATTGCCCTGCACTTCAAAACTATTGGTCTTTGATTTTCAACACTCTTTCAGATGCCTCAGGGGTCCCTATTGAACATATATGGAGTTCTTGTTCTTCTCCTTGAATACAAAAAGCGATGTTATTGTATTCACAACTCTTCTGGCTTGTCTGAGGATTCTGTTAGCCTGAAAATCTCCCTGACCACCTTCACATTCTGGGTGGTCCTGTTCTGTTTTTCCCTAAATATGAAATAAGGAGATATTTGTTATCTGTGGATACTGTTTGTACTTACATCTTCATTAATTCATTCATTCCAACTATTGGGTTTGTTGAATTCATTGTGATCTGCCACTAGAGAACATCCACTTTCTACAATTGTAAGTCTTATCCCAGCTACATACAGTCTCACACTTTACAGATGTTCTGGAAAAGTAGAGCAGAAATCCAACTTTACAAACCATAGAAAGAAAAAAAGGTATTCCCTGTGTGTGTCATTGAGGATCAAACCCTTTTTGCATGTAAATTATGAAATGGTCACACTAAATCACAAGTACATCAGTATGGTTCGCGTAGATTTGAAGGCACTGATACTGGATATGTGGTCATCAAGTTGAGCTGGACAGGTTGTTGTTTATGTGTTTTATAGTCCACTGTCATCTAAGTATTGTTGCTTTCCCATGATTTACAATTCTATCTCTATTCAACAGCATGACGTTCTTTCTTTAAAAGTTCAGCATATTCATGCAGCATTGAGAAAAGTTGAATAAGAAAAAGAGCAATTCAGGATTAGCTATTACCTCTCAGTTCATAACAACCTAGAACAATGTTCCATAGACAACATTTTTTAGTTTGTCTGACAAGAAACAGCTTACTATGTTAAAATGTTTAGTGAAGGTATTGGAACATACTTACCCAGACGCCAACAGCTAGAACCAGTACAAAGTAGACAACCAGCACCACTATATCCACAGCAACCAGGGTAGCTTTGCCCCCTGGAGGGGGCGATGTAGAAGGGGGCATGCTGGTCGTCTGGCGGCCTCCTGCAAGCTCCATTCTATCCCCTGCTGTGAGAGCGAGTACAGTAATCAAATGTTTAGACTCTAGACTCTCCAAAGTCATTATAAAAGTGAACATTTATTTGACAGATATAGTTACTTTTTATGTTTTGACAAAACATGTGAGTTAATTAAATATAATGCCGTAATAAATCAAATTACCCCTACGTTTACATGTAAAACAGTTCAAATCCAGTGTTGCAAAAAGTACTCACAGTAGTACAATACAACAATGTAAAATAAATAAATAAATACTCCTATTCAGCTACTACTATTCAAAATCCAACTGTACTAAAAATACAGTATTAGAAACAAAATATACTTAAACTATTGAAGTAAAAGTGCTGACACTGCAGTAAAATGTACAATGTGACTTAAAAATAAATTATTATATATTACAATATTAGATCATTAACACTCATGCATCAATGCATAAAGCAACATTTCACTGTTGTTGCTGGTTGAGGTGAAGCAAATTCTAACAACTTCAATAACAAGATGTTTAGTTGCAGTGGTTTACAATTAAGAATCTTCCAAAGGGTCACAAGATAAATCTGAAGTCTCATATTAAATTAAAATAAACTTTGGAAGGTATTTTTGTACAGAATGAGGAGTGTAGATTTTGTCCCCTATCGATTCAGCTGGGAAGGGATCTCTTAATGGGCCGGTAGGGACGGAAGGAATGATTAAATCACTGTTACAATATACACAGGGGACACCTGATGAGTCTTGTAAGACATGAGTAAACTTGTGCTTAAAGAACATTTTCCTTAACAACTACGCCAGACAGAAGTGAAATTTTCTGAATACTTCTTCTATCGCTGACTAGATGAGAGTTGACCACCAGTTGAAACACTCAAATCTAAACTCAAAGCCAGTTTTTTATTAATTCATAAAGTAATTTGTCAGTTACTGAGGATATATTTATTAAACCTGCTCTATTGCTGTTATATGCAGTTAACTGTTGACAAGTTTAACATAAAATGCACTTTCATCAGCATGTGAAGCTGTGCAGATTTTGCACTTTAACACATCTGATGGCTTGTGTAGCACTTTGTTACACTTGCACTAGAAAGGTTTAAAAAGGTAAAAGTAAACTTTACTTATGTCCATCTTCAATAATCAGCTTTAAAAGTCCTTACAGCAATTCAGATACAAGTAAAAGCTATAGCTGTTTCAGTCCCCAGGCTGTATGTTGGACAGTATTATGTGGTCAGTAAACTCACCTTTCATAAAGTTGTCACGCTGTGTATCATTCCAGCTGGACTGCGTTTGTGCGGCCCAAACAATACAGCATGCAACAAGTTACATGAAGATGATACCAGGAATCTCCTGTTTGTCTCGAAGCTTCCTCCACTCACCAAAAGATCAAACTCCACTTTCATCTCGTGTACTACAACGGGTTTAGTTAACCTGTAAGGGATTTATTACTCCTAACAGAGAGGTGTTTGCGCAACACACAGCTAAATGATTGCTGAGTGAGTTTTAAATGCATTCAAATGACACTGAAGACGTTGGCAGTGATATTATTTTATAAAGCAAGATAAGGATAGTGTGTGTGTGTGTGTGTGTGTGTGTGTGTGTGTGTGTGTGTGTGTGTGTGTGTGTGTGTGTGTGTGTGTGTGTGTGTGTGTGTCCAGGACAGACACATACAAACTTATCTCACCAAAAAAACAAATGTTAATCTGTGGTTTTGCTACAGCAGGACAGATAAACTGGTTGGAGCAACAGCAGGTGTGCCAGCAGCAGTTGTAAAGACATGACAATATTTACAGCATAAGAGTTGCAGGAAATGTAGAAACAAGTGTATGTGAGACATCTGATGTTATTCCCTTTGTACTGTCAATAATAAACCAGTGGATACACTATTATTTCTCTGTAAGCCAACCCATTTCAGTGAGCATTTGAACAACCATCACACATTGTTTCACATGAAAGAAACACAGACATCCAGGCAAAATTAGATTTCATACCACTCTTTATAGTTGTCAGCATTGTTAGGATACAATACAAAATACAGACTTAACACTTTATAGGCCCTAAATGGACAGCACTGCTTTAGAGGTTTACATTCTGTAATTTAAGCAGAAAAAAAACAACTTAGACCATTAGAAAACAAAGCTTTTACTAGCTGCACACATTATTCTTATCATACGAATTCGCCTTACCATTTAAAAACATCACTTGAAGACTAAATTTTATGTTTTACAGAGCACTGGCACGTCTGAGAAGCTGGTATGCTGTATTGTTAATTGTTTGATGTAAAATGCTGCATCTGCTACACTAAACTTAATGACTTTATGGTCAATCCATATGACACAATCATTAAAATAAATATTCGGGTATTGCATGAAAGTAACAAAGTGCTTCATACATATTGTAGCAACTGTGCCTGTTTTGTTTACATCCACTCTCATTCTGTACAGTACAAACACAATATTTCTCTGTTATAGTTTAAAGAGTATAATATCTAACAGTGGAACACAGCTAAACATTCACATATTGCACACTGCCCGCTGTTGGATCCACAAAATCCCACTTCTACTTCCTGTAATTAGTGTGTTAAGGACTTTAGACGGGTTAAAAATTATCCTCAGAACAGTTAAAATTGTTTTTTATAAAAACAAGTAGTAAGTGCCATCTTCCCACTGACATTGTCTCATATATACAAGTTAGTAGCATTAGAAGTTAAGTATCATACAAGAACAATACCATTTAGGGGAAAAAAAGCAATTATATGGCTATAACTGATATGGTAGGAATTTTGAAAATCTGCTGACAGTGAGGCACAAATACAATGCAGTAAATGAGAAAATAAGCTACACTTAAGTCAGTAAAGAACTTACGTTACATTCAGTGTGGTGGGCGGCTTACAAAAATACATGTAAACTAACAGGAAAACTGCTTTTGGTTTCTTCCAAACCAACAAGTCAATGTGAATGTATTTTAATTTAATATCTATTTCAGGATAAAATTTCTTTTTTCTTTTTTCTTGTCTTATTCATGGATATATAACAAAGATTTGACTGTAGAACTGTAATAACACACTTACAGAGGTGACCTGAACTCAGGCTTAGAGAAAGAAAACTTAAAGTATTGGATGTTACTGAGTAACTATCTACCTTCAGCCAAACATGGTTATTTTCTATGCAGTAGTCTTAGCCATCGAAGTTTTAGACTTAAAAAAAAAAACTCTGTTTCGTTTTGAATCGACATACAATAGATACAATACCACTGGTATAAAGCTAACTTGTCCATCTTTGATGCAAAAGTTTCTCCATTCTTTAATTTTTCCAAAAACAATCTTGTTTTTTGCTCAGAATTGTGAGTTGTGTATTGCTGTGTATGTGTTCGTTGTGCATGTGCATGTGGGTGCATGTATATACAGTATATGCATACAGTATGTCCATGGTGTGTACATGTGTATATACTGTGTGAACTATGTAGTCATCTGTGTGTGTGTGTGTGTGTGTGTGTGTGTGTGTGTGTGTGTGTGTGTGTGTGTTACCAGGCCAGTGGGGAGGCCATTCTTGGACTTCTGGGGCTCTTCAGGTTTTCTGCTGCTTGCCACTCACTGAGAGCTCTCTATGGTAAAGAAACAACAGGGTTGGTAAGCTAACATATATGTTATTATTACTGTGGTTTTTAAAAGCTTAAGTGGAATGTACGGTTATGTTGCGCTTATTTTAATTTATGGTCATTTTGTGTTGGGTTTTTTTGTGCATTTATATTTTATGTCTTTTAATAAGAGTTTGATGAGGATTTGAGCCTTAAAATGTCCATACATGTATGAATGAATAAATATGATCTAGAAAAATTCCAACTATTAAATCTTAAAGGACCAGTGTGTAGGATTTATATTTCCTCTAGCAGAGAAAGTGCAGATTACAACTAACTGAAACCCCTTGAGTCAACCAAGTGCAAAGGAGAAACTATGGTGGTGTTTGGTTTGTCCATTCTGGGCTACTAGTTCAACATGGTGGCCTCTTTGGAAGAGGCCCCACTCGCGCTTTAGAGTAAAATGGCTCATTCTAAGGTAATGAAAACACCTTTTCTATTCAAATCTGGCTTCCTGAGAAAAATATTCAGAAATAATGGACTCAACATACTGATCCTGCTGCTGTATGTAGCTCATTATTACACTTTTTCCACACCATTATGTTAAATAGTTTGGGGAAGGCTGAGAAGGAACTACAAAGGATAACATGCACATTGTTTTGATTGTCACATTGTAAAGGTAACAGTAATTATTTGAATAAATGACTAAATCTTTCTTGCTCACCTCAAACTTTCCCATGAACTCAGAAAAGATACCAAAGAAGGCCTCAGTGTTGATGGCTTTGCCGTCTTCACCAAAGAAAGAGGCAGTTTTGCTGAATTCCTCCATAGCTCTCTGTTGCAGGGACTCCAGAGACTGGACTGCTGGATGACTGTTTTCCAGGAAGTTCTGCACATACTGGAGTTAAGGGACACAACATTTTCATCATCTCTTCTACTACGTTAGTTTTTTTCTTTTTATTAGCTTACATATCTTAGTGGTCCATGCCACTCTTTGGCAGTCTTGTGAAGGATACACTCATGATGACAGCAAAACGGTCCTCAGCAGTCGCAGGCATCTTCTGACAAGCCGAGCGAATGTCCTGGATGGTTGTATGTAGGTCATTCAGATCTGATGTGATAGTCCTCTGGTTTACTGTAGACAGTGTGTGAAGCAGGAAAATAGATGGAGATGTAATGAAAAAACATGACAATAACAAATAAATCATGAATAAGTGCTTAATATATTTTAAAATGTCCTCAAGCTATGGAGCAAAGGAAAATGTATCTACCTTTGGCTGCAAGAGGAACCATGGTTAAATCTTTGGAGAAATCCAACACATCAGGAAAGTGTTGACATAAAGACTTAACCAGAATATGTAGAAATGTCGACTTCCCATCCACTGTTTTAGTTGTGCTCAACTGCAGAGGACACAGTGAAGTTATTAGCTGTACAGGCATAACACAATAATAAGAAAACAAAGACTGATTTTAAAAACACAAACATTTCGCCATATGTCTTAAATATCTAGTATTGCACTGGATGATGTACCTCTGTAAGGAAGTTGATCTTGAAGCCTGTAGTCTTGTTGGTTTTAGGCTGGCTGTTATTCAAGTAGTTTCCCATCGCCAACACAAACTAAAGAAAGACACAATGCAACAAGCAGAACTGTAACTCTAACCCTGTATCTGTCACTCAAGGATATTATCATGGAAGTATTTGTTTCAAACTCTTGCTCTTCATGTCTTTTTTCACTCACAAAACCTTAAAAATGAAGGTATACTGTGTATTTCCAGCTGAGGGAAATAATACCATTTCCCACAGGGCAGGTGCAAGGTTATTTTGTTGAGGTGTGTTTTTTTATTTTACGTCATCATCATAACAGCAGGGTAGGCTACCTCTAGTATCTTAGCCAGCTTCTTGCTTGTCTTCAGCTCCAACGACGCCTTGTAGAGGCAGTCATATGCTCCCCTCAACTCCTCCGTCTTCTCTTGCAGAGAACACTTGAAGAGGAGGCTCTGCAGGCGGGTCTTGTACTCTGGTACTGATAACATCTGATGGACAACAAGCAAATAAGTGAGTAATGGTAAACACAAATACAGCACAAGGTCGATTACAGATAACAGACTCAGGCAAGCCGCAAACAACTTGTATAAACATGCAAACCAACTCACTGTACCTGCAACACAAACTGGTCTGGCTCACTGAGTTTGCTGGGGTCCTGTCTGTACTCTTCGTACTTTTTGACCTCCTCTGCATCGGGGGCATACAGCAGGAGCTGTTTGATGTGAGCTGGCTCTAGCCTATCAGTGGACATGTTCATCAACACCTGACGCAGCTCCCCAGGAGACAGCTTTAGGTGGGCTATCAGGATGGCTAGAGGTTAAAAGGAAACAGGGATTATACATTCCTATTTCTGAACCATAAATGAGCCCATAAATCTAGGCTAATAAGAAAAAATATGGAATAATTAATAGAATAATACACCATTTTATACTTACAGGCATTGTAGGCCTTCTTGTGGGAGAGAATTTCAATCACATCTTTTTTCTTGAAGGTTTCTGGTTGGGGGGATGGCTCTGGAGCAGGCACTAAAAATGGAACCAGTGTTAGTAAAAAGCTCAGATGTTACGGAGGTACATAGTAAACAGCAGAGATTAACAGGGATAAAGTTAGCAATTACAAGGAGTACAACTGCAGAATAAACTGCAAAAAGATCCCATAATTACAGTCCAAAATGAGAGAAATTCTAATTTGCACTCCAAGGATGCAAAGATCCAAGAATCTGGATAATGATGTACTAAGAAACAATGATGCATATATCATTTGCGTTTACTTATTAATCTAGAATTCTTTATATATTAAAGCACTGCAGATATGCATACAGCCAGCTGTACTCACTGGAGCTCTTCTGTGTCCCAAAGTGCAGCTCCAGATCCAGATACTTTACCATGTCATGCAGTTTGTCATAGTCAGAATTTGCTCCCAACTACCAAAGACAAACGAAAATGGTTCTCCGTGACTTAGAATTTCATGACTGTTAGATTAGTTTCAATTTGGAATTCTAAATCTAAACTGAGTTACACTTTACAAGGCCTCCTCATGTCCAAACCCCACAAAGCTCACCTGTCCCCAGATAGTCCCCTCTGAGTTTTCCACCTGCTCCCATCGTAACCTCTTCACGCTCATGTGGTTGGAGTCCATCCTGGAGAGCGAAGGCCTGGGCAAAGGTGGAGGCGAGCAGGGTGGGGGCAGGGGTGGAGGCGGTGGGGGTTCCAGATGCTCTGTGGGGTCAGATAGGGAGTGGGGGAGGGACTGGGGTTGGCCATGGGATTGCTTATGGTGAGACTGAGTTTGGGACTGGTGTGATGACTGCAGCAGGTGATGTGAGGGCTGGGACTGCGGACGGGTAACTTGGGTGGAGGACTGGACTTGGTGCTGGGATTGGTGGTGTTGGGGCAGAGGCTGGAAAGTGGAGAGGGTGGGCTGGTGTGGCTGGAGGGGCTGAAAGGTGGAGAGAAGGGGCTGAGGCCTGTGAGGCTGCTGGGGAGGGTGGATGACATGAATCTGGTGTTGATAGTCTTGTGGAGGGGGTTGTGGGGTCATATGGTGGATGTGATGGATCTGAGATGTGCTGGAGTGGTGGTGGGTCTGCTGAATAGAGTGGGGTCTTTGGGGAGAGGGTTTTGTGGGCTGGGGATGATGGGTTTGGTGGATCTGCTGCTCTTGGGGTCTCCCTTGTGGTGACACTTGGGTCTGATGATGACCTTTAAGACTTCTCCGGCTCTGATGGGAATGGCTATCCCGGTTTACCTGAACTGGGAGAGAAGCAGGCTCTTGCTGGGCTTGATTTAGGAGCTCCGTGGAGGAGTGATGGGACTTAGTTTGGTGCATCTGATGGGCTTGATGGAGCAGTTCTGTGGAGGAGTGGTGGGCCTGGGGTTTGTGTATTTGATGGAGTAGCTCAGCGGATGAATGGTGAGGTTGTCCCCGATGCATCTGGTGAGCTTGATGGAGAAGTTCAGTTGAGGAATGATGGGGCTGCATTTGCTGCATCTGGTGAGCTTGTTGCAGAACCTCTGTTGAAGAATGATGGGCCTTAGTTTTGTGCACTTGGTGGAGCATTTCTGATGATGAGTAGTGGGCATGGACTTGTTGCATCTGCTGGAGCATCTCTGCAGATGAGTGGTGGGCCTGGGACTGTTGCAACTGATGGAGCATCTCTGCAGAGGAGTGATGGGCTGGGGCTTGGTGCATCTGATGAAGCACCTCCGCAGAAGAATGGTGGGGCTGGGGTCTCATGCCCTGATGGCTTTGGTAGATGCCCTCAGAGTACTGACCTTGTTGGCTTGGGTGGGCTGTTGGTTGGGGTGACGGTTGGTGAGGAGATGGGGCTGAACGGGACTGACGTCGGTTGTGATGACTCTGGTGGGCCTGTTGCTGCTGTGCTTGACGCATCATATACAGAGGATGGTTAGAGGGGTGATGGGTGGCATCTGGAGAGGGGAGTGGGGGTAAGGACTGGTGGAGTTGTTGGAGAGGCAGTGGTGAGTGGGCTTTCTGCTGTGTTGGCTGGTTAGGCATCGAGTGGTGGCTCTGGTAGATCTGTTGCATCTGTTGCTCTTGATACGCTTGTTGCTCCTCATAGGCTTGACGCTCCTCATAAGCTTTTTGCTCCTCATAAGCTTTACGCTCCTCGTAAGCTTTTTTCTCCTGGTAGGCTTGAAGCTCCTCAAATGCTTTTTGCTCCTTGTAGGCTTGACGCTGTTCATACGCTTTTTGCTCTTGGTAGGCTTGGCGCTGCTCATATGCTTGTCTTTCTTGGTATGCTTGCTGCTCCTGGTACATCTGTTGCTCTTCAAAAGCTTTTTGCTCCTCAAATGCCTTCTGCTCTTCATAAGCCTGTCTCTCTTTGAAACGTTTCTCCTGATAAGCCTGTTGTTCCTGGTAAGCCTGTTGCTCTTGGAACAGTTGTTGTTCTTCGTAGGCTTTCTGCTCCTCAAACACCTGCCTCTCTTTATATGCTTGTTGCTCCTCATATGCTTGTCTTTCTTGGTATACTTGTTGTTCTTGGTAGGCTTTTAGCTCTTGTATGGTAGCATGGACCTGCAGGTCCTCTCTTGTGGGCAGAACTTTATGTAAGGAGTGGCGTTTAGGTGGTGGATTACTGCGGGGTGGAGGTGGGGGAGGGGGGCCAGATTTTCGGCGGATAGGCACATATGCTCTTGGGGAGTGTTCAGGGGTGTAGCTAAGCTGTTGCTGCTGTTGCTGCTGTTGTGGAGTCTGTGCAGGTGCAGGAGGCGGAGGAGGTGCGTCATTAAACTGAACAGGTGGGGGTGGTGGAGGGGTCATTGGGGGCGGAGGGATGTGGTCAGAGGAGGAAGAGTAGGTGAGTGAGGAGGCATTCTCCTCTCCACTGCTGCTTTGAACATCGCTCGGGCTGCTGAGCTCTGGAGCCACAAATCCTCCATTTTCGTCTTCGTCTACACCCAACTCCTCTTCATTATCCTCATCCTCCTCATCTGGGAAGCCCATCTGCACAATATCCTGGCATTAACACCAATTACAACATTAGCCCTTTAATGTCAAAGAAGCACTTGAGAAAATCTTTTGGTATACTTATCAAGCTATTTAAGTTGATCAAAACTTTCATGATTCTTTTTATTGGCTATAATAGGAGGGTCTTTATTCTAACCTTTACAAGGCAGCTGGATCCCCAACATCAAAAATCCATGCAAGAATCCATCTTGCCAAGCTTCGACCTATGCTTGTGTGTTCAAGGGTCTGTCCTATGTTATATTAGGAAGCATGGCTTACATTAGAGCACCATAGGGAATCAGTGTGCTATATCATGGGGAATTAACCCGCTAGCATAGCAACATCAGTATTTTCACAAGAAACAATACAACTAGCACTGGCTTGTGAATTCACTGTGTGTATAAGTACGATGACAAAGAATTGGCCCTGATGTGCAAAACTACTTTTGTAAGTAAATCTAACCTTTTGGGCATCAAGGGATGTTTGTAAAAATGTAAGTTAAGCTACCATTTAAACCCTGGTAAAGAGAAATGTTTTCAAAAATTATAGCTGATACATGAGCCTGTGGGCTCATGTACAATCATCTTTGTTTTTTAGAACCCAAACAGAACAGAAGTGTGCAGATGTGATGCTTAATTTCTCACATCTTGTGTTTCTTTTTGCTACTGAGCAGTATTAAAATAATCAGGTATGGTGCAGCAAGTGCATGTAAAAAGTTAATGATTCCAACTGTTACACTCATTAACACTTGATTATATGCAAATGATAACTGAATATATATCAGTAGCAGTCAAATTATCAGTTAATTCCTTTTAAATGAGGCTTCAGATTCTATACAACTGAGACATTCATTCCTGTGACTCTACCTCCTCATAGTCATTCTCAGGGGTCAGGAAGTCATCAACGATGGCCACCCTCTGTCCCAGCTGCTCGCTCAGTGCATCCAGAAAGCGATCTGTGTCTTCTGAGCGTGGTGGCTTAGAGAAAGTATAACGCCGCTTGCTGCTGCGGTGGCCAGGGGGACTAGATGGGTAGTCAGGGGGCTCTGGAGGTGATGGAGGGGGACTGTCCAGGCTGATGTAGGGGTTGGACTCCGCACTGGTCTGGCTTGTCAGACCTGATGGATAGAACTGGGCTGCAGGGGGACTTGGCAGAGGCTCAGGCCAGGATGTAGGTGGTGGGGGGCCTTTACGGCTACCTGAGATAAAGAAGAAACATATAGTATATAATGACAGCTAAATCTCTGAAGCATCGTTTAGGTGCAATGTCTGAAGGAAATGTCTCTCTACTGACTTTCAGAAGCTTGAACAGAACAGATATATAAAGGCTATCAATCACAGTGTTGTCGGGTCTTCTCACCCTGCATTGCACACATAGAAAAAAGTACAGAAGTACATAAACAAATATATCTACTTACTTTCCCTTCTATAGAATTGTAAGATTTCACAGAGTACATGTAAATGTAACAAATCGTGGTTGTTTGTAAGTGAGGAGAGGCTATCCTGGAAACAATGGCAAAATTTGAAAGTTTCTGCATTTGAATAATTTGGTTCTGCACAAAATGTAATCTGGACATGTCTCCCACAGGAACAAACCATTGCAGAAAACACATTTTTGATTGTAGGGAGACTTTAAATGTGTGTTTTCTAGTTCCACTTCCACCATCACCATATCCTCCTTATGAAGATCAGTGTTTGTGCACTATATTTGACTACCTTCTACCTAATGGCAACCTGGACCTACTGAACATGAGGATGTCCCTATCTTACCCTCATGAGTGCACGCTGCATTCTTATCTGGGACAACAGATCGGTGTTGTAGGTTGACAAGCCATGGGCAGACTGAATCAAGTTAAAGATGGCAACATGTTAAGAAAAATGCTCTGTGTCAAGGAGGATCAGTGGATCCCTCCCCTCATATGTGATGCCAGCTCTGACCCCTTCCTCCTCAGGTCTAAATCTGACAAAACTAAAACTAATCATAAGAGCCAGGCTGGGAAAACAGATTGAGAGCAGTGACTGTTTTGAGACTCTGCTATGCTGTGTATTTATGTACAGCATGAAATCACAACAATTGTGTCAATGTAAAATTCAAGGATATTCAGTTGAGTCAAAAATGGGTTGGCTGCCTTGGGATTTATCATTATTGCACTGCAGTACTTTTTAAACATTTTGTTATCCACACACACACACACACACACACACACACACACACACACACACACACACACACACACACACACACACACACACACACACACACACACACACACACACACACAGCAGATCGGAAAGGTAATCATTTTATACATTATATCCGCTAAATATAATTTCAGCTGCTATGAGTTTAGAGTAAATTTATACTTTCAGCTACCTGTGTTAGCATGTATTGTAGGGGAGGCTGTGCGCGAGGGAGGCTCCAGATCCAGCAAACTTTCAGGGGCAGGAGGAGGACGACTCTTCAGAGACTTGGACCTCTTGGATGAATACATGTTCTCCAGTTCAGCATACACTGCTGACAGCTTGTATGGTGGAGATGCACAAAGAAACCAGAGTAAGACCTCTTGCCCTAATAATGAATGGTCCTAAGCTGATAGTTATTGTATCTCTTCCCGTGAGGATGGGCCTCGGTACGTACATTGGTGAGATTGTTTGGAGTCTCAGGAAGGGAAGTACCATCTCCTGACTGTCTTTCTCCCGGAGCCAACCTCATCCCTGTCTCCAGCATGGGCTCTGCACGGAAGCCTATGACAATACACCCATTAGCATGACTGAACTATAACCCAAGTAGCTGAGATAGCCGCATGTAGCTGAGCACATTTGGCTGTGTTCTGACATCAGAGGATGTAAAAGGAGCCAGCTCTGGCCTGGTTTTTAGGATGTGGGCTTGGGCTGATAATTAGATCCAGTTAGTGGAGATCAGGCTATCACTGGTCCAGTAATGGAGGAGCAAACTAAATGATTTTGCAACATGGGAACTATTATTCAGCATATAAAAACTTGTAAAAAATATAAAAAATTAACTGAACTAGTATGAACCACACTGGTCAAGTAAAAGAGGTTGGCAGCCGGAAACAAAAGCAAACAGAGCTACAACAAAAAAATAAACTAAAGACAATGAGGATAATGTGAATGCTGAAAATAACAATGGTGATGATAAGAATCGCGGTGGTCGTAGTGTTACTGTTGCTACGGATGATAATGAAGATAATGAAGTTCTGTACCCATGCCCAAGTGTGTGCCAATGACCAGGTCATCAGAGCTACGTCCCCTCACACTGCTCCTGTACGTGGTCCCTGTCACCCTCATGGAGCTGCTACGTCGATGGGGCTCGGGGGCAACCTCAGGCTCCGGAGGAGGGGGAGGAGGTGGTGGTGGTGGTGGAACTGGAACACACACACATATTGGCAATAAAGAGGAAGAGGCAAAGGTGTATGAAGGGCTGCAGCGCCTGCTTTGATCTGAACCAGTGCATTTATTCCCCAATGACACACAAACCCCTTTTCATTCATAAACCTCAAAAGCTGCATGTACCAAAAGCATTAGGAAGGACAAACGTGTGCACACACCTGGAGCTTTGTATCCAAGAAAGCGTGAGATTTTGCTCTGGCAGTGTTCCTGCTCCTCATACGTCAGTAGCTGGTAAACAAACTGCCAGATCACCTGTTTGGCTGGAGTATCCAGCACCGGGAACACATCCACGATCAGTGTGTCAACATTCCTGTTGCCGTGGAAACAAAGGAAAAGTAACAGAAAAAGTGACAGAAATCACCTGGCTGTCCAATCACAGGTCAAAGTTGAGATTACGCCCATGTAATGCAGGAAGCTAGACACAAAATGACCAAGACACTACCGATTTTACACATGAAGGCAGGTTTACTCTTAACAAGGAGTACAGTGTGTGTGTGTGTGTGTGTGTGTGTGTGTGTGTGTGTGTGTGTGTGTGTGTGTGTGTGTGTGTGTGTGTGTGTGTGCGTGTGTGTGTGTGCGTGCGTGTGTGTGTAAAATGTCTTCTGTGACTCTGGAGGGAGATTTCTGAAGAAAACCACCCTGATAATGTCATCAAGGTTATCTTTGTTTAGGCTTAGAGACTAAAAATGTATAACAGAGAGCCTGTGTCAAAGACCTTGATAGACTTGGGCATTTACCATGATGGTCGAGTGAAATAATGCTAGAGGTTGCATTATGGGAAATGTCGGGTGTAGATCCAGTGTTTTGGAGCTTGATCCATTTATTTTGATCATAAATTCCTTAACATTATTAATTTTAATTTAATAAGATTGTGTAAAAATGTATTTAAAGTTTTTGATTCAACCAACTAATTTTATATATCCACAAACTGTAAACATAAAATGTTTTCACTTTAACTTCACACGCCAATTGGTGGTTAAGTATAAAAGCAAATAACAGTGGCACAAAATGTGTTTTTTTTTGGTCTTGTTTATATATCACTTCACATGCAACCCTACTCCCTCCATCTCACCCACCTCCCCCTTCTCTCTTCTCCCAATCTTTTTCCCCATCCCTTTGCTCACCTGTGCTGGAAAAAGTTCTCCAGAGCCTTGCAGATGGTGTACCTCTCCTGGATGGTCAGCAGGTGCTCCAGCTGCTGTCCAAAGGTGCGGCCATGAACCCGGATACTAGGGGGCAGAATCTCTGCCACCCACTGCAGGGAGCTGAGCACGGGGGAGCGGGCCCCTTCTGCGGGAACGCCGCCCCCCGCAATGTCCTGCTCTGCTAGGGTGAAAGTAGGTGGACCATCCTCCACTACCAGAGTGGGCATGGCACCACTGCCCTGCAGCATGGACACCACCTTCTCATGGGAGGAGGTCCTACAGGCAGACATAGGGTACACATGGAGACACACACACTGTGATAGACTTTTAACTGCATGTGCCAATTAAAATGTCTACTATGTAGCAATTAGTCATTTTACTTTCCTGTTGTGTAAATAAATAAACAACTTGTGAAAAGCTTTCTGTATTCTGCAGAGGATATTACATATACTAGAGAATAAAGACACATTTTCCATTCTCTGGGGAGCTTTCTTATCATTGTTTGTCTTTTAACTGTGTTGGTTTTCTATCAAATCAATCTTATATGAGATTCCCACTCCCTTCAAAAACTGTGTGAGCTCTACAAACAACAAAGCGTCTTCAGCAGGGGGACCATATTACCATATTTATGTTTACTGAATGTTTATGAATTACATTTATGTACATTTTTATGTAGCGCTGAAGCACAAATTCGGAAAGAATTTGAAAAGGTAATGCAAGTGAGAGATCAACCTCATGTCCAGTCCATTGAGAAACAGGATGCGGTCTCCTGGTTTTAAACCTGCCTTATCTGCTGGGCTTCCTGCAAAAAAAAAAGAGATGTCTGATTTGATAATTTCCTGACTAAAAGAATGGTACAGTGGTACGCACACACACAGACAAATAGTCATAATGAGCTATACACACATTTTTAACTTACCGGGAATGACAGAGTCAATCCACACTGGAGCATGGCCTCTAAGAGTGAAGCCAAAGCTCATGTTGCCCTTACATACTCGCACAGTCCTAAAGACACAAATTTGAGCTTTGATTAATGGCATTAATGGCAGGACTGAAGAATAATCAGAGGCCCTCTGGAGTAAAAGGAAAGCAGGTAAAAATAGTCAGTGCCATCTCATGATTAAGATAATGGTTATAATGTTCTACAATGAAATAATACAATGGGGTTAACATAGAAACGCTTTTAAACTTAATATACATGACATGGAGGACATAATCTGTACTCAATTAAGGGTGGTAGAGTCCATTAATTACTACAGCTCATCCCACACAGCGCACAGTGTTGTGGCTGTGATTATCTACAATGAGACAAACACTGCAACTTTATTGATAAATTATTCTGCCCATCCTGAAAGAAACTAAGTCCAACTGTGGACCTCCTGCAGATTTCCATATTCAGCAGAGTACTTAAAGTTCAAATCCGGCATGATCCTTAATTAAACATGGACAGTATATCCCAGGGGGGCCGTAAAACATCCAGAGCCAGAGTCACAGAAGAGATTAGCAGTTTCTTGGGGGCACTTTTTTCCTATAATGTCAAGAGATGGTGAGAGGATGTTTGTGATCATGTTTTTTAAAATATCTTTTAATCCGTTTTGATTTTGTTATCCAAGTAGATGTCATCAATTCATGAAAACATGACAGGAAACAACGTCATGGGGCACAGCACATGAAGAGAGCCACAGAACAGGCATGACTGTCTAAATAGGTTTATGTTCCCATTGGCTTACCTCCTGAAAGGTCTATTTTTCCCTTAACTCCTACTCAATGCGAAATACATAAATTCCAAGCTTACACAGGAAGACCTGTCACAGCAGTTCTCATGTAGAGTGGTTATAAATTTGATCAGACATAAGGAGAGAGAGGATGCTATTTCAGGAAAAGGGTTTTCTTTGAAAGCTAAAAATGACATGCACTGTGTAGTTGATGGGAAATAAAAGCTGCGATTCCTGCTGATAAAAGACCACTCAGGAAGTAAAAAGATATCAAGAGTATACCACCCCCATGACACTTAATACAGACCTGCAGTTGGTGGTGGAGCCGCTGGAGTGCCCAGCTATGAGTGAGGTGGTCTTACGCATGCCGCGGGCTGGGGGGACCACACCTTCCTCTGCGTGGGTGCGTGGCACTGAACTGGCACGGGTGGAGACCAGGAGGCGTTCAGGGTGATCCTCGCTCCGGCTGCGACGAAGGTGGGCACGGCTAGGGTCACTGAAGCTTCGCCCTTTGAACCGGCTCATCAGGCTCTGGGAAACCACCTCGTCAAAACGTTCCCGATGCTTCTTGGGAATGAAGATCCTAGCAAACATTGTGGGAGTAGACACAGCCTCAGACTGACAAGAAAAACTCAAGGAATACAGAGGTGGAGAGGCAAATTAGGAGTCCAGTTCAGGTTCTCTTGGGTGCTGTCACTGAAAAGACCATCTCTACTTCTACATACCAGCAACATCACAAACACTGAAAGGCTTTACTGGAAAAAAACAACAAAATCGCACCAAAGCAGCATTTCAGCCAAAATCCCCACAAAATCCAAAATGATGTATCCCGATCTCTCAAAGCATCCATCATCCAAGATATCCAAAAAACCAGAGGGATTCTTGTTTGGGTTACGTACTGTTCCAGCTGCAGGATCCACTTAATTGGGTCAAAAATAGTTCAGTCCATATCGTCTCATGGGAGGGCATAGGCAGGTAGAAAGGATTGGTCCAACATTAGCTTGTGTGTATGTGTGTGTATGTGTGTGTGTGTGTGTGTGTGAGAGAGAGAGAGAGAGAAATGAAAGAGGTAAGAGATGAGCTGTGTTTGTTGCTCCTGTCACATTAGCAGCTGCAGGTATAAGAGTGTTCAGTATCAGTGACAGCTCACAGCTAATATGCGAACAGAAGGAAGCTGAGAGCCAGAGCCAGAACCACCTCTGGGAGAAAGCGCTCCACTCCCGCTGCTAGAGTTATTTTCCCCTCCCATAATCAACTCCCAATAGCCTTTTCTTCTGAAAGAAAAAAAACCCCACTCTCAAATACTCTTAGATATCAGTTTGGGATATTTAGGTGGTGGTTTTGTGGGCGTGGTGCACCCACTTTCCTCCAGTCTGATTTGTGCAATGCATACATGTAGATGAAAAGAAACTGTCCAGTCAATAAAAGGAAGATTAGAGATAGAACAAGTAGTGTTGGTTATAACTGCTTGTTCACATTCTGTATCCAACACATCAAAGAAGGCTTGTATTTCAGATGCGCAAGCTGTCTGTAAAGATTGGTACTGCTGCTTCTTTATGACTTTATTTTTTCTCCCTGTAAGATTGTTCAAAATCAGCACAAAATCATACAGAAAGCAGCCTGTTCTGTCTGCTTCCTAGGGACTAACACTCAATTTAGCACTGATGTTTGGACTGCTTGAAATGTCTACTCCCATTAAGCTCTACTGTAGCTGTGCTGTCTGCTGCATGTGGTTTATTTTTGCCCAATTATCGGCAAGAACAAGAAATATTACATAACAAAACAACCAAAATGACCCAAAAATGGAAGAATCATTGCCAATAACTTTGTTTTGAAAACTGTTCTAGGCTGTGTTTTTCTTAAATATTTCTTTCCTAAATATAGGACACCTTTTTGCATTTTTCTTTCTCTTTTATCTGATGTTCTGCACACGCATACACAAGCAAACCTCTATCTCACACTCATATATACACACCTCATTTGTTCCTTTTCTCTTTTGCATATCTTCCTCCCCATCCCGCCTACAAAACGATGCTGCCTCCATCCTCAACACAAGCCTCTCTCTATCTCTCCGTCTTCAACGTGAATCTCCTGAGTGCTTCCACTATGCAGAGGAGAAAAGACTGCTTTGGTTTTTCAGAGTGAACCAGTTCCAGTGTGCATCCAGATACACAGCACAACTCCTTACTCAAACACTACTGTTGAGGATAAGGTGGTGCAGTTTGGTTTTCAAAGCTGTCACAGTCCCTTTGCAGGTACATTTGGGAACATTGTTAGGAGGCAAGAATTAGATGATTCTCTATTTTGTAGTTTCATAAAATTGTACTGTATGTATTGGGTTTAAATTAAGAGTGACGCATAAGCTGAGCTGCCTCCACATCAATATCTTACAACAAAGGTTGAGGGAAGCTAACAGATATTTCCCCTCTGGAGATTTATGACGTAGACAAAATTCTGTCTCTGTTCACATGCTTTTGAAAGGATTTGCACACACACAGACACACACACACAGACACACACACAGACACACACAGACACAGACACACACACACACACACACAGACACACACACACACACACACACACACACATTTGTTATTTGACATTAAAATTGAACCATGAGGTTTCATTTCAAGACTAAAAAATATCACAAGGCAGATTTTCTGCTTTGCAATCCATGCATCAGTCTTGTATCTACTTATAGCACAACACACTCACATCTTTTAAATGGCAGTATATTGCAAGTATAAAGTCCATAGCAACGCAGCAACTGTTTGTCCCTTCCACAATTTCCCCTTGTCCACCCTGTGGAGTCACACACATGCATTACAGGAGTGCGAGTTAACTGCTGATTCACTGTGTGTGAGTGTGTGCGGCTTGATCAGCATGTCATGTTTCTGGTTAACTCAACTGTGGAGGTACTGCTTGTGTCATAAGCAACTACAACCACAGGTCACATCACAATAAGTCAAAAAAATTTAATATGTACTAATTGAGCCACTTTTAAATAAGCATAATGTGGATGCTTCTGATCATAGTAACTGCAGCCCTAACTCAAGACCTACTTGCTACTTGCCACAGCAAGAACAGCTCTGTGCATCCTTATGTTTCTTGATCTCATCACTGCTTTCAAAACTGTCCATCACACTATTGGAAAGACTGAAACAGTTACTGGGACTCTCTGGCAGTATGTTACATTGTTTTAACAACTATGTACATCTGTCAAAAACAGTTCATTCTTTATATGGTGTCCCACAGAGATCAGTCATGGGTACCCTTTTATTTATTCTCTATGCTAAACTCAGACTTCCGTTTACTTTAATTATGATGATGATATACAATCATATCTGTCTGGGTTTAGATCGTCTCTATCCCATCAGTACACCTACCATGTACTGTGGACAAGAGAAGCGGTAATACAATAAATTGTAGTCTTTGATGGCAGGGTGAAAGACAAAAAAATAATCATCTTGATTAATTGTCTCTTAAAAACTATAGATTATGAGTCCTGCCTGTGCTCAAGCTGCAGAGATTGTAAGAAAATGTGCCACTTTTGTCCAATTAATTATGTATAAAAACATGTGTCTTACTGTGGAGACAGCCATTTAAATACAGTGACAGTGATTAAGTGCATGGTTTGTTCATGCAGCAAAAAGTCAAAACTTCCCCAGAGCACTGCAATATGCTCATCTGACACCATCATGCTATCGACTTCTCTGATCTTGACAGTCAGCAAGAGGAGAACTACGATGACTCTTGTTAGAGACATAACACAACAACATTAAATAGCATAAAAAAAGGGAAACTTAGACAGGCAGAGTGAACAACAAGAGGGACAGAAGTTGACGAAAGAAAGACCAATGAATTGAAATGAAGAATGTCAGAAAGAGTTGCAGATCGATATGAAGACACAAGCAATGAAATATGACAAAGACAGGAAAAGAGCGAAAGTGGAGAACTAGAGCTCTTTCTAGGCCAGGGTCGTGTAACTGTTGGGAATGAGGCAAGCTAGTCTTCGCTTACAGGCTATGTAGGCCACAGAACTTTCCCAAACAACACTCATACATCACCATGGTTTGCGCGGACAAACGGCAGATAGGGAAAACTAAACAGAATGGGGCCACTTATTGTGTATACATATGATAGTCACAGGTCCTGGCTCAGTCTATGAACTACTGATTTTTTATTAATAATTTTATTAACTATCACCTCCAACACCTCTGTCATGTTATGATCAAAGTCAAAGAATATTTCACTTGTCAAATCTTGTAACCCAGCCAAAACACGTGAGCAGAAACTTCATATCTTTCCTCCATTGAAGTTGGATGTAGGCCTCGGGGTGCCCTCAATTATAAGGAGGGCGAGAGGAGTCTATAATTAGGTATGAAGGAGGGGTGGATCAAGGACAGAGCTCACAGAGGGATGAATGACAATTGCAATCAGCTGGGAAACTCATTGCAAGAGCCATTATTATCAAACCCACTTCTGATCAGCCAATTCGACAGCTGGGCCAGTTATGAATTCGCAAACACAAAGCATTGTTTGAGACACCAAGTGGAATTAAAAAGCCAAGGACATAACAAGAAAGAATTATTACTAGTAGCAGAATTGAGTTTTGCCAAAATCTAGCAGTTCAGAAGCCCATTAAGTTTGTCATGCTGGAGTCAAACTTAGGGACAGCACAGATTTTCAGATATTTACATGCTGACAAAAAGTGTAAAAAAAAAATTATCAATACAAACCTTGATAATAAAAAACACAAAGAGCAGTTACACAACAAAACTTCAGCAACTCCAAATACAAGTCAGCACAAACAGCACAAAGCACAGCGAACACTGCTGAGATCAAAGGAAAAGTGCCATACCGAAAGTGTCTGGAAAGGCTCCTATCCCTTCCCATGGCTCTTTGGGGCTTTGAGGAAGTGCCTGAGCTCAGTTAAGCAATGCAAATGCTTCTCCTCTATCTCCGTGAGTCCCCATCTAGTTTGAACAAACAAACTCTCCCGGACAAAGGGGGAAGAAGATGAGAAAAGGGAAGGTGTCCTGGATCTCAAAAGCGCTCGCTGTAGGCTCGGAAAGCAGCCAGATGAAGAAAGAGAGAGAAGGAGAGAGAGGGAGGGAGAAAACTGTATGAGTGGTTCACATCCCTCCACACCTCCAAAACATCCTCAGGCAGCATCATCAGCTGTTCTCCAACTTCAAGTTTGAGGCAGAGTTCTTCCGTTGTTCCCATCTTTTGTCCCCTTCTTCCTTCCAAAGACTCCAGGGGTCAAGGTCACCACGAGGCAGTCTTCTTGCTCACACTTAAAGGGTAATCCTCATCACTCAGTCGTCCATCATTCGGCAGTAAGAGGTAAGTGAGTGACAAATCTTCTCTTCCCTCACTGGAGGAGGAAGGGAAGAATGAGATGAACAGAGGAGTAAGTGAGGAGGGAGAGAGAAAAGAAGTGGAGAAGTGAGGAGAGCCCCAGTGGAATTTCATAGGCAGGTCAGCACCATGACTGCGTGAGTGTGCAAGAACCAACAATGTGCATCAGTGAACGGAGAGAAGCTTTGACAGTCGTGTCTGCGCGACATGTGCCTACTAGTAGCGTCCACAGCTTATGTTTCTACATGTATGACAGCATCTCTCCAAATGTCTCCAAGCATTTCCAGCCCCAAACAACCTGACGGATTCGTAAAACATTTGCAAAAGACAGAGAAACTATGGTGAAGAAAAAAAACTGCACTGCATACTTAATAGTTGAGAATGCATCAGTCTAATTAATTCACACCTTTGAAGTATATATACACATACAGTATCAGACAAAGGCCTCCAGTTCACTATAATTACATTCAATTACCATAACACTGCAGAGCCGAATGAACAAAAGAGCTAATAGGCGTTCCAAGGCTGTCTCTAATGACACGCCAGATACACAATCTTCTGCATAACTTTCAAGTGTTGAAGCGCTCTCTAACCCCTGGGTTTTAGAGCCGTTTAAGAATCGACGAAGTGCGTCAGAAACCTAAGAGAGGATTTATTAAAAGAAATAGGCTGCTTAAAAATAGAACACATCCTGTGGGAGGGCGAGGCAAATCGGAGAGAGGGGACAGTGGCAGACTGAGCAGAGTGTCGCCCAGCTGGTCAAGTTTTACCAGGCATACAGAAGAAATAACTTCATAACCCTGTTAAACACACCTCACACATCCTCTGATACGAGACCTCTAATTATTAGACTGGGTGGGGCGGGTGGAGAGTTCTCGTGTGTGTGTGTGAGTGTGTGACTAACTGACAGTGATTGAGGTAGAGGAAGTGAGACAGATTGGGAGAGAGAAATAGGGGGCGGAGACAGCGAGTAAATAGAAGAGAGAGATTGAGCTTCAGTGGCAGACACATTGATTCTCCACACCCCAAACGACAACACTGGCAGCCAGCTTGTGACTCTCTTATATGATATATTGTTTTCTATTTTCTTAGTTATTGCAACTGTTCAGATCACTGTGATTAGGAGCTATAGTGTATATTCAGACTAGTTACTACTACTCTGAATCTTAACTTCAGCAAGCCATGGTAACAGCTCTGTGAGGCTGTACTTTGAACTACATATCAGCACTTGCTAAGCAACATGCTCACAATGACAATGACAATGACAATGCTAACATGCTGCAGGCTGTTTACCACATACGTTAGTTAGTTAGGTAGGTATTGCTAGGGTTGATAGGATTGTCATTATATTTGCAGATGTTGAGTCATAAACTGAAATACTGGACCTGATGATAGCGTTATGGGAACCACAAAAGAAAGTGTTCACCAAATGTCATGGCAATCCAATCATTTTCCAGACATTTCACTCAAAGCCACAAATGTCAACCTCATGGTGGCACCAGAAAGTCAGGGGATCACCAAAGACATTAAGATTCATTATATGGGAACCATGGATATCTGAACTAAATGTTGTGCCAATCCATCCTACAGCTGGTAAGATATTTTTCAGGATAAACAAAAACTTGCTGCTGGTGGTGCTACAGGAAAACTCATAACATCACTTAAAATCACGAGGATTTATCTTTTGGGCAACAATAATGACTGTACCAACTGAAACACACCTATTAAGAATGTCATCAGCAACACATTTCCCCAAGAACAGAGAACTTCCACATCTCATTGTCAGCAGCAGCCATTTACACCACCCTGAGGCATGGCTCGCAGACAACCTGGAAACAAAACTCCCTGAGGCTCCTGCCACAGAAACATAATCACCAGATTCTGCTGTTAAAATCAAGCATTATTTCAAACCTGGAATTTTAAGAGAATGCTAATCCAACAATAGCCTTTAAGATCTTTGCAGCCTCACTGCCATAAAGAAAGAAAATTACAGTGCTAATAATAATAATAATAATAATAAACAATAAGAGAACAGAAAGAGAACAGGAGAAACTTTGCATATTAAAGCCTGTCAAGGTCACAGGCAGCGCAACTAAACTTAACACACCAGGGTGGAATAAAGGGTAACTACAGCTTTCTGAAGTAGATTTATCTAAAGAGAGAATTGGGGAGTTACTGTACTTCTCTCACAGCCTAAAGGTGAGAAAAACAGTTCCCAGTCCTCTATGGATCCAGCTAATGCATAATTAATGGCACTCAACAAACATTACAAAGCATTTTTACAGGCAGCTTTCTAAGGAAGGAAATGTGCTATCAGTGCTGTGATAGAGACAGCTGTGTCGGAGGAAACTGAGATGGCTGGACAACAGCTTTGTTTTCTTGCTGGAAGGAGAACAGATTACTCCCCAAAAATGAGTCACTGGACTGAATGCTAATTGATTGTTACGAGATTGCTACTATAGAATGAGTCAACTGCACTCACAGCTTACTTCATGACCAATTATAAATAATAATGTCAGACACCAAAGAACACTATCTGACACCAAACTTGATGACACGTTACATGCTATAACTGTTACAAAATGCACAATGCCAAATAGTTTTTCAGTACTCACCTGAGGCAGCAATTCATTATTTCTCCCAGCATTGAACTTCAAGGCAAGTACCCTGTTCATGTGAGAAACAGTGCTGCGTGCATGCAGCCTAAGCATCTGCATGTTGTTCTGTTTTGCGTACTGTATGTGTGCAGATCTCAACCACCAGCAGCAAACTGGCTGTAGCGGCTGAGAGCTGCATGCAGAGGAGGGAATAAGGAGCATCCAGTGATGTGATCGACCGAAAAAATTGGTGCGTGTATCAAAGAGTGCATCACAGCTGACAGGAAGAAACGAGGGAAAGAAAGAGACCAACAGAGAGAACCTCAAAGTGAGAGGATAAGATAGAAGAGGGGAGGGAACTGACAAAACAAATCGCAAGTGTGTGCAAAGGTATTGTGTATTGGGTTTTGATTTTCCAATCAGTGCTGACGAGGAAGAAATACAATATTCGGCTGTGAATTTCTCTTTTGTGTACTATACCTAAGAGGGGAGAAACACAAGTGACTTTCAAGCACCGAAGGGCAGCAGTCAGTGCTTGACATTAGGCCAATGACATAGGCTCTTGATGTACATCTCTGCCACATTTTACAGTAAAATGCTGAGAGGGAGAGTTTCAAAAATATTGATTTCATGGGGCAATTAAGAAGCTCCCTTACTGTGCCTCTATTGTTGTGGAAGGCTGAACTATAGCTGAACAGTCTAGAAGAAACAATGGACGATGACTCTCTCTGGTGCACTTTTACAAGCGTTCTCAAAAGCAAAGAATACGAGAAAATGATTTGAAATGTACAGGGCAGCTACAGCCTTGCTGAATATTAATTTGCCCATTTTATCCAATTTCGGGTAAACAGAATTTTATTCCTTTGGATTGAGATATATTTGGATTTTTGGGTGTTTTTTTTTTTTTTTTCCCCCACAAAGGTTAATAATTTATTGAGACACAATTTGCATAAGTTGGAGTGTGTCATGAGGCTGTTGATAAGATGTGCTCCTATAATGTTTTACAGTTAAAGTGTTGCTCAACTCCAGAAATGTACTGATGTTTTTGGCACTACATATTTAATAATGAACAGTCCAAACAAAACTTATCTAACAAGAGTGGTGATTGTTTGTACTAGACAGTAACTTCCCCTATAAATAAACATCTCAGTTCCGAACAATGCACAAAGGGATGAACGTGCAACTGTAAATTCAGAAGCACATACACCATCTGGGAGTTTTGACTGTAAAACATTCATTAACTGTCCTGGTTGCATCACCGCAACCACCACTGCAGCAGAACTTTGTCTTACAGTGAATTTTCCCCTGATTGTTATTTAGTATTGCAGAGAAATCTGTTTTAGTGCAGAGGGAGAGACGGCTTGCAAACAGTTTTAAGAAATTCTCTTGTATCTGACAAGGCTTCTTTAATCACTACATGAGGAGGACTAAAATACTTCCTAGTGATGAAGAGTCTAAACAAAACATACACAACAGGCACACAGAAACGTGTAAGTCTGTCTCTATATCCATATCTGAGGAACTGATTGGCTACCTGACGCTGTCAATCAACTGTTGATGATCCTCCGTGATCAGGATGTCGGGCAGGGCCTCAGCCAGAGTCTCCACATCCCTCTCGGCAGCGTACTGCTTGAGCACCTCAAACAGCTGTTCTTTAACATCTGGTTCCTCTCCTAGCACTTCCTCCACCTGGCGCATAAATAAATGCACAGACATGAATGTAGAAAATTAAGCAAAAATGCAGTAAACACAGGTCAAATTTATTTCAATTTCACACCCACCTTCTTATTGAACTCCATGGCCTTGTGGGCGCGACTCTCCCTGATGCTGTCCCCACTCTGCGACAGCACCCTCATGCTGCTGCTCAGTCGCTTCGGCCGCCGGGCCATGCTGAGCACGCCCAGACGCAGAGGCCGGCCCTGAGCTGCTTTGATCATGGCTGCCGCCGTTTCATGGTGCTTCACTGGTATGCCGTTGACCTCCATGACATAGTCCCCGGCCTTTAGGCCACTGCGACCAGCCGGACCGTTGGGCATGCAGTCCTCTACCATCAGAGGGCTGTCTCCAACGATGGTGAAGCCAAAACGGCCATCTGGGCCAGGAGTGATGTCTATCTGAGGAAGGGGGGAAAAAAGCATGGTTACCACCTCAGTGCTGTTTTCATCACTGCAGAGCTGAATGTTATGTGTGTTTTTAGTGTTTTTCGACCAATTAAAAGCACAAAAGGTCGATTACTGGACGTCAAGCTGACCTGTTCTATCCGTGACACCACTCCGATGCTTGGTGGCACCGTCTTGAGGGTCTGAGCCAGAGCAATCAGTGCCGGTGTGCTGAGGTTGGTCACATCCTGGCCCTCAATGTCCACCACCTGGTCCCCGGGCTGCAGGCCAGCAAGGTAGGCGCTACTGCCCTCTACCACGGACAGGATGTAGCTGGGCCCAGTGCCACCCAGTCGGAAGCCAAACGCCTCCGGCCAGTTCTGGTTGGTAGCTGGGAGGCCGAGGTCTGAAGAACGGACAGAAGATAAAACTTGGAAAATGGCCAGAATGATGTGTCGGCTTGGACTTTAATAGGTACGTTTTTTTATAACTGGAAGGTGACATGTTTTACTGCTTGTAGGATATCTATGTCATATTAGCACGCAGGAGCATTGCTAATCTGGTGCAAGCTGCTCATACAGACGAGCAGGTTGTGAGGTCAAATGGTCCATTGGTTTAAATAGGGCAGCTCAGTGATGGCTAGCTGTAGCAGCAAGTACAACTCGTCTATTTCATGAAGCAACAAATATAAAGACCCAGAAGTCACATCAAAAAGCATTTTTAGATTGATGGATTTCTATAAGTTGAATGACATTAAAAAGGAAAAAAAGAGTGAAGGTGGTTATTTCGGACTGTTGGTATCTAGCCCACATGTTGAACTGTATGGCCTTCCCCTGGTCACTGGCCTCATTCTACTGCAGTGTCCCAACAGGCTCACTTGACTTCATCTCCTGTCATCTACAGCCATCTGGATACGTCAAAGACATATGTAGGACATTTATAGGGATTGGTCAGTCCACTTCATGATGTTTTCTGACCAATCCCCAAACCTCTCTTCATATTCTGGATCACAAAATGAAAAGCCAAGCACAAGCACAATGCTTGTGCCTGCTGACAGTTTTTCCATGCCCTCTTGTCCCCATTACAAAGCTATTTACAGTAAATGTGGCAGAATTAGAGAGTTCACTGATTCTACTGTTTGTGTTTATGTCAGGTTTCCTTGTAAAAGCAGAAAACACCTGAATGTAAGCAATTTTATGAGACACGACTGCCTCAAGTCAAGGCGGTACTGCCCCTCCCATCAACAATGATTTTTATCTTATCATATGACGAAATAACTCCAAGGTGCAAAATTAGAAGGGGAAACTTGACACTGGGAAATCTAATAGAGCACACTTACATAAGATCCATAATAAAACTGCATATACACAAACAATTGCAAGCAGTCATCCATCAAACCACCAGTATTACACTGCTGTTTTTCTTTTTGTACTTGATCAGAGGCTTAGAAAGACAGAGACAGAGGAGAAGTCAAACAGACAGAGAAAGACTAAATTAGAGACGGGAAGTAAGAAAAGTAACAAAAAGTGCACGAGAAGTGAGAAAATAAGTCTGTGCCTTCAGCAAAGAAAAAGTAGCTTTGTCAGATCTCCTTCAATGCAAAAAAAAAAAAAAAAAAGACAAATCAGATCTTACTGGAGCACAGGGCTACATATTCAGGGTGTGAGATGTGGCGGACTGAATAAAACATATATCAAATCCAAAGACTCAAAAGAGCCACAGAATTTGGTGTCAGCTTGCTGAAAGTTAACATCAAACTGCAGCTCATTATTGATGTCAAATAGATTGGGAAATCAGTGACATGGAAGTGTGAATCGTAATCTTTTCTCCCCACCAGAACACAAGCGGCACTCAGAGGGCTGTCAAGACTTCCTTTTGTCCTATTCTCCCCAGCCTGCGCCCCAGATACACAATCTCAGCTCCAGCTCCTTTTCGCTCTCTCTTTATCTTACCTCCAGCAGATGAAGCAATGAAATACTTGTAAAAACTATGATTCAGATAAACAGACTCACAGAAATCTTTGGAGGCACTCCGGGTCCCAGACTTGCTCTGGCGCAGGGAGAAGCGGCCCTTTCTGCTCAGGAAACGCCTCATCCTTGCCCGGCTTGCGGCAGGGCACGTTCCAGCCAGCCTCCCTTCACCCCCAACCTGGAGGTCGACGCAGCCAAAGAGTGTCCTCGGACACCCTTGTGCTGCTCCTCACCTGAGCTCACTGCCTCCAAAAACCTCTACCCAGCAAGGCAAATCAAGTGTACATAAAAGGTCACATCTGTAGGTTATCTGGGCCAGTGCCTCCCCCTGTTCTCAGAGAACCAGCGGTCTACAGCTGAGGCCGGAGAGCGGAGAGCGTCTGAGAGTCAGGCTCTCCATCCTGGGTGAGGCGGTCCAGCCACAGCCTCAGTCCAAACCCTATGGCTGAGCTACGATCAGAAACTGGGACATGCTCAGTTGGTCCTGAAATGGTTCTTTGCAAGAAAAGGTACTGCGAAGCCCCATTTTTCTATAAATACCTTTCCCACTCTCTCTCTCTCTCTCTCTCCCACTCTCACTCTCTGTCTTCCTCTGTTGCTCATGTGGATGGGGCCCTCTCAGAGGGCTGAGGACTGACCCAGAAACTGTGTGGTGTACCAGCCAGGGACACTTCTCTGATTATAGCGGCTGTGTTAACCTCAGTACTGGAGCACCAGTTACAGAGATGTAGCCTGCAGATGCTCAAGGTTACACCAAATGAGGTAGTAGTTCAGCAAAGCCCCATCAGACAATGGTGAATTTAGCAGAAGACTGCAAATACTACAGTAAAACAAGGTAAACAGCATGACTATTTCTCAGTTGAACAGTCAAAACAAGCCTTGTGGTGTGTCCATGTGTCCCAGAGGGAGCTGGAGATGTGAATGCCGTGTTTTACCTGGCAGGTGTATGTGGTCTCAAAGCAGCTGGTATTCCCAAGATGAGATGGTGGTCACACTCACACTTCACACTTCTAAAAACAAAGAAAATAAATAAGACTGCAACACAGGATGATAAAAATAATACAATACTATTACATGATCTTAGTATAGCAACACAGACATAAATTGGTTGATGTAACTATGGACGGATAGATTGAAACAGCCAGATATCGAAATACTAAATTATTTCATTATTTTACAACCTTCAGGTGCGGTTAACCACGACAAATGTTACACTCCATGTAGTTGATTCCTCTTACTATCAAAAACAAATATAATATGATCACATATCTAAATAATTCTTCTCATTCAAAAAGACCAACAAATCAACAAAGATAAGTGGGAGCCAACTGTATAAGAAAATAGCATTTATTTGATGCAAACTCTGCTCGAGTAAACTGAACACATGTTTAATGTCTGGTGTATTCGTCATGCTTAAAGATGCTTTATGATCGACCAGGTCAGAAGAGCAACACTGTACCACGGGAGGTTTACATTCTCCCCGAATGGCCTCAAGCAGGCAGGCACACACGCACGATCGGTCAGTCTTTAAAGGGCCTCACATTTCACAGCGGATATAAAGAGTTTCAAAACTCAACACACTGACATCAGAGAGCAGAAGTGAAAACTGCAATCAAGTGATGCCACTTTAGGTAGTAAAAGAAAAGGAGGAATTTCACTTTTTGACTGCAGCAAAGAAGAAGAGACAACAGATAAAAGGCAAAGACATGTTCAGTTTGCGCCACCTAAAAAGAAAATATGCATCAATTCAGGCCCTCAAAATGAACACCTTACAAAATGAATCTAGTTAGTTATTCTCTCAGGCTGTATACTGTATGCACCTAAAAGTTCATAAATTAACAGTGCTTAATTTTAGTAAATCAATCCACAAAAATTAAACACATGATAGAGCTAGTCTTCATGCACACTCAGTCCTTATGTTTCACACACACACACACACACACACACACACACACATTTTTTTTTGCAGGTTGTTGGATTTCTGTAACTATAAACCTTATAAACACTTTGGCCTTTGTTTTGTAATCAAATCTTACACATGAAGCTTATACAAACTCTACAGTAATCGGCTACACAGGTACAGTCGAGACACATTTATAACAGTCCACGGTTCGGATCCTCTTCGATTATACAATGACAGTCTGAATCTCCACCTCCTCTGGGGAGGTGATGACATATTCCTCTTGCTGCTGCACCATCTGTATTCCCTCCTCCACTGCTTCCTCTGTGGTAACCATAGTAACTGTTCCGTCCGCCGTCTCCACTGTGCCTGCCGTGGCCAGTAGCGTGCCGTCGCTGATGGCGGAGGCCAGCGTCATGGCTACCTGCTCCGTCAGGCTCTCGGGGGTAGCGATGGTGATGGTGTCGCCGCAGTCAGAGATGGATGCGCCCTCCTCATTCATAGCCATATTGCGTACAATGATCTGGTGGCTGCCCGTGCCGCCGGCGCTATGGGACTGGCTGACAATCCGCTGTACCACCTTCATGATGTGGTTTCCCATCTGGAAAAAGTTAAAAGTAGCACTGTGAGATAATGCAAATGCAATTAAGACTCTATCAGATGCACTGGTGTAACAGTTTCAAACATTATATGTCTATCAACCAAATTCTAACACTCTGCAACTGCTGTAGATCTTACAGATGATCTCATTTGTGTATACTGACCTCATTTTGGCTGTCTTGAATGAGTGTAACCTCTTCTTCCTGCACGTCGTCCTCTGTTTGAGTCTAGGGGATATGATAACAATAACCTGAATTAAAATATAACCGTGAATAAAGGAGACAATGTTATAGAAAAATTAAGTCCTTCAACATAGATGACCATATGGTGCCAAAGGCATCAATTCTAGTCTTGTCTTCAGTCAATTACGCCATAACAGCACACAGTATCTGAGGAGTTAGAGTTAGTAATTGGTTTAGCCTCTTTTACAATCAATAAATTCCATCAAACATCAACAACAGTTTCTATAGATTTATCTACTGCAAAACAGTTTAAATCACAGCTCCTCTGTCAGTACCTGTGCCTGACTCTGACTCCTAGTGACTGATGCAAATGAGCTGTTTTTATATTGACAATCATGCCTGAGTCAGTCACAATAATACAAAAATGACATTGAAGTCGGTATTTCCAGTCCTGTGTCACAGGCCGGTTTTGCTAAAAACGGGGAAGTTGTTCCATTTGTGTTTTAAAAAGGTTCTACGTTCATACGAACACGTTGTAAAAATTATCCTCATGCACATAGATTTGGAAAAACGACTGAAACTGCTGTAGTATGCATGCCTTCGTAGAAGTCGTTTCAGTCGTTTTCGGGATCCGTGACGCATAAAAGAGGCATAACACACAGCTGGAACATACAAACCATGGCGGGGGCACTCTAAATGTATTAAGAAGTTGTATTAGTTATTGAAGATTAACTTTCTGCCCTTCACCGTTAGTGTAGCGCCTCATAAGGCAATGCTCTAACCTCATTCCTTAATGACATTTCACCTTGACTTATCAAATGCAGACAGTCTAATAATAGGCGCTTAATTAACAGTGTTATGTGCTGTCTTTAATTAGGCATTTATTTAATCCACCAACCAGCTCTATGATATAATAATATTATTGAAACCGTCTGCCTCTCATACCCAGTCTTCTCCCACTTACACTGTAGTGAGGTTATCTTTATGGATTAAATTGATGCCGAATTGACAAGATGACTGTTGACATATTACGCCCTTCATCTTGTGTTTCTAGAGTTTTGTGTTGTTTTGGACACGTAAGGAATTGTTAGAATGTCATATTTCTTAAAGGGAGTTTGGTGTAATATATTCCCTGGAAATACAAACCACGATGAGAAATATTTTTAATGTATAATAGTGGAATTAACTGTGATTTATAGTAAAAGAGCAGCTTAAAACAATAATATATATATTTATAACACCAGTACATTCTTGTTCAAAAAGTTGAACAACCGCAATGAAAGTTTACTGTTTTATGCAAACAAACATTGTCGTGTGAACAGGGCCACAGTCTGCTGTTACTCTTCTCTGTAAAGTTGCAACTTCAAACTCTAGTTCTCCTCTCTTCAATGGCCTAGAAAGGTCTGTGCACTTGACAAAGGGTTGGCGCTGAGTGATTGGTTCTAATCAGCAGCCCAATCAATTCCCTACAGATGGGATCATTTGAGTAAAATTGTTTTGCACTTTAGCTTAACCCCTTCAATCAGAGAGGTAACTGCCATTCACTGCTAATAAGAAACACCTGCCATGACATCACTGATGGGCACAGAGGTGCTTGAACAAGTTTGATGCAAAAAGATTTCTATTTACGATTTACCCTTGAAAGAACCTTGAAGCTGTGATGTTAGGGAGAAACCACACTTACTCTGAACGCTGCTTCCCTGTGGCTCACCTTGATGATGTACTCCTGTGTGTCTGCCACCACTGAGGAAAACTCCACCAGGACAGCATGAGGATCCTCTGAGATGATGGCTGCTGTAGCGAGGCTGTCCACCGACTCCTGCTCCTCTGTTACTGCACCCTGGTTCTCACTCGTATCATCCTTATGGCAGCCCCCTGGTGGAAATCACAGGTTGTGTTATGAGGTCTGTCTGTGTCACTGCTCCACTGCTCTTTTGTTGGCTGTCGATCACACTGACCTTTAGCACGCATATGCCGATTGAGAGTCCCGTGCTCAGCAAAGCCTCGCCTGCATTTTGGGCACTTGAAAGGCTTCTCTCCGGTGTGGTGGCGGATATGTCGCACTAGAGAACCTTTCTCCCTGAAGCCCCTCAAGCAGTACTGACACACATATGGTTTCTCATCACCGTGGGTCCGCTGATGCACCTGCAAGGCATTCTGAGCAAGACAAAGAGATGTGTTAAGAGATGGCACTGGAATGCTTTTGTGGTGGTGAGGACAAGCTAAACAATTAAATAAAAGCAGAGAGTTCAATAGAACACAAATCTTAATATCTACAAAATCACCTTGGTCTTGTACCCCTTGTTGCATCTGCTACAGCGGTAGGGTCTTTCATCCGAGTGGGCCCTCATGTGCTCACGTACATGCCCAATGGTTTTGTACAGCTTGCCACACTCGCCACATTTGTACCTCCTCTCACTGACATGCACTTCCATGTGTTTCTTCAGCAGGTAACCAGTCAGAAACTCCTTGTGGCACAGTGTGCACTTAAAGGGCTTGTAACCTGCATACAGACACAGAGAAAAACTGAATATTTATCAAAAAGGTCCATTCAGTTCTTGAAATTCCAATGTATTATTTTCTGAAAGGGGTCCGTGTCCCATTAACTACAGTGATTTCACATTTTGAAATAAGTTGGTTAACAGGAATAAACAGTAAGATAGGAGGTACAGTAATGCTGAGAGTCATCATTCGTAGTTATGGACATACCCAAATGGCCCTTGACATGAAAGCGGAAGTAATTCAGTCCCTTGAAGGAGCGATTACAGTGAGGACACGTGTGCAGTTTTGAGGGTGTTGGATCATCTCCATCACCTACTTCCTGCAAAAAAACAAAAGAAAGACAGCCAGAAAGACATTAAAAAAATGATTCTGTGTGCAAATAATCATTGCAACACTAGAACCTCTTCTGAGAACGAGTTCAAATGTTTCCAGAACTTATCAGGTCAGTTTCTATCAGTGATTGACAGCATTTCTGTTTCTTAACCCTAAAATAAAACATGAATTAATCATTCCTCCCCGATGCTGAATGTAACTGGCAGCAAAGTGTAAAACTCTTTGCAGAAGCACAGTGTGTTCTGCAACTCAGCCACAGTAGCCTTACATGTCAAGCAAGAACAGAGCTGAGTTTGCCTTTAATAAATACAATACAAAAATATAGCCTTCTCTAGAGATTTTAATCTAAAACGGATACAGGTGGTGTTGAGTTAAAAGAATAATTTATGTCTGACATATTCTACAGATATAGACATTAAAACTGTTGTGAATCGTGTATATGACTATGAAGAGATCCTCCTCACTGTCTATTTTCGGTGGGTACCACACACGAGTCACAACTTCTTGAAAAAAATAGACGACATCCCTATTTTCTATCATCCTTACCTCCACCTCCATCTCAACAAACTCTTCTTTAATCTGGATCTCGGTGATACTCTCTTCAGCATCAGGACAGTCAGAATCCACTTTATTCGTCTCCTCGTTTGCCTGCGAGGTCTCCTCAATCACAGCTTCCTCTGTCCCCAGTGCAATGCCAGAGTTGATGATGGCCTGGCAGATGAGATTGTCACCTGCTGCTGCAGCAGCAGCCAGGGCCTCCGCCTGAGACTGCTCTACCACGACCTGGCCAGAGGCAGAGCAACAGGTCAACAGAACAGGTTGACTGAGAGTTACAGGTAAAATCATCTTATTCATCACTGAAAAAAATTACTAAAAAGCATTTTCAGAAAAGGAAAGAGCTTTCTTTAGCTAAAACCCTCACCTGCTGCTCCTGTGTCGTTCCATCCACCTCCATTGTAAAGTGGACCTGATGGAGGACCTCTTGGGAACCAGCTTCTACCACGCTGACGACAGCAGTCTGAGCTTCTACCATCCCCTGCTCCTCTGGCTCTTGCTCCACAACCACCACCTCTTGCTGGCCAGCCAGTGCAGCGTGATCATCTTCAACTCCTGGACAATTTACACAGACCTGTCAGTGACTCAATGGATTCTTACTTCCTTAGGTATTTTACATTTATTCTTAAATACAGTACTACAAGTTGAACTTCTCTATCAATAGCTACAGCTAGTGAGACCATTAAGCTGCCTTCTTTAGCACAGTTATACGGCTTCAGCAGTGTAAATCTGACCTTTTTGTACTCCATCTTTGCTGACCAAGATCTCCTTGTACTGAACGAAACGGATCTTTTCTGTGCAGGGTGTGAGGGCCTTAAGGTGTCTGGTGAGGGCACCTGACTCTCTAAAGGACTGGCCACATTGGTCACAGCGGTACGGTCGCTCATCTGCAAGAGAACAGGAAGAAAGTAGTGTTATCATTAGGTAAAATTCATTAGAAAAGATCAATTCAAGACCTGGTTTACTGTCCGTACCCGTGTGACGACGATTGTGACGAATCAGGGAGCCTTTGGTGCGAAAGGAGATCCCACACAGGTCACAAGAGAAGTTCTTCTGGTCACTGTGAGTTTTCATGTGAGTTCTCAAGATGTTGGTCTGTCGGGTGAATATAGAACATATTAGAGAGACAGCCCTGGCAACATAAAGTAAAAAATAAAATAAATACAGTGTCTGGTATCAAAAGAAATTCTAACAGTTTGGAAATCTCATGTTACTCATTTCAGGTACTCATAGAGGAAAATATGACCAACATTTCCTGATAAAAGACACATACAAAACTGAAGACGTATGACTCACTGTTTTAAATGTCTTTTCACAAAGTTGGCAAATGTAGCGTCCCTCCCCGTTGACTTTGTAAACACGCTTGTCACTGTCAGCGTTGTCAGATATGGATCCTTCAGTCCCATCTGACTGGTCAGTGACTTTAGGCGGCACGATTTTTTTCCTGCGACCTCGACCCAACAGCGCACCGCTTTCATCTGTGGGAAAAACACGCACATCGACTGACTGATTAGACGATCAACAAAAGTAATCTTCACCTATTAGTCACCTTACAAGCAAAAATACTGAACATTCGCTGATCTCAGCTTCTCAAATGTGTGGACTTTATTCCTGTATTTGACATACATATACGGGAGTAAACTGAACGTCTATCAGTTCTGGTCTGATGGTTGGATAAAACAAGCAATTGGTCACCTTTAAGGAAATTATAATGGGATTTTTCTAATACTATTTTTGACGAATAATAGAAAATAACTGGCAAATGAATTGATAACACATAGTTAGTCGCAGATATAATGTTTACCCACCATCAAAGGGCTTCAGTGGTTCATCTAAGGATGCACCATCAGCTGTTTTCACGTCTGAAGAAGAACTTCCATTGGCTGCAGTAACCTGCCAAAATGTAAGATATCAACATTTGGTTCAACCTCTGCTGTTTATTGTGTTTACTGGATATAAACCGGTGCATCACAGTCCATACCTCTTGAATGGCATCCTGGCTGCTCGCCTCCCGTGCCTCCACACGTTTGCAGTTGTGTTGCAGCTTGTGCTGGATGAAAGCCTCCAGCGTGGAAAACTCGGTCTGACAGCGTCCGCACTTGTGCACATCTTCATCTGACAGCACGGGTTAAACAAAAACAAAAAACAAGACGACAACAACAACAACAACTTTCAGCATGAGACAACGCCACAAACACTTGTGCTGTCAGCTACCGCCATGCAAACCTCTCTAAAGACTGCCAACCAGGCTCGACTTGTAATCTGAGCAAAAGCTGCTAATGTTGTTGCTAATGGCAGCTAGCCGCTAGCAACATTTCACGATGGAGGAAGTTAGCTAGGCCCCAAACGCAACATTTGATAAACATTTCAGTCTTGTTTGAGCAAGGACGAGGACTAACCTTCGTCTCCCAGTGTGGTCTGAATGGTGATCGTCTCGTTGCCGTCCTTCGTTTGCTCCCTCTCTGTTTCTGCCGTATGATTATTTTCTACATTCATGTCGTTAGAGTTCTCCGTCTCTGTCGCAACGCTGCTACGAGGAGGTAAAACATGGCGGATTTACGACCCCGTAGTCATAACAACAAAAGGGCGCGTGCGTATGTGTCTTTATCGACAGAGGAGAGAAAACAAGAAAACATGCTTTGATCCAAATAATGCCTTAAATTACATTTTAATTGGGTTTCAAAATGCAGGTTACATAAATGTATACATAGAAAAATCATTTTTAGCTATTTGTGTATATGATAAATAGAATTATTACGAATCTATTCACTATTTTTTTTATATTTTCTGTTTTGTTCTCACAGCCAAGTGACATTATCTGCCTGTGCAGCTGTATGGAGCAGCTATATTAATGTAAGATGGATAATACAGTAATCTGAAGATGCCTTAAACATTGAAAACCTATCTATAAACAATATAAGAGTGCTGAATATGCTATATGGAGGAAGTCATACAGATTTGGGGTCCCACTTTATCAAGGGTCCTAAGAAGGATTTAAAACACCCTTTATAATCCAAATCAGAATATGCAGGTAAATTATAAAACTATATCAAGCCCAGAAATAGAGAAATAAACAGGAGGCTATTAATGTGGCTATAACTGAGTCTTCTAGTCCAACTGCTGTCTCTCCCCTCTCACAGGGACCCATGATAATGGTCCATGAAACTATTATTTCTGTAAAACAAGAGTCTTCCATACCTAACTTCCCACCTGTTGCTCCATGAGAAATGCATTACAGTGTTTTGTTGCATGATTTTTGCACAGTTGTATAGTAATTTAATGTGGACACAGAGGCTTTTATAGTTTATATAGTGGCAGCTGTAAAGAAAACAAAAGGAGAAACATTTTGGTGGCAGTGACATAGTTTGGAGGGAGGGGCCCATAGTCCGTTTATCTCCTTAAAGGGCCCCTCAAAGTGGCCGATGAGGACATGTGATTGACCAACAGACAGAAGTAACAACAGGAGACCAGTCAAGGCAGCAACTTTACATATTCAACAATTCAAACATGTTTGTAATGTTGACACTATAATTTGTCACTGAGAAACAAATATTTACTGTATACAAACCAATCAAATTCTTATTCTTGTCTGCATTCATTTTTGCTGCAACTTAAGATCAATATAAAAGAACTGAAGACAATAAATAAAACATGTAAAGGAGGATTACAGTCTGCAGGCTGCATAAAGCTGTGAGTGTGTTTCTCCCTTCTCCTTCATTGTAGATCACCATGACTCAGCATTTTAAACCTGTAGATTCCCTTTATTAAAGGCTCAAAGTACGTGCTAAACATAAAAGATATAGATAAACACCATCATTAAACCACTACTATAATCGATAACATATAAGCACAGCAACATCAGCTGAAGTCTAATCAAAGCTATTCACGACACAAAAGTAAACAACAAACACTTTTACGGCAGCAAATATGGCTTCTCACTTTAGCGGTGTGCTGCAGCTGACAGATCTCGATGACTTTATCACCCCCTCTCAGGTAACGAAACTATTGTAACATGTTATAACATCAGATTTATTTCAGAAGGACGTTGTTAACGCTAATAAAAACGGAAACGTTACTGTGAAAGTTAGCATGCTTACTAGCTGTTAGCTGTTCTCGTCAGTGCCGTTGTGTGAGTTAACAACCCCCAAAAAATAAATAAATAACCGCAACCATTAATCCCTGTTGTTAAAAAGCTTATCATAAAGCAGCGTTAACCCGCTGGAGTCACTGTTACTGATCAATACCCGATAAACACATCACGCTAAAAGCTAAGCAGCTAGTTTGTTGCTAATGCTAGCAGTGATGTAACTGTGATGAAATAGTAGATGTGACGTTGTGTTTGGTGATAACTTGGTTTAAGTGGATATAGATAAATGATTTTAAATATTAATAGACATTAGGGTACTGAATTGTCAAGTTGAATGTCCTGATAGTTATTTAGATTTATAACCGGCCATGTGCTCGTTTCTTACTGCGCATGTAAGATTTAGTCATTAACTGTGATCTTTGAGCTTTATGAAGAAAACAAATGAATAAAACAGGCTTGAAACTATGTAAAACTGTGTTGACCTCTAATACTGTTGTTTTTGGGTTTTTTTTGTGTGTTATTTATTTATTATTTGGCTTTTTTTTCTTTCCTTTGTTGTTCTTACTCAGTCAGGTGCCCTTGGATGCTGCTATACATTTCTGTGTTTCATCTTTTGAACACTAATAAAGAATTAGGGATGCACTAATTCTGAAATTCTGAGCCAATACTATGTTTAAAATAACAATTTTGCTGATGTTTTTTGTTGTTGTTATTTATTGGCCCTTATGTGTTATTTATTGGCCCATATGTTCCAGGAAAACAAAGACATTTACAAAGATAAGCATCTCTGTAATTATTTATCCAGTACCCGAGTTAGAAATAACCAACACAACATTTAGCTAGTGCAAAATTGATGCGACGCAACAGATAAACATCAGCCACTGATATCGATGAATGCCTTCCTATTTCTGAATAAACCGATATCAGTCAATAAAGCAAATATGGGCCGATAAATTGGTTCCCTACTAGTACTTTGTTTACATGTGTGGTTTCTGTTTTGCAGGAATGTGTCAAACCTGTGAAAGTAGAGAAGAAACAAGGTAAATCTGTGGCCAAAATTCAAATAGAAGATGATGGCAGCTATGTCCAAGTCAACCAGGTGGGTATCTAGGCTGAATCAAAACCTGTATGTGAATTATTAAAAGTGAAGCATTGCATTACTTTGTGCCTTGAATTAATTCTCCTTGTGTTTGTAGGATGGCGAGAAGCAGAAGCTGGAGAAAGCAAAGATCACACTGAATGACTGTTTGGCCTGCAGTGGCTGCATCACCTCGGCTGAGAGCGTCCTCATCACGCAGCAGAGCCACGAGGAGCTTTTTAAAGTGCTGCAGAACAACAAGGTAGTGATGGAAATACGTGTTTGAATGCTTGTGTACTGTGTGTGTGGTCAGGATTACTTTTGCAGCCCTCTACATGCTATACTTATAATTTTGGGTGTCGCTGTATTTACCTCTGCGTCATTTGGATTCCTTCCAAAGACGAGTGCTACAGAGCAGAAGGTTGTGGTGGTGTCGGTGTCGCCGCAGTCCAGAGCCTCCCTCGCAGCACGCTATGACCTCAGCAGTACTGAGGCAGGCAGGAGGCTTACGTCTTTCTTCAAAGGCCTTGGTGAGAACAAATATTACTATTTAAATGATACAACTCAAAGTGAAACTGAAAAGTGAGAGGTTGACTAAGGCAGACACAGGCACTTCTGAATACTATAATCACTGTTGCAGGGGTTCATCATGTGTTTGACACGAGCTTTAGTCGGACCTTCAGCCTGCTGGAGAGCCAGAGGGAGTTTGTGGATCGTTTCCAGAAGAAGGAGCAGGACAGCAAATGTCTGCCTATGCTGACATCGGCGTGTCCAGGTATTCCACTAATAATTAGTTAGCTCTGTGCTGCCCACTGTCTAACAAAAGCAAAAATTTAACTACTAAGGAATGAGAAAATAATGTTTATTTATTGACCCCTCACAATATATTTATCCTCATTTCACTTTTCAGAAAGTAAAAGCTTTCAGAGTTTATTGCAGTAAAATATATTTTGATTCTCACAATGCGAAATTCCATTGATTAATATAATGTCAAAGTAGAATAATACATATTCAACTTAATATCTTTCTTTTCTCCTTTCTGATGATTGCAGTGTTTTTTCAAAGACGTTTCTCATTGTGCGTGTCTGTGTGTATTTGTTTTTGTTGTGTTCAGGTTGGATTTGCTATGCAGAGAAGACACACGGGAAGTTCATCCTTCCATACATCAGTACCACTCGCTCCCCCCAGCAGATGATGGGTTCTCTGGTTAAAGGCTACTTTGCTGAACAACAGGTACGGGAACACCTGAACACCAGATATTACAGTCAAACAGTGAACACCACCTCACGGAGGTTAAAGAGATTTCACTTTTTATTATTTCATCACGTCTTGATAGCAGCTTGGTGACGTTTCTTTGACTGTAACTAAAATTGCAAAGGTATAAAAGTACAAATAGAGCTTCTATCGTTTGTGTAAGATTTAGACATTTAGTCACTCCTGTGTTAGTGTTTGACACTAACACAGGTCAACTTTGGTTGTTTTAAAGTGCTTAACAAATAAAGTTGGATTGGATTGGATTATCCAGTGCTAGTTTGTACTACTAATACTGTTATGAATGTGTGTAGATATATGGTTATTAAAGAGTTGAACTGTGTATTGTGTCTGTTGTTAGGGGCTCAGTCCACAGCAGATCTACCATGTGGCAGTAATGCCCTGCTTTGACAAGAAACTTGAGGCCTCGAGGTCGGACTTCTTCATGAACAAAGCTGAGACTCGGGAAGTGGACTGTGTCATCACCTCTGGTACAGTAGCTGCTCTTATAATGCTCTTTTTTTGTGTTTGAATGTGGAGTATCTTCTCTCTTATACCTTTCACTGTCTCATATAGGAGAGGTTCAGAAAATGCTGGAGGAGAAAAATGTGTCTCTTAGTAATGTGGAACCTGCACCCCTTGATACATTGTAAGTTCTGCAACATTTTGTCTTTTGTTTGCTCCACCCCGTTCTTTAATATAAACCACAGCACAAATTTCTAGAAGAAGACATGGGCTCACATGCTACGTATTATTGTCAACCCAGGTTTAGCAGTGTGAGTGGGCATGAGTTCCTGAGCCATGCTGGGAGCGGGTCAGGGGGTTACCTCCATCATGTCTTCACCTATGCTGCCAAGCAGCTGTTTGGAGAGGAGGTGAAGGAGCTCACCTACAAGACCCTCAGGTGAGTCTGTCTCAACATCTTCAAGAGGCTCGACTGCTCTGTGCTCATTTGTGGTTCAGGCTAATTATGCCATCTGGAACAGTCAAGCTTGAAGAACAGTTCCAGTTCATTCAGATAAGTTTAATGCTCTCAGAATAGCCTTCCTTGTAGATCATGCTTAATTATAATGTCACTCAACCTGGATCCTAGCTCATTACTGTTGTTTTAGAGGATTTCTATGTGCAGGCTGAGAGAGGCTGTGTTAAAAAAATTACAATTTGCCCCAGTTTAATTGCCTTGTACCTCGTGTGTATAAGAACGTCTGTCTGTCTAACCCCGTTTTCCCACCTCAACCCCTCTGCCACAGGAATAAAGACTTCCAGGAAGTGACTATAGAGAAAGACGGAGTTGTCCTGTTGTGCTTTGCGTCCACATACGGCTTCCGCAACATCCAGAACCTGGTGCAGAAGCTCAAGAGAGGGAAGTCACCCTACCATTTTGTGGAAGTTATGGCCTGTCCATCAGGTGAGTGAAATTGCCCCTTGATCACATGTTAGCACATTGTGGGCGTTAGTGTTAAGTATAAATGATGTACTTGTTACATATTCAAACATATGGAAGCTATAAAATGCAGTGTTCAGTCAGTGCATTAGGTTATCAGATGAAGTCACACTAGCACTGCTTGACTCATTTAATGCTGACAGATGTTTGCAAGCAAATCAAAGCGATAAACACAGCACGTTTCCCCTGACCTCTTCTTAATGTTCAGGCTGTCTAAATGGTGGTGGACAGGTGAAGCCCTTACCTGGTGAGAGCCAAAAGGAGCTTCTCCAGAAGGTTGAGGAGCTCTACAAGGCAGAGCGCCCCCTATTGCCAGAGGATGACACTCGTGTGGCCGAGCTGTACCAGTCCTGGCTCCACAGTGTTGGGGAGGAGAGAGCCAAAGAGCTGCTGCACACACAGTACCACAGTGTGGAGAAGATGACTAACGGACTCACGATGAAGTGGTGAATAATGCTTCAGCTACAATGCACAATCAGTAGACACTGACTACACGACCGTCCAAATATATGTGACTATTTCTGTCTCTCTTCAGAGAGAAGAGAAGGGTTGTGGGCAAAGTTGAACTTAAGAAAGTTTGATGTGTGCCAACAACCTTTTAAACCACTTTTTTTTCAAAAGATGTGTGTCTGGTGAGGTAGAAAACCATGGTGTAGCTAGATAAAGGACACAAATTATGTCTATAGTTTGATAATTTGCCCTGATACTGCTGATTGAATTCATTTGTTTGGAAAATGTGACCTGAAATAACAAAGCAAATATAATCATTCCTTGTTTATGTGTATATAGAAAAATAAAGACATTATTTAAGTATAGCCATTTGTTTTGTAAGTTATTTTTTAAAAGATGTGAAGAACATGCCCAAAATCAGACTGATGTGTTTTATTGAATAATCTTGACTCTGATGTACACTTAGAAGGATGTAAACTTTGAGATGAAAAGCAGCAGTTTACCATCCTAGTTACATCAAACTCCTATTCAGAAATACTGGGTATAAGATGCAGTCTGAAGTACAGATACATAAATACATAATACTTAAATTATATTTGTGTACATTGTGTAGCGTTCAACTGCAAAAGTAAGCAAGACTTGTAAAATATATACAGTATGTCAAAACTGAAATGGGTAAAAAGTTTAAATGAGAGTTTACATGAACACCAGTCTAATAAAGATAATCATGAAGAAATTTAGCTTATTTTCTCCCAAAACCAGCAACAAATACAGAAAACACAGTTACATTTCAGCAGTTTTTTCAAAGGGAATTAGCATTAGTAGACATTACCTGGTGCAGTTGATGCATAATGGAACATTTAATGAAAGCAGCTTTATACTGGCCTTTTTGTGCAGACATTGTTTTATGATTACTTAAAACAACACACATGCCCATGGGGGGTCAACAGGGGCATAAACTGGTCAAACGTGTTGAAGCAACAAACACCACACTCTACAGTCTCATGTCTTCCATTCAGTCATTCAAGGTTGAGTATGTCTAAACTGAAACTGGATCTCAGGGTCTGAGAAGCCCCCATTCCAAAGCCAACATGGCGTGGGGAGAAGGTCTCTCCTTGGGCTTCTTAAATTTGTCCTTCTCCTTCCGCAGGACCCTCAGCACCTCTATAGGATCCGTCTTCCCTGTGAACTTCTGTACTCCTTCCTCCCTACAGTAAAGGAGGGGGAATTAGAAATAAAGATTACCAGCAGAGACAAAGTGTAACACACAGTTGGGGCAGGAAACGTCATACACATTCAAACATACTGTATATAAATATCCAAACTCACGAGAGGCGAAGAAATGGGTTGTATTCAAACTCCTCGATTAGGGTAGATGGCACTGTGGGTTTGTCATCATCATCTCTGGCCTGCAGACACAAAGGCCGTCAGGCAACTCGGCAAAATATGTATTTAAAGGATAAGACTGTCAATATTCTAAATCTTTGTTTTCCCATAAACTGTGCAACCAAAGCCTGAAAGAGCTCACATTAATGAGCCACCTTTCTTTAACATGGACACTGTGGTTTGTTTTGATTAAATCTCACAAACAACGTCCTGCTGCAGGAAATACTCACTGGAATGTCAAAAATGTACTCATCTGCAGCTGAAAATAGTCCCCAGCAAATGCACTATTTACTCCTTTTTGAGTAACATTTGCTAAAAACTACAGTGTCCAGTCATTTTAGGATATTATTAAGCCTTTTTAAAATAAATTAATCTATATATTTGTTGTTGATTTAGTAAAAAACAGAACATTACGAGTTTTGGTCTTTAATTTTCCTTCGAGTTTATTGCTCACCCTGGCCCAGCTCAGCATCTCTTTAACCTTTTCATTCTCTGGCTCCACCAGCATGGCAAACTTCAGGTTCTTAATGGTGTACTCGTGTCCACAGAACACCTTCTACAGGGGAACAAAGCAGGATTTAAAGTCAGGATTCACACAAACATAGTAGAGTTTGACTAGCTTAGTCATTCTGGGCTTTGTGCCATGTTTAAGACACTACAAAGACTGAAAAAGAGAGTCAGGCTGCACTCAATCCCTTCATTGTACATGTGTTTATTCATCACAGTGACTCAGTCTTACACCATCTGAGGTCATGTTAGCTGTTGTTAACCCTGTTAAGGTTGCACACAACCACAACGAATATCTCTTCATTTCCACTAACCGTGTCTTGAGGTAGGGAGCCCAGCACCTGGGTGAGATTGTGGTACATCTGTTCTGCTGTACCCTCAAGAAACCGCCCGCATCCAGCAATAAACAACGTATCCCCTGACAACCAAAAAAAAAGGACAAGTGGAGGGAGTGGTCAGTCCCTTTCATCGCACACAACAAGAACAACAGACAATGTGCTGGTCAACAAGGATACATATCTCAAGCCACTCAAAATTAAGTTATTATTTACACAATTTATGCCACATGATATGACAGTGAGTGTGCTGCACAGGTATGAGCTGTACGCAGAAATGTACTTTTCCAATTGGTTCACCAGCTCTTTATGTTTACAGACAAAGACCTGTGAACACAGCAGGGGCGTCAGTGCACTCATCCTCCCAAACAAAGTAGCACATGTGACCAGAGGTATGGCAGGGAGTAAACAGGCACCTCACATTGATGGAGTTAAACTGCAAAATGGAGAAAACACAATGTCAAAAGACAACATGGCAGAGACACAATGGGAAAAGCTGTATTTTTGTGTAATTGACACGTTGAAATCATAACTGGAGCACCGTCCAGGTGAAGACATTTTACTCCTGTTACTTTGTGGGCACCTTGAGTTCCTGAGCGTTGGTGACTTTATCCGTCAGACCCCCGATCCGATCGTCTCCTCCGTACACCCTCAGCCCCGGGACCTCCTTCACCAGGGCTTCATTCCCCCGAGCATGGTCCCTGAGCAGTGGAAACAGGTTAGTGCATTATGGCTTTAGCAGGGATTATATGCTGGTGTTCTGGTATTACTGGTTTACTTTAAGTCGTGGCTAGCAAACAGTCTCACCAGTGATGGTGTGTGGTGAGAACAGCCGTCAGAGACAAGCCCTCTCTCTTCACTATTTCAAGCAGCTGTAAAAAAACAAACAAACAAAAAAAAAAAACCCAGATGTCTACCTGTTAGCTGTTCACAAAAGTACAACAGATTGATAAGGTACTTTTAAAGCAAAAAGGCTTGTAAACTGTGAGGATGAGCTGTTTTTATATTTCTGTGCCATAGTAAACTGAATATATCTTTAGGTTTTGGACTGTTGGTTGGACAAACAAGCAATTTTATGACATCACATTGGGCTTTAGGAAATTATGATGGATATTTTCACAATTGTTATAGACCAAAAAATGTATTGAGAAAATAATCCCAGAAACATTTGGTTAATAACGGTAATTGCATGATGTTATTAATATTAGTATGTAATATACAGTTTTATATGTTTAGTTTGTTTAGTTTTATATCATGTTAAGTCCTGTATGTCACCCAGTTATTCTCTGTTTCTATTATTGTTTTATCTGTAAAGTTACAACTGTTTTGTTTTTGCAATAAATGAATAAATACATCTAATCTCACTTATTTTACTTTAAGTATATGTACAATATATTTTTTTCTATTTATGCCCCTCTATATTATACTTACAGTACGTGTTACAGATGTTTTAAACCCCAGTTTCTAATGAACATCATACACCAAACAGCAGTTATCTGCCTCTCACCCGGTGTGGTACAGCAGGGTCCACAGCTACAGCCTGTTTACTCTGCTCCTCAATCACCAGGTACATGTAGTTGTCCTCAAGGATGGAGATCACCTTTACCTTCATGGCACCCTCAAACGCATGCGCACTACAGTGGGCGACACTTGAAGGAAGAGTTTAATGAGTCCCAATGAGTTATATCCCCGTGTTTGTATCGATATCTGACCCAGCTGTTAACTTACTACTGACATTGTATGAAGTATTAAATTAGCTAATAAAATCTTGCAGCGGTACTGTTAGCATTAAACATTAAAACCGCCACTGGCTCTGTTGCTGTGTCATTAAACTGAACACTGAAAGCAAATCAATCAAAGAAAAACACGGTTACCTCAGACTGAACGATTACGAATGGGTTGTTTTTTGCTTGTGCGGCTGCGAGGCTGTGAATATTATTATTCCACATTTCTGCATTCAGACCTCAGATGAAGGAAGTTATCGCGACATCATCGAGCCAACAAATCTAAGACATTTTAATCGAGCCCAGAAACCTTCAACACTGTTGTTAAATAAGATACTGTTGAGAAGGAAATTGGAAATTAATTTATTGTCACGTTAAAACTCGACTATTTTTTATAGTTTTCTGCTCAGTATTTTGTGTTCCGACTGTTAGACAATTTAAAATGAAAAATAAATAAAGATTTTAATCTGGAAAATACTTAAATTAAAGAAATCAAACACTCATTACTCGTTACCAGTAGTACTACAGTTAAATATAATTTTGAGGTATATATATATATATATAAAACAGTATATCTTTAATACAAGTACATCTATCTTACTACATAAACATAGACAAACTGGAGTTTTTTACTCCGCTACATTTTTGACATGATATATTTACTTTGCAGGCAAAGTAAACATATAATACATAGTGTGATGCATTTATATAGATTTAGAACAGTTGAAAGCTCAACCAGCTACATGCTTACATGTTACTGCTCTTGTCATAATCCAATAATATATCCTATGTAGTAATATAACACTTTCAATGGGACCAATCTGCACAATGAGTCCTTTTCTTTTGAAACTCAAAGTACACTTTGAAAGACTTTTATTTCTACTGACTTAATGTACATGTTTTATTGCTTTTTCCAAAGAACATCATGCAATATTCTTCATAAGATTGTACTTCACATGCAAAAGAGCACTCAGGAGATCTTAAAACTAATGCTTACACACCGACAAGTTGACAGTGCTTTTACTCACACAGTGCTTTTAAATAAAGGAAGATATAAAAAGCACTGTTGTTAAATTTTACAAGCGATGAACAACCAAACTAACAGGTTCCAAGCAAAAACCACAAAGAAATGTAACAAGGAAACTTTCCAGGTCAGAATAAAACATTGATACGAATCTTTACAGAAAGTACTTTATCAATTTACAGAAATTTTACACATAGTCCAACATTAGTTACTTAAGCCGCTCGTTGTCTTGTTTAAGTAATTGAATTAGTACCCTTCATGAAACAGTACTTTGTACATCAATATATTACATCAATATAACATAAAAGTAAATAGACTCTAAAACTCCAATTTACAGATGAACAAACTCATTTTCTCATTTAACGAATTCAATTAATGGCCATATATTCCTTAAAACGATCACACCAACATGATCCAAACAAACCAAATACAACTAAAATAATGACAGATAGGTTTATCGCCATATTAGTGAACAAAAAGGTGTGCCTCGACTGAGAGTTAATGCAGTGGATCTACTGGTATTTCAACTGGCACTGAAGATGCATTGCAGGTATTTTCTGTAGTATGCTATTGACAGCTTGCAGTGTTATAAGCAGTTGTTCAGGAACAGTTAGCATTAGTGGACCGGACATCACTCCTTCGGCACCCGGAAGCCATCTTTCTCTTTCCGGAGAGTTCTCATGGTTTCAATCGGGTCTGTCTGCTTCACATGATCTTGCACGGACTTCTCTCTAAAATAACATCAGAAAATATGAGCAGACAAACATTAATTAGCTCTAAACAAACTACACTGACACATACATGTGTTGTAAATTTGCAACAAAATTTGTATTGAATCCTGTTCTACATACTTTACTCTCATAAAGGGGTTAAATGTGAATTCGTCTGCCAAAGTGGACGGGATGGTGGGTTCTCCATTACTGCATTTCTCCTACAGGAACACAAATACACAGAGGCAAAGTTATTTTTAAACTTCAACAGCTTCAGTGGTTGATCATCTGATTGGGGCACTGATTGCTTGGATGTGACACGTCAGTCAAATACCTTTGCCCATGCTAGCTTCTCCTGAATGACTTCATTGTCTGGTTCCACATGCCGTGCAAATTTCAGATTGCTGATGGTGTACTCATGACCGCAGTAAACACGCTGAAACACAAACACAGTATGGTTGGTCAGTCATACAGCTTAAGTGTGACTTTTTCAAGACCCAAAATAAAAAAATGAATCACATATCTCACACATTTTCCCCATAACTTATCTCAATTACCCTACTCAAATCTTCTGTAAATTACTTTAAGAACGATTCAGGTCTTCAGTAATACCTTTTACATTTTCATTACAGGTGGATTACATGTACTTACTGTTTCAGGAGGCAGGCGTCCCAGGATTTCTATCAAGGCTCTGTACATCTGTTCTGCGGTACCCTCAAAGAATTTACCACAACCAGCCACAAACAGCGTGTCTCCTGCACGAGAGAGAAAAAGCGTCCTTTTAAAAAGGTCACACATGACAGAGAGCTGACTTGTTACAGAGGCTGCATCAATACTTATTGATCGGGCTTAACAGTGTAAGGGTTTTATCAAGAGACTCCATTGTCTCCAATATCACATGGTATTCATTTATGCAGTCCACCTGATATAAAGGGTTAATGTGATTAGACGTACCCGTGAAAACAGCTGGCGGCTCAGTGCTATTTTCTTTAGTCACGTAGTAGCAGATGTGACCAGTCGTGTGACACGGCGTAAACAGGCATTTGACATTGAGCGATCCAAGCTAGGAAGGAATAACACCAGTGAGCAAACATCAGTTACGTGGGGGTTATATTGACATTGCAGGACAGACAGTTTGATGGTCTTACTTTGAAAGTGTTGGAATGAGAAACTTTCTTTGTGATAGCATCAACTCTGTCGTCTCCTCCATAGACCTTCAGTCCTGGCATTAGCCTTACCATCTTCTCATTCCCACTAGCGTGATCCCTAGGGAGAGAGAATGATCAGTGTATGACAATGCTCTCGTGTAAATAGCATGCATAGCCAACTTAAAGTGTAGCTTACCAGTGGTGATGAGTGGTTAGAACTGTTGTGAGTTTTACGCCATGTTTTCTGACGGCTTCCACAACCTGTCAAATGCAGGGAAAAAAAAGGGGGGGTTGATTAATCAATCAAAAGAAAATCAATCACCAATAATCACTGATTTAAAACAATCAAAAAAAGTGGGGATGGTCAACCTTTAAAGATTGTGCCTATTAACTATCCATTAATACCTCTGGGTGTATTAGAACAATGTTGTAAATAAATGAACATTATTTTTTTACATAAATGTGAGTAAAGCACACTGACTGCTCAGACAATTCATTTGCTGGATTACCCAAAAACCAACATTTCTTTTCTCATTTCATCCACCAACAGTTTCTCAAAAGATAACTAAATAAATCATCATGCTCAAAAAATACATACACCATCATGAGCCCACCACTTACGCATCATATCCTTTAAGCTGATTACATATTTCTGTGTGTAAAGTAATAATCTATTAAGGAACTAGTAGTGTTAAATAAATGTAGAGCAGTAAAAAGTACAGTATTTGCCTCTGAAATGCAGTAGAGTAGAGGTTTATACCTTTATTGGCTCCACGGGGTCAACAATAGCTGCTTCTCTGGAGTCCGGATCGATCAGCAGGTACATGTAGTTGTCACTGAGGGCTGGCAGGAGTTCAACCCTCATATTTGCTTGTTCCACCACAAGTGACTTCCTCACTGTGCTGTGAAGGAGAGCAGCTGCTTGAGCCTTGACTTCCACAGGTGCTACATGAGAGGATTAAAAAGTCAATATGTCCCCTAAATACCAGTAAAGTCATTATACAGTAGCCAGTGGTTGGGTGAGTAGTCCTCCTGTAAGCTAATGCGACACCAACATGAAAGTAAACAACGTTAGCTTCAATGCTACCTTTTAAAAAAAATAAAAAACACTTCAATTGTGTCACCTAACCTAGCTGCTACAGCGGTGAGCTAACTTTGGCTGTCATGTAAGGATATTATGCAATAAGGTGGAGACGTCTGCTCAGACAGGCCAGCTGTGTTCCTCTACCTCCTCCCAACAAGACACGACACAACAAAAACAAACAAACCCTGTTAGCCATCCTCAACTAGTTAAAACCCACGTACACAAGCTAACATGCTAAATAGTATGTTTGCATGCTAAATAAATAAAAAATAAATAAAAAAGGACTCGAACCAAACTTGAAGGCTGTTGCAGCTCCGAGCAGAGTGCAGGCACTCCCCACTAGTGACTTGAATAACATTACAACAGCAGCTATATCCTTATCACATTAGTATAAACCAGAAAAGTTTGGTTCTCGGTTCAGTTCCGCTTCAACTTTAACCTCCGCAGGCTCCACCAATCAAGTCCGGGGGAGTAGATCGTGAATAACCGGATAAACACGTGAATTAATTGGTTATATAGGCATTTTAACACACACTACAGACATTAGGGTATGTGTGGGGGGTTTTATTTTGCCCTCTGGTCCTGATACACTTCTCAAAAACATCGATTTAATAGGTTTTATTTGATTTTTGGGAAATTCTCTGTATGTTCTTTCAGGCTTGCCGTAGGTTAGTAGTGTGGCGTCAGCAACCTGAGGGACGGTCAAAGTTTACTCAACCCGGTCCCGACTGCTTCTGAGCGGCGCAAACCTTCCCGTTTCTCCACAATGACTGCACGAAATATATCCCGATTCTGGGAATGGGGGAGGAAGATCATTTGCGTCGGGAGAAACTACGCGGACCACGCCAAGGAGCTGAAAAATGCGATTCCTACCGAGCCCATCCTGTTCCTGAAGCCGCCTTCTGCATATATAAGAGAGGGGTCACCGATCCTGGTGCCCTTGTACTCCACTAACCTGCACCATGAGGTGGAGTTAGGGGTGGTCATCGGGAAAGGGGGCACAGCCATCCCTCAGTCCGCGGCTATGGAGCATGTAGCCGGATACGCTTTGTGCTTGGACATGACAGCCCGGGACATCCAGGACGAGTGCAAATCCAAGGGTCTTCCCTGGACCATGGCCAAAGCTTTCAACACCTCCTGCCCGGTCAGTGAGTTCATCCCCAAAGAGCGCATCCCTGACCCGGGGAGCGTGAAGCTGTGGCTGAAGGTGAACGACCAGCTGCGGCAGAGCGGCTGCACCTCCCAGATGATTTTCTCCATCCCCTATCTCATCAGCTACATCAGCGACTTCATCACGCTGGAGGAGGGGGATCTCATCCTGACCGGGACCCCTAAAGGAGTCTCCGCCGTGCAGGAGCACGACGAGCTGCAGGCCGGCATCGAGGACGTTGTCACCATGAGCTTCAGAGTAGACAGACAAGACCAGTAGTGGGAATAAAAGACACTAAACGAGGCAAAAGGAAAATATTCATGAAGAGTTTTACTGGAAGAATGAAAATAAATATTTTAAATACATTTTTAATATCTGTGTGGATCAGCAGGTGGCAGTCCTGTGCCACCAAGACCATTCCTCTCATTAATTTTATATTGCCTTGTACAGTATTTGAGAATGAGTTTACAAAGTAGTTTGAATACATTGATCTGTATTAGATAACCATTGTCTTTGTTTCAGATCATCAACGGTACAAGAAATATAAGGAACTTGTTCTCAAATAAAATATGCCATTATATGTTGTAAACATATTTTATTACCAGTAAATGTCCTGCACATATGAATGTATTATCAGAACAATGGGACACAGAATGGCCCTTGTCAGTGTTACATTATTATATATAAAATTATTAGGTAATCATGATTGTTAATGTGTGAAAGTATAAATAGTTTAATATTAAAACTGAGAATTTAAACTACTTTATATAGGTTGAACTCCTTCCTCAGTGGAAGAAATACTGTGATCCTTTACTACAGTGTAAAAATAAAAAGTCCCACATTAAAATGCTTACGTACAAGAAGTACTAATACAATAACTTTAAACACATAAACATTTAAAAGTAGGAGTCCCTTTCATGCAGAATGACCCATCTCAGAACACATATTATTTTATTATAAGTGCTGCATTAATGTGTAGTACTTAACTTTAATGCTGCAGCTAATACATGATCATTTATTGATAATTATGTCTTGTATTAATTATCTAACAGCTACCTAAAAATGATAGTTAAGAGTTGTACTTAAGTAAATATACTTAGGTATAACCCACAGCTATGTTTGCCAAAAGCAATAAATTAATATTTTAAGATGGAGTAAAATTAACATCAAATGCCTCACAGACACAGTATTACTAACGGATATAACATCATCAGTGATACCCAGAATGCTGTAATATTGTTATATTATATATGTTATAATGATAGTATACTAATGAGAGTGTAAACCTGGTTCTCTCTTTGAGTGGGTTCCAGGGGGTCCCCAGAAAAGTGGGTAATATTTTAGTTTCACTATTATTTAATTAAGTTAGCCCGATGAGAGAATGTATAAGAATGACTCTTCACAGGAAGCCTCACTGCTAATCTGCCAATCTACACTATAGACAGTTATTGATTAACTAAAACTTAATCAGATGGGGATCTCTGAGACTACATCTTAGCAAATACAGGTCTGCGATGTATCAGTTTGGGGGTCCTTGACACCAGAAAGATTGAGTAGCAGTGGTATTAAAGACCAACATCTATAGCATTTTGAACTTTTCACACCACGTGCGTTAGTGTATTTTTTCTAGCTGGTGTACTAAAAGACGACTCGCATCAGAGGATATTTTCTACCGTCGCATAAAGCAGCATAGCCACAAGCTTTAATGAGAAATCGAGTTAATCCCAGATGAGTTCAAGTTGAGAAAATATCCATGTTAGTGAGGGAGTTTCGAGGACTGAGGGTTTGGCACTGCGGCTACCTGTGGTTATTCTTAAATTTGGAACACATTTTCCTGCTTGTTGTATTAGCGGAGACATGTTTTCTTCAGAACGGTTGATGGACCACGTTTCTGCTGCAAACTACCATATGGATACATTTTTGGAAATGCGCAGTGAACTCTGTTGCCCCTTTCCCTCTATGTCATAGAGTTAGTTAACAATCAAATACACCAAAATGACACAACCTTGCCAATACCATTAAAAGTGTAACTAGTGTAATTTTGACTTTCAGGCTGTGTACCTTCATCATAACCACTTTCTTCCTGGACTGTTTAACATCTGTTCCAGGTTCAATTACAATTCTCCCACAGGCTTCTCTATTTTCAGGATCAATCAGAGCCTCCATCAACCTGTCCCAAGCCAGTCTGCTGTAACCCGAGTCTGTGTACATCATCTCCCCACACCTGTGGGGCATGTTATCTCCAAGACTCACAGGATCCAAGCCCTGGGCCCCTAGGGGGACTCCGGGGTTATACACGTCCATCATTAGAGCAGTTATGACAGATTCAATTAGATTTGGGATCTGGGAAATGTAGTCGTGGCCTGTTTTTTTTTTTTTTTCCTCACCACGTTAGAACAGCAGTGCGCCGTATGGCATGTGAGCACAGGTGTCGTCTTTTATGAGATATGAATCATACTATTCATTGTCCCTGTGTGACTAAAGGTATTACACCCTCACAGGTTTTAACAATGGCTTCAAAGCTCGAGCTCAGCTCTGGTTTAGCATTCACCACATGAAGCGGTATGTTGTCATCGAGCGGGAGTCTGTGAGGGTATATTTGACGCTTTCAACAGAGAGGGGATTACGTGGAGACCACAGTCTTCCGATCTAACACACACCAACAGTGACGTCACCTATGACATGAAATCGAGCCAAGCTGTAACTGAGCCAAACAGTAGAGATTTGAGGGAAATCTTTTGTAAACAAATGCAATCTAATACTGAGCAAAAAAGTGGCATAAGGATATGGCCTTCTGCCATAGCACTGATAAACAAAGCACCTGTCACATGCACATATCATGTGAATGGAGGGTATGTATAAATGTGCTGTTTGGATGTCTCTCTCTGGTTATGTTGTGTATGTATTTATGTATGTAAAGACTGCAACACATTTCCTGGAAAGGACAATAAAGAATCTAGCTATAATCTATCTATCTATCTACATTTTTAGTGTCTTTGTCGGTTGGTCCACAACTGGAATATGAACATCAACTATTGAACAGACTGGCACAACATTTGGTTCAGACATTCATGGTTCCCAGGTGACTTTGGTGATCCCCTGACTTTTCCTTTGGTGCCACAATGTGGTTGACATTTGTAACGTTGAGTGAAATGTCTCAACTACTAATTGATTGGATTGCCGTGTGGTAAACACATTTATGTCACCTTCACGATCAGGGGTGTTTCAAGGGGGGCCTGGGGTAGTCACTGAAATCAGATTTTCCACCCCAAATGTCACCTTATTATCCATACATCTTTGACTCTGCACTGTCTTTCAGAAGCTGTAGCAGGCTCCGTTTTAAAGCTAGAGTTAAGATACTGGTATCATATGAAACTAGATAACACATCCATGCTAGCATGTCGGGAAGGGACTAAATAACGCTCCAAAATTAGGCTACATTTTGGTGGTGAGGAAAAACTGGCACCATTTTCAAAGGGTCCCTTGACCTCTGACCTCAAGATAGCTGAATAAAAATAGATTCTATGGGTACCTACACATTCTCCCTTTGCAGAGATTGCCACTTAATGCTAACATCATGCAGTTTTTGTGGTATATGTGGTATAAATGTGTTATTTTCACCTAGTGTATTTGAATATTTCTACATATTGATATCCCTATCTGAATTGACAATGACTGGAAAGCTGAGACACATACTTCTTGCCACTCCTACATATGTCAGTGCCCCTCTTGTGCCACCCCAGCCAAAGAAGTCTGGAAACACCCCTGCTTAGGATGAACTGTAATCACTTTGATGATGCCTTAGCTTTACAAGCACATATGCCCAAAAGGTACTGTGCAATGACAAGATGGAATACAGTGAGCATTTGAACATGAGTATGTGTGTGACATATTACTACAGATAGTGTTAAAACATCTGTTAGTAGCCATTAGTTCATCAGTAGGTTTAGTGCGGAGGTATCTGTCATGCTGGAGGTTACCGGGTCAAATCTCTCAGGTTCACACCGAAAACAACTTGAATACAGGCTTGAACATGTATCTGAATCGCGTAGGGAAGCTCAATTTTGTAGCCTTTTTTTACAGTTGGGTTAGTTTTTATATGGAAAACCATGCAATTTCACTTGAAAACACTTAAAAAGAAAACATAACAGCCTCTTTTTGATTACAAAATGCACAAATGCTACAACTGCACTGATGTGTTTTTTGGCGTATTGAAGCAACAGCCCTTGACATGAGATTTATTGCAAGCTCCAACATGTGAAAATGTTTTATAACTTGGCAGTGTGTGTGTGTGTGTGTGTGTGTGTGTGTGTGTGTGTGTGTGTTTGTGTGTGTGTGTGTGTGTGCGTGTGTTCAGAAAATGACCATTTGTGATGGCTCGCCTTGCGTGCCGCACTGTCTCCACACAGCCCTGTGGTGTGGCCATTCTTAAAACAAAAAAAAAAAAACCAACGCACACAACCATTGGAAGCTCTGAGTCAAGCAGGATGCATATGACATATCGCATCAAAAAGACACGCACTCACATGGCCTGGAAATTGATTTTTACTTTGGTTTTGGAAAGTCAGAAGGGCTACCGTGTGTGTCTGTACTTATACGTATGTTAGGTTACTTAGACGTCAACTCAGCGCTCACAGTGAACACACCTTTCCCCCACATTTCCCAATTACAGCACATTCAATTAAAGAGCCTCATACTGAATGAACAAGTGGGTGGTTGGGGATTAATAACACCGTGGAGAAAATTAAGAACCAATTTGTGATTTTTTATTGGCCAAACTTAAGGGCTGTAATTCATTCTAGTAGAATAATGAATGGGGTATTTGGCAAATAAAAAGAAACCATGCATGAAGTCCAGGTGCGAGCCTCTTTCATTCAGAGTGACTGACTGTACGTAGTGCGTTAACATTTTGTTTGAAGATGCAGGTGGAAGAAAAAGTGGGTAGTGTACCATGGAACGCATTGCAGATTTAACAACTAAACGCGGGGTTTGATTTAAGCGCGTTTCGTCCATACAGATGTGTGCAAAAGAGTTGCATTTTTATTTAAAGAATGCAGTTTTATTTCTTAGTGTGAAAGGTTTCCATCCATCTGGCAACACTGTCTCAGTTAGAACCTCGTCAATCAAGTGTAAGCTACTCTATAAACTTTGATTGTTCAAGTTTTCCAATCAAGGCCCAATAAGCAGGGCGGAGCTGGTATTTTGTTGGCAATAATGGCAACAGAAGCATGCACTGAAACATGTCCAGAAAAACAATGTTATAAAATCCTATTGTAAAAGTTTTTAATCGCATTTCCCTAAAAAGGTTCCCCAAATTGCATTGAGCTACTACCATTCGAAAATCCCCAAACCCAAATTACTCTCTCATCAATTAAAGCTGGAGTCACAAGTTAACAAGATGCTGTGAGGCCTAAACCACAGAGAAGAGAGAAAATCCCCCAGCATTTCTTCCCTGAATCGAAGGAGACTGCGGTACTGGTGGAAAATGTGTGGAGTCCTTAGTATGAACCATCTTCATTTGTGGCTCCTCAGAGGGAAACCACTTTTACACTCTAATCCTACTTTTTATCTGCTGCGCAGAAATCAGCCCCCTTTCCCTCAACGCAGCCTTCAGAGTGGTTCATCCCTCCCTCTGAGTGTTTCTGATTAGTCTGCCATGTGCCCATTATTCCCAAATAAGAGACACCGCACAAAATATATATCCCTCATCACGCCTAATCTCAAATAGTCACAGTGGCCTGTAACTCAATCCACATTGGGTGATTTTCACTCATGCAAACAAATCCACAATGGTAGGAATTGATGGCACGCATTAAACTGTGGGAAGAAATCCTTGGAAGCTGCATGCCAGCCAAAGCTAAACAAATTAAGATTTGCAGTTTATGGACATATTATTTATTGCCTTTGCCTTTAGTTGTTTTGAGCTATTGTAATCCAGAATATATTGTATTTCAAACAAATTTAGGGAAAAATATATTGTCTTTCTAACATCTATCTTTGGTGTGAGTCTGACATCTCGTTTTGACTTCAAACGGTTGCAGGCAGGCTTTGGCTCAATTACTCAATGGGCTCGATGTGAAAAAGGTTTCACTTTTTCTCATGATATCTCCTGCTTGGTCCATGAAGATTTTTTTTTTTGGATGTGTGTACTTTTTCCTCCGTCACTGTCAACAAACCCGAGACTAAAACCAACAATTTGATGCTACCAGTACTGACTGAGTGACCAAAGCCCAACATGTTATTCCTCTGGGCCAGATAGATCCCACTGACATATTCCTTCATTCCAATGAACACAGATACAATATTTTATTTTGAGTCATCCCACATACATGTCTTTAAATGAATCAGACACAGACAGGGCTGTTTTGAGAGAGGGACTGTGATGTTTTTGGTCTTTTCATGTGGTTTGTTGACAATAAGAAGCATTTTTAATGCCAGCTTTATCCTTTAATTGTAATTTTTCTGAGATTTTGAACAGTCCAAAATGTAAAAAGATATCATATCGTATCAATTTAAGGCTCATGTCTTTTGTTCAAGCATTCGTATTTTAATGATATTGCAAAAACTGTCTTTTTGATATTTATTGCTGTATATTAGCTAAGAAAGCAACAATTATTGTTTTATTTGTCTAAAATATTATACTAGTATAAAGTTTAATCCTCAAATATAATTTATAAAGGAAATGTAAAACAGAATGTCTGGAAATGTGATTATATTGAAGAATCAAAGCATGAATCTTTCTGAATTGCCATACACCTAAAATACTGATGACAGAGTCATAAAAAATGACTAAATGCTGGTGGTGTCTACAGATTTTTGTGGCAGCCACAAGTGGAGATCGGCTGTCCATGAGCTCATACAGAGCGATATGTACAAACACAGACCAGAGGCCATACTTGAAGACTTGTTTGCTTGGATCACAGATGATTTATTAAATACACGGCAGAAGATCATTTTCATGAACACGATCTTCAAACCTTGCTTTTTCGGGAATGTATTCTCAATTATTTCTCAGTTTTTCTTGCTCTTTTCTTCCTTCACCTCAATTGGATTTCTCACATCATTACCAATGTTTAGTGACAACTGTAGATTATGCCGAACGTCCTGCTGATTTAATGAAACTTAACGACTGGGCTAGTCCTGCAAACACTGGCACTAATGTCTTTTTCAGATGTCAGAATGGGAAATCAGTTATCTTTAATGCCTGTTGCTGGGCTGGCAGAGCGAAAATGCAGCTATCACTACGACTGGTAATACAGAGTAATAAAAGCTGGCATGGATGAAGTGAGCCAAGCACATTTAAATTTTAGCGAGGCCCACTAAAAACTAATGCCAGACGTATAAAACAGAGGGGGAATGTGACAGAAATACTGACAGGAATTGGAGAAAGCAAGATGTTTGGGGAGAGCCAAAGCATTGGGCGTGTGTGCATGCAAGTTTGCACGAATACACACACTAGCATGCTAATGTAAGCAGCCTGACATTTCCACAAACAAAGCTCAGTGTTAATTGATTTGATTGAGTATTTTTGGTTCAATCAGTGGATGCAAACGCTGGTCAGGCATATTTCCATGCATTGTTAAAAAAAAAAAAACATCTGCAGTGTATATTTCAGATCTTAAGTCGGGTTCCTTTTCTGTTTGTTCCACCAAAGCAGATGTTTTTAGGTTTTTTTTCCTTCAATACAGGATAGTGTACCATACAAGAGAAGAGTTCTGCTGCTAATTCTGAGCCCAGAGAGGAAGGAGGGGGCTTTTCTGAGTGAGCTGACATCTTTCATAATTAAAGGCCACAGCGCACGCAGGCCTCAGACTGTACATGTGGTCTCACTGTGTGGAAGTGGCGAGAGGGAGAAGCTGTGTGAGAGTAGACTGAGGAAGAGAGGGAAGAGACGGAGTGAGAGTTCTCTCTAGTGAAAAAATAAAATTAAGGGAGCAAATGTTTTTATAGCATAAATAAAGGAGTGAGGAACAGCCGGCTTAGACAAAGACGGGCAGAGAGACATTTTCACTTTGACTGAACTGTCATGGAAGAACTGACCATTCACAAAGCTTGTCCTCCTTAGTTACTGTTGCTACGCCTGTTACGCGTTCTATTCTAGAACACCACTATTTACTGTGGCAAGTAACTAACGTTAGGTAGCATTCTAAAACATTAGTACTGTACTGCAATGTATATATACTATCAATGGGTACAACAGAGGTGCTTTCTAGCTGGTGAATGTTAATATTTTTTGGGCTGAAACAACGAGTGACTTTTTAATGTTTGCAGCTTATTCATGTGAAAATGAGAACATTGTAAAATTGGTCTTAAGTGTACATGGCCACATCTAAGGTCAGTATCCTCAACGATTGATGATCCACGTAGAAAACATGAAAATAAAGAAACAGCTTTGTTCTTGTATCGGAGTGTAGAGCTAGTTAGTCTTTGTATTTAAAGAAAACTCTGTTGCTGGCTGTCTAACTTACATAGTAGCCTATGTGTTGAAGTGCACATAAAATGGAAATCAGATGGGTTTTTGCTCTGACATGTTTATGTATTTCCTGTAGACAGCTAGGACTTGCTGTGGTAACCTATAGTGCTGTGTGTTACGTCCCACTGGTCAAGCAGTTGTAGTGGACCTATTAGCTGATTCTATCGGGACTGGAAGCTCAAAGGTAAACAGCATAGGCAGACTGGGACGATGGAGGCCAGTTTGACGACAGGGAATCGAGTATCGAGGTGTTTTTTTTTTCACTGGGAGGCTGCTGAGCCCCATCCAGTTGCATGCCAACAGCAGCTCTATAGCTGTTGGGTTTTTTTTTGTCATTTGTTTGGCATATATTGTTTAATTGGGGTACAATATAATTTAGGATGCAATCTTATAGGTTTTTTTTTTTTTTTTACCACTATAGTGCTATATGTAGCCATGTTTGTAAGTGAAGAAGAAAACCTTTTTTTTTCATCATAACTCAAACTCAAACTAATGTCACCTAGTTATTTAATGATGTGCTACTTGGACTTAGGTAGCAAGTTAGGGGACATGCTAACCACAGTTTCATACAGTTTCTTACACTTCGGTTCATGTGTTTTAGTTGCAGAAAGGGTCACCACCAGCCACATTCTTTAGAGAGAGAGTATCTCTCTTACTAGCCCCATGCACACCGCTTCAACGTGTGGAAAATCCAAAGCTTGACAGGCCTGCCATGCTTTCGGGTGCTAAGCTATGAATGTAAAATGCTGTCCAGAGGAGGGGTTTAAGCCAACAGTGGCTGATCCCTCCAAAAATAGAGATTAGAATAGGCATAGGTTTCAGCTACATTTATTACATTTGTTGGATTACGATTCACTTGTGGGCCAAATATATCATTCTTCTAGCAGTATTTATAGAAAGCTCCTCAGTTTGCTTGATAACTTACAGTAACACATGAAAGGAAAAAAGGATAACACATTGTACCTACTCTGGATGCCATGTCAGATAAAACTTCACAAGACAAAAAGTCAGAGACAGAATTGAGGTTTTATACATACGACTGTGCTTTGTGTTTACACGTGGAGTTTAAAATGGTTCAAAATAATCATAGATCAAAACAGTAATTATATGAATTGAATAACAGCGGATAGGCTACAGCTGGTTCTGTCCAAGGCCATTAAAATAGTGACGTAGCTTTGAAGGGAAAAATATCTACAAATACCTACAAATGGAATGTTTGTATGCGTGTTTTCTGATCATTGTTACACATTTATTATTTACAGATGAGGTATCATTGGTATATCAACTGCAACTGTACTGAGAAATCAATATCAGATATGTAGCATTTTAAAGAGCATCTGGAAACAGTAAATGTAATAAAAAATACACATGCAGTCAAAGTAACACTGCTGATAATTCAAAAGAAATAGTGGTTCATCATGGAGTATGACATTTCTTTCCCAATGTCCTGTCAATGAAAGTGTAATCACTTTTATGTCTTGCCTTGTCATGTAATAAATACGTTTCTTTTATAAAAGAAATCTGTAACTGTTGTATTTCAAATCAACAGAAAATATAAATATCAGCTTATTTTATGAACAAAACAAAAAAAAAGGCAAAAATTATATTCAAAAGCAATGTTTGCTTTCCCTTTGGTACCTAGTTTGCTTCTAACTTCCATATGGCAATAACATTAACATACAAGCAAGAAAATGGTTTAATAACTAAGCCATTAACTATGTTCGTAACTTACATATTGGCAGCACTGTGTCCATGTCGGCTTCTACTCTACAACAAAACAGTGACAGTTCGTGTGCTGCATGTCATGTTTATTCCACTGAGGCAGAATTCAGTTTGTGGAGAGTTTCTCTACCCCGTCCCTGAGAACATCAGCCCTGTGGAGCATTAAACTGTCAGTCACTCCATAAAGTAAGAGACTTTTTTTATTTTTATTTTTTTATCTGGGCTGTGACAGGAATCTCCTCTGTTAGTCCCAGCCGAAGTCTTGTCCACTCATCTGGTAGAAACGGTGGTTGAAGGGCCTGTAGAAGTCTCTGAGCCTCTGCAGGACCTCTGTGGGGATCTGGGGATGGGGTCTGCCCTTGGACTTTCCAAGGCAGCGAGGTCTGCTGCTTCCCTCAGGCTTCTTCAGGCAGGGAAAACCTTTGGTCTGGTTGAAGTAGAAGTGTTTGTCTGAAACAACCCTTTTCAGACCGAGAAAGTCCTGAACCCGACCCATCTCCCCAGCCGGATCAGACACCAGACGCTCACCACTAACAAACAGAAAATGAGACAAGGGGAAGTGCTGAAGCCAGTTCTCCAGATGTTTGGCGTAGAGGCCGATGCGCACCGCACTCCACGTGGTGTCGATCAGACCTGTGGAGGCGTTTTTCAATGCCAGGCTCTGGAAGGATGGAAGGCCTGGGTTCTTGGACAAGGTCTGGGTGTAGTCAGATACAGCCCGCGTCACAGGATCCCTGACCACCACAATGAGCTTGGCTTGGCAGTTCATTGTGCAGACACGGCCAGGAGCTTCCTTTGTGACAAAGTAGCTGGGGGTCTTCTCCATGGTGATCTGGCCATCCAGCGTCCGAGGCATCAGGTTTCTAAGTAAAAAGAAGAAACTGGTCAGACACAGAATTCAGATTTTTTTTTGGGCCACTTGGGGGAGCTGAACAAGCTGTAAACACAACAGTGACATATTACTGCGGACATATAAAGTTGATATGAGTAAAAAACATTTACTATACACATCCAGCAGACACAGAGGAAAAACAAATAGCAGCCGTCTGCTAAATGTAGGAGCAACAATAATAAGAGCGGTGAGAGTGAACCAAAATAGTAAAGTTGTGGGCCGTAAAACCAAAACAATTAGCTAAAAGACGCTGAAACACTGAGGGGAACAGCAGAGCTGAGTGACACTTCTTTGTGGATCACTATGAGCAACCCCTTTCACATTACACACTGGTGTTTGACCAATTCTTAATATCAAAATAGTGATTAATACAGCTTTAAAAAAAATGACAGTAGCATTATCGCTTTACATTTTGTGAAATTGCAGTACAGTACGGCTTGTATGGTATGGTTTGTATGTATGGTTGCATTAAAGTTCAATCTTCAACCAGTGTAACTTTAAAGCGAGCCCAGGTCTGATCTATCGTCCCACTCTGCAATTTAATCACATGTGGGGTACAAATTCTAATTTACTGGCTTCAGTGAAAAGAACATCAAGAGATAACATAAACACATTATATACACTAAACATTAAAGCACCCCAAAATCTGTGTGATTAAAGCTTCATCCACTGTAGTGTGTTTATGTACCAGGGCCCCAGACAGCCCATCTGAGTCTCACTGTAAGGCCTGTACAAAAGGACCATCCACTCACTATGGGCCTGATGAGTCAAAACCACAAAGCCTCAAGAACCACTTAACAGCAATTTCCTACAGATCCCCCCTCCCGCCTTTCTTCCTGCAAGTGTGCCCCCCCCTTTACCTCCCCTACGGGTTCCTACAAGGACCCAAACAGACCAAAGTCTGCAGGAAGTGCAACCAGGATGGCAAGCTGCTGAGCTCAGCGAGTGTGTTGAACATGTGGCTGCAATGAGGAGAGATGCTGTCTGTAATGGGGCAGTAAAAAGACATGCAGAATTTTATGCTGCTATATCGTAGAGATAGATTGTGCCTAATAATTGATGTATATTAATCTAAACTAATAATTACTAATCTACTGATTTATCAATTTATATTGTACATTTGTCTTTGTTTTTAAGTTTCTTCTCTACTTTACAAACTGTAAGAAAAAAAGAAAGTTCTTTGTCACTGATTTGATTAATCAGCATGTGCTCACAGTTCAAAGTATCTGTCCTGTCTGTTACACAGACTGCTTTTATTTCAGCACTATCTGGCAATCAGGCATTGTGGGTATTAAGACAGATCCAGCATTTGTTTGTGTATGTTCATTTGACATTGACAGACTGCATGAGGCAAACTTGTGGTGGATTTTGATTTCAGAGACAAATTGTTTTGCATGACATGGATGATGGGCAATATTTAAAACAAGCAAATGAATTGTCTGTAGTTAATTTACTCAACACATCTTATACTGTTTTCTGGAAACAGAGATCTTTCATGTGGCTTCCTTTAAAATACACAAGTAAAGTCTGGGTGCTTTATTTCTTCCATGTTGGAAGTCTGCCTAGAGTCCAAATAAGAGGTCACTCAGAAATGTAGATCACTGGATAACGTCCAAGGAAAATGTATTTTAATTTTGCCAGTTATTCTTGTTAGATTGTTTGTGGTCAAATGCTTATTCGAGGATTATTAAAAAGAAAAACCAGCGTTTTTATTAAGTAACGGTTCAATAGTCCCAATGTCCCATTGTTTGTTTTTAAAGGGCCAGTGTCGCAACTTCCTCACTTCACTATCTCCTTCCAAGCATGAGGGAGAAACTACGGTGGCCATGAAACAATCTAAAAAAAGGCAAAGTAGATAAAAGTGGCTATGGAATGATATAATAATAACGAAAACACAACGATGCTTATTCTCTGGAGATTATACACTAATGAAAACAGACCTACGAATATTATATTCTATTTCTGCCAATAGCTAAATGTTATACACTGACCCTTTAAGATAATAAATCAACAAAAACAAAAAATGTTAATCAATTGGAGCCATTTAGTTAAAAAACACACACTCTGGTTTGCCATATACAGTAAAATATAATATTGCAATGATCAGATATTGCAATTGCGGTTTCATCTTAGTGGGAATGACCATTTTTGGATCACAATTTTCATTTCAAAAAGATTTGTAGGCCAGGTCCTTTGTTTTGTTGCACATTTTACGTTAATTGCACTTGACCACATTGCGATTTTGATAATCTTTCTATTAATTGTGCAGCTTTAGTAGAAAGAGTGACTTCACTTGAGTCTTGAGTGCAGTATAGCAACATTATTTATTATTTATATTCCAGCTGAGAGAACTAGAGTTAGGCATAAGTGTTAACAGGGCTGATGAATCTGACCTTCCAATAGGCAGCGTTTGACTGTGGTTTGAAGCAGGAGTCAAATGAAGAAGAACCTTCTGTTGTTGAAAAAGTTTTTGTTGTCACATGGAGAATCCATGATCATTAATGTGTGAAGGAGGAATAAAGACGTCTCTGGAGTTGTGTAAGTTTCGAGTTTCCCTCTTTACTTAAAGTTAAGCCATTTCACTCCACCCCCATTAAATGATCCCTATAATAAAAGACCATTAATTGATTATTGTCCAACTACAAGAGCTGCAAATGGCCTACCGCTGCCTGTCTGTCCCCTGTTTATCTGTGTCTAATCAATACGTCTGTCTCTATATGACGGATTGTTCACTGTGTGTGTGAGCTCGTGTGTGTCTGCACATACACACACACTCATGCAAGCAGAGAGGTGTCAGTGTTTACTGATGAGAAACTGAGCGCTCTTCTCCTTCTCTGTCCTTTCCTCTCTCATCCATACTCTTGGATTTGTCCTTCACTCCTTGACATAAGTGTCACTTCAGTAATTGACCATAAGTTGTCTTTCCATACTCATGAATAGTTAATGAATTATGGCTTTCCTCCCTCTCTCCTCGGGTCCCTATCTCCCTCATCACAATCTGTCTCATTATCAGAGAATCAATAATAGCCATTTTCTATCATAAATCTGCTCCTGTATGTGGTGTCAGGAGAAACTGTAAACAGATCAGGGATGATTAATTTCTTGTCAATTTCTCTCACGCATGCAAATCTATTGTAATGTTATATATGTTTTACAAATACAGCCCTCTCATATAAGTTAAGTAAAAACACCTTTTAGTCTACTGCATCTAAGTGTGCAAGGAGAGTAACTCAGGACACAAAGATGTTTTCTATTTAGTCCAGTATTGGAAAGCCTTTCTGACTAGCCACATTAGTCTGGAACTCCCTGCTGCTTAAAGGATGTAGTGCTTTTCTTCCCCGAAGTGCTACAGCGCTGATTACACTACTGATATGTTCTCGGCAGTCTGGATCAGAAGATTAAATACCAACTCTGGCAACAAGGATGTGGCCAAGAGACTTCCTGCCCTTGCGATTATGGGTTCTCTCGCTGAAGTGCTGCAGCTACATCCCCCTGTAGCGCCCTCACAAAAAGAATCCTGCATGGAGAGTAGAGCTGATTGTAGACAAAAGGATCCTTAAAATCCAATTATCATGTCATTTTTGAAGCAAAAAACTTAAATTCCATGGGTTATTATACCAATTTACTGGACCATCTAAGTTAAACACTGACTTGCTGGAGGAGACTTCTTCTCTGGCGTCTCTACGTCCAAACGCTTTAATAACTGAGACTGAATTAATGAGGCAGTGGAAAATCAAGGTCGTAAAGAAGAGCAAACAACAAACTGAGTGAAAACATTTCCCAGCAGTTCTGCTACGCTCCGAGGGTGACAGAAGGTGCCTTAGGGCCATGGACAACCCGTCAGGCTGACGGGATGAGTGTGGGAAATTTAAATTAACGCCTCCATGCCTAGTTGAAACATATGCCGTTTCCCTCTGACCAGAAAAACACAAAAGAAATTTCAACAAGCAGCTAAAAGAGCAATTCAAAGATATTAAGGAATTACTATCTATCCCTATGGCAACGGCTGGATGTGTAGATACAGCGGCCGGTAGCTCCTTCCAAACTTGCTACATTTTTGTTTTAATATGTGTTTTTTTCGGTTTTATTGCTGAAACATCAGTGAATGATGTCTGATGAGGTTTGATTTTTAAGGGCGAAGCCGAAATTGTTCAAATTGACCGGATTCAGGAGATTAATGCTGCGATCAACCACTGGATGGGCAGACCGTGTTCGGAGCCGACAGTAGATGGACCCTGTGTTTACACCGATGATGCTCAAACACAGTCAAAGTGGATGGACACCGTTTCTTTTTATGTGAAGATGAAGCCATATTATCTATACTATCTTGTTGTTGCTGTTTAAATTCCCCAAGATGCAAATTCAAAAAATGCACTACAGAATGATTTCCTGGGTGATTATGTGTATGTATGTATATGTATATAAATAACTGTATATATTGATTTATTTTATTTCATTTCATATTTTATTCTATGAATTTTATTAGCTTTTTATATGTGTGTAGGATGAAGGAACTACAACCCTCCATTTTGTTTTACAACCTTGTGTTGTATACTGATAAATACATTTCCTTGATTCCTTCCTATTATAAGGCTACAGCTGGTTAGCTTAGCTTAGCAGAAAGACTACTAGCTTGGCTGTGTCCACTGGTATTAAAGTCCTACTACCCGCACCTCTTAAGCTCACAAATTAATACATTATACCTGTTCAAGTCATCCAAAAGTGTGAACAAAAGTTGCGGTTTTATGTGGGATTATTTGCCAGACTATTTTCTTGGCCAGGAGCAATGACTTTGTGGCAAGACTTAACCCCCAGCAAAACTGAAACTTCCTTTTTACACTTTCTTTTTATACAGATAGCTTCATATAACAGAAATCTAGCCTAACTCACTGCAAAAAAAGTGAATGGGTATTTTCAAAATGTCAAACTACTAAGTGTAAGCTTGGTGCACTACAGTGACAAAGCATAATG